ATGCACCCTGAGGATTTGTTGTGCCACTTTGTCTGCTTGGGTTCCCAGAAGCAGATGGTAAAAGTGTTTAAGTAGTTCACAGATTAAAAAGATGACACATATTATACAGATAAGACAAAACATCCATAACCTTGGTGTGTGACCCAGCCTCTATCTCCTTTACTCTTAATCCACTGCACATTTGGAGGTGGGCTTCAGCAGCTAACCATCATTTTGCAACAATCTCTCACTTGAATGACTCAGGCGATTAGACGGTCACCTGTCTGCAGCCGTGCACATGCATTAATGTGGCCATAAGCAGAGCCAGGCTTTCCGACACAGACTCTGCACTATGCTCAGGACCCTGATGCGCCGTGCAGTAATGTAGAGAGCCTGCCTTCCCTCCAATTACATCAAATTGCTCAAAATCAAGGACTCTGAAGGCAGAATGGGATGTTAAAGAGTTATTCTTATTAACATCTCAAAATCCCTTTAAGCTTAAAGGGGAATATTTAGCTTTTGTCAATTTGTTTCTTTTTATTTCAAAAAACAGTTGCTGTTAATACACAATCCGAGACTCATATTTCTACTTACTGTCAGGTACAGGCCACTGTTGGGTGTAAGCTACTATAGGGTATAGGCCACTGTTGAGTGTAGGTTACTATAGGGTATAGGCCACTGTAGGGTGTAAGCTACTATAGCGTATAGGTCACTGTTGGGTGTAGGTTACTATAGGGTATAGGCCACTGTAGGGTGTAAGCTACTATAGCGTATAGGCCACTGTTGGGTGTAGGCTACTATAGGGTATAGGCCACTGTAGGGTGTAAGCTACTATAGCGTATAGGTCACTGTTGGGTGTAGGCTACTATAGGGTATAGGCCACTGTAGGGTGTAAGCTACTATAGCGTATAGGTCACTGTTGGGTGTAGGTTACTATAGGGTATAGGCCACTGTAGGGTGTAAGCTACTATATTGTATAGGCCACTGTCACGTATAGGGACTTTGACACAAGGGTTTATGAGCAGGTGTAAACCACTGACCTTTAACGAGTAATTACGGACATAGTTCAATAATAATAGATGGCCTGATGTTTGCTATTATGCATTACAGCAGGGGTGGCCAACCCGCGGCTCGTGAGCCGCATGCGGCTCTTTGGCTGGTTCCGTGCGGCTCTCGGACTTTCACACGACAAGCGTCAAAAACGCCTCGGTGGTGGCGCTGCCATTCATTCTCTATGTAGTTCTGACCCATAGTAAAGGCCGACTTCACTCCACTAGCCAGGCCACCAAAACAATCTGACGTCGGCGAACGTCAATTCTGATTGGTCAGATGCGCTGTCAACCACTCTGCAGCCGCTGCCTCAGCTGTTAAATATCATAACAAACAACACGTTGCCTCGACCCATGGCGTCCGTACGGAAAACAGTTCCTTGGTCGCTGGATGAGGGCAACACCTTCCTCAGTTTGAGGAGAGGACACCAGCGTGAGCTCGATGGTTCCACCAGAAACCAGAAGGTGTTTGTGGAGGTAGCACTAAGGACGGAGCAGAATGATTCCCACAAACATGACAATGCAGAGAAAAGTTAAAAAGCTTAAAAGTGACAACCGTGAAATGAAAGATCGCAGCAGCAGAAGTAGAGGCAGACCCGAAAAGTCTGGAGGTGGTTTGACCAAATGGATTACATTTACGGACATCGGCTAACACCGGCTAACATGCTAAAACCAGCTAACACCAGCTAGCGTTACACCAGGAGAAAAGCCAACTCTGCCTGGTGAGTGTCTGTCTTCAATCAAATGCAAAAGTATCTGGTCTTATACTGAACATGTGTCTGTGGTTCTGAATCAGCAAAAGTGGTGTTGGTGTTATGTGTCAAATTTATATCTTTTACTAAATACAGTCAGAGAGTGAATCATGGTTCGATAAAGACAGTTGTGTTTCTGCTGAATACTGGGTTGAAACTTGATTTTTTTTTCTTGGTTAGAGATTGAAAGCATTCATTTCGGAATCATAATTGATGTTCGCTGACGTGCAATTGTTCTGGTATCGACTCGCCCAGTTAGAACCAGGGCCGAACCATCAATAAAAAGTACCGGGGAGCGGCTAAAGCGAGCGTTAGAAGCGCCCGCAAACCAGGGAGAGTCGAGTCCAGCCCTTTAGTACTGTACGAGTCAATTTCTGTCATTATCATGTTGATGACATTTACATCTATCTGAGCAGAGCACACCTCTCTCTGCTCAGACAGATTGCATGTGTGTGTGTGTGTCTGTGAGCGTGTCTGCTCGTGTGCGTGCGTGTGTAAGGGTTGGGGTGATGTTTATGTAGCGCACATTTGTATGATGTGGCTCTTTGCTGTAACAAAGTAAAAAAAATGGCTCTTAGTCTCTGACTGGTTGGCCACCCCTGCATTACAGGCTTCTAAATATGAAATCATGACCTATTTGAGGAGTGTGTGTAAATATAGACAACATAATTCAGAAAAATAGTGAGGTAGAACGTACTGAAATGAATGAATTAGTGAAAGTATGCATACAATCTAATTTGGTTTAAACCTACATCTACATTCAAAATTAGGAAAGAGGCCCCAGAGCAATACATATTGCTGTATTATATGATATACAGCAATATGCACCCAATTTTGCTCATGAGCATAAACACTGCTGCCTGCGATGGAGGAGACCGGGAGAGAGAGTGCAAGCATAGCTGGCTCTTTGGCTCTTAACCCAGATCATTGAGTGCGCTTGATGCTTTCTTTCACCTGAAAATTATTTGCAAAAGTTTGGAGCACATGCTTTATTGAAAAACACCTCTTATCTCTTCAATGTTGTGTGAGCTTCGTGCTTGGTTTTGTCTTGCACAAAGCTGTCTTTCACAGTGACAGGAAATTGATCTAATTATATCTGAGACGTCGAGTGGGGATGTAATGTCAGGAAGCGAAGAACAGGTGGAGCAAAAATCCAAGTCTGATAGCAGGATAACCTGAATAACTATGAGGTTGGTGGAGAGAAGAGGCAATGAAGAGTATGTTTAAAAGGCAGTGAAGGAGAGGAAGTATAGCTGTAATTATTCCTGAGTTGGCTGCTAAGGAAACACTAGAGATTGGACTGTCAGTGCCTCATTGCTTGCTTCTTAGGGTTAGAAAATTCAACTTACCTTGAGCAGAAAATACATTCAATCATACAATGTTATAAAACTTCGAACTCATGTAGGCCTGAGGTAGTACAATATTTATATTTAATATACTTAATATATTTGTTACATTTCAATTCTATTTATGAACTTTTACTAACTTTTTCAAGAATGAAACAACAAAGGAGAGCCACCTTCATTGTAGAACCTGCGCAATTACTATAAACTGATTGGGATAATATTTGGAGTGAGAGAAAAAATGTTGTGAAGTCAATTACAAATAAAACAATGGATAATATCCTCAAACAAAGAAAATATTGAGCAAGCCAAGCATCAAGGATCTGTAGCAACTGCAGAGTGCCCAAGTCAAATGCAGAGGGAAAAAATCCTTAGGACAATAGTGTATGTTAACATAGACCTGGGGTTGGATGTGAGCTGCTCTGCTGTGAGCTCTGGCTGATTATATACTATACGTTTCAGAGCAAATACTGTACATTCACAATATGAAATTATAAGTTTAAGTTTTATGAACTAAACTTTGACGATATTAACATAACAATGGATAAATCAGGAGGACAAGAAAATGATAATAACAAACAGACAATCATTAATCAAGTTTTCTGCAGTGTTCACTTTAAACATACCAGCTCGTGATAAGGCCCGGCCAGGCCGCTTTAAACCTACATACATATTTGAGCTCACCGTCTTCGACCTGAATGTAATTCTTGGCTTCCTCGTTTAGCTTAACTCTCAAATATCAAAACGAGAACGACTCTTGTGCTCCACTGTAGAAAACTGCTTCATCAATCAGAGCGATAAGTAGCACTGTGCCGTGTGCAAAGAAAACTAAAAAATGCTTGAGAAAATGAGAGGAATCTTCAAGAGTACGGGTAAACTCGCTTAGTCTCCACAACAAGCTGTGCGAGGATACAAAAGAGAAAAGCAAAGTATCTTTCAGAGGCGGCTGAAGACGGGAACGCTGGAAGTGCTATTCTTGTCAGCATGCTCCCAGATCTTCCAGTTTTTCAAAGTAGTAAAGAAGACAACACATTTGCCTCGCCCCGTTTGTTTACCCTGGTTGCCCCTGTTATTTTCCCACTTGTATAATCCTTTGTGTGCCTACATTGACAAATTAACCCCGGTATTTTCTTAGGTAATGTACACTAAGCAGAGAACGTTTACAGAGAATAGCCCGTATGGCAAGCCCTGGATTAACAGTTGCCATGGTAACTACTGCTAAACTATGTGCTGGAGCAACACATGGGAGCGTATATAGTAAAGCTGTAATGAAATACTTAGTCGTGTTTTTCTCCTTTGATGACATCTCAGTTTTCTTTCCATCGCACGCAGCAGTGAGGTGGGATGCTGCTCCTCCTGTCACTCTGTTTTGCTGAAGGGTGGTCAATTAGAGCTGGCTTTACTCGCCGCCTGCCTGTGGCGCCACTGCTCGGGGATCGATACTTGGCTGACAACACGCTATTATTGCCAGATACCAAACACAGGGCTTTCCCTCCTACTCTTTTCTTTCCCCCCCATTTCCCAACTCTTCTTTTCTGCAAGGATTAGCCATGCCCTTCCTGTTCGGTGTGATGCCGCTGTACGTGAAAAGTGAAGAGGACTGACAAGACAAGTGCCAAGCTAATGAAGTGTATTCCACTTAAGGGGATGTAGTATAGTCAGCAGACGCCTCAGACACAGCTGGATAGATACTGGCAGCAGGTGCATTAAGTAGAGTGACTCAGCATTGGTTTAAAAAAATACCCTCACCATGCAGTAAAATAAGCTGTGATTGACAACAACTAATAAAGTTTGGATTTATACTTCCTAAGCATGGACTGTAAATGTCTATGGAGACTAGGATGAGGCACAGAGTGAAATTACAAAGTCTTACTCACAGTGTTAGCAGGAGGTCGATAGTGAGTCTGAGTGGCCTTGTCATGGTGGTGTTGCTTCCTCTTGTCCATCACAGGGTGTGGCGCCCTCTGGTGGTAGCACTGACACCTGCCCTGATGTCCCTGAGCGGGTCAGAGCAGAGGTATTCATCGGATGAACATGAAGGTCAAGCATACAATGAGAGTTTGGTAACTCCCATTTTATACTTCTTCATTGAGCCGAGGTTTCACAGAGCATTCACTCATTTTAAAGGGCTCCATAGAATTCTATGGACATTAAAGAACGACTAAACACCAAATCAACTTTTTTTACCTCATAAACTGCATAAGTATGTTTATTGTAGTGCTGTCTACATATCCTGGTCATTCTTGTGACATTTTAGTTCAAATTAGATAAAATATCACTTTTGAGCCAAAAAACGCTGTGTGGTGCCCTCTCAACCTTTTTGGTGGTACTACATTTGAATTTGGTTCTGGCCTCTCCATTGACTCTGAAGTTCTCTATGACATCAGTTGTGAAACCATTCAACTCTCACACACGCCCCAGCTGCAGTTTGGAGTATTCTGGCGCCATCTAGTGGATTAAAATTAAATTACATGAGTGATTCTGAGATTATTGAGTGTGATTAGGTTCAGGTGTGTAGCTTTACAATTATCTTAGTGTGTAAACAAGGGTGGAATGAGACTTTCTGGTCTGTTAACTATTGCTTTAAGCAGCAATGACAACTGTCTGTTTTTTTGTGTGTGTGACAAGTGAGCTGTCAATCACAGCCCAGACCACGCCCAACTCTAAGCCCCCCTTCATGTCCCTTGGTCCTCCAGGCAACGCCCTTTTTAGAGAACATTTTCAAATCTTCATGTGGGCGGAGTAAGGCTGGGAACAGGTGTTTAGTCACTCTTTAACGCAACCTATTTCAGAGCGCCCAATAAAACTCTATGGAGAAGAATTTGAATAAAAAACACCCAAATCTTTTCCCAGATTATTCATTTGATAGCGGGATCCACAAACCCGCCATATTAGTCTTTGTCTGACCTTTCTACTGGTTGATGTCATTTATTTTTGACTCACCAAAGCCATCTCCAATAATTAGACAATAGTTGATAGGTACTGGCCCACCACAATTTTAAATAGGCTCTGTGATGTCTTTGACATCCCGTAATGCCGGAAAATGTAGATTGCATCAACTCCGATCCACTTTTTCAATGGACTTATCAGCTATATTGGTAATAATCCACATTTTCCCATTCGCACTGAACCAGCCCCAACTCCCCAACTCCATGACCACTCCCTCTCTGCCACTCTGGCAACATGTGTTTCAACATTTCACATGTGTTAAATGCATTCAAATATTGGTTTTAAAGTAAAATAAATCATTATGAAATGTATCTGACCTTCGGCATTATACTTTTCTGGATTTGTGTTTTGGGATATAACTCCTGGACAGGGAAGCATGTGGACTTGATGCAAACTTTGTATGAGTTGAACTTAGGTCATAAAACAATTGACATGAGAGTGATTATTTTAATTGGAAGAAGCATGTGTAGCAGCGCTGCTAGACAGGACATCCATTGACATTTTGGTATTTGTGGAAACCGTGTGGATATGAATAATGTGAGCCGGGCATACAGCTGTTTGACTAACAAGGAGCTGGTCAAGACCCTAATGAAAGGCACAGAGTGGGCCCTGTATGCTATACCTCCTCCTGAGTTTCTCGGCCCAAAGAGTTATTGAGTTTAAAACAAAAATAAAAACAAATTACAACCTAGTAAGGGGCAAAATTGTTAACAAATATTCATTCTTATTATAATCCTTGATCAATAATAAAGTAACGAACAAATAGGTAGGATCTATGAAGTATAAAGGCATAAAATGATCAAAGTTAATGTTATACATGAAATAATGTTTTGCCATAGTAAAACATTATTAATTGTCAGGAATAATCTAATCCATAATATCAAGATGCAATGTAACAAAACCTTTCATTTTATCAATTGAGTGGTACCTTCATTACTATTGTTTTATATTGAGAAAATAATATATTTCATGACTACAGAGAACTTGTCGCAGCAATTTACTAGTTATAAGAACATTGATTCACATTGTGAAATGTGTTTGATATTCTTCAAAGCTTGTTGAGGAATCATAACATGTGACCTGAAACATGTTAGTATGAAACAAATGTAGTTTGCTGTTAACATGTGAATGGAGGCAAAGTTGCATTTCCCCAACATATGACCTCACCATGGGGAATGTGAGTGTGTGCGTGCACGTGTGCATGTGTTGTGTGATGGAAACATTCGGGGACAATCTGCGGCCCTGGTGTGGTGTGCGCTCTCCGAGTGCATGTTCTATTTGCTCTAAAACTTTTAACCTTGCCTGCAAGCTGAATTCTCGCGGTATTTGTGAGTTCACAAACACTCGAGAATACATCTTGTACCGCTCCCGCTTACACTTTTCGAGTCGAACCACTGGGTGTGCGAGCCAATCACGCGCCAGTCTGGGGGTTTAGGGCGGGATATCCGGGTTTGACGAAAGCAAGAAGTGCCGGGCCGAAGCAAAACAAACATGGCTACGCAGGAGGACGGACGCAAAGTCAGTTTTAGCAGAATCTCCAATTTCTTTTTTGAAAGATGAACAGCGAGAGGCGCTTTGTACATTTCTGGACGGCAACCTTGGTAGGCGGGCACACAGCGTCACTTCGCCCAATCAGCTTCAAGTATTCTGCTGCTTACCCCTCCTTTCCCCGAAAGGATTCTCCGGGAGAAATCCCAGATTGATATCGCGGAGAACGCGTTAGAGTTCTACAGAATCATCAATCTGGCTCTTGCCAGGTTATAAAACTTTCTCCCCGTTTGACAAGGCTAAGTTTTCCTTTCTTTCCCTTTAGGTCAGCGGTGTGTGTTACGTGTCTCCAGGTCCGGTGCAGAACAACTCACCATTTGTTGTGGTTGTTTTTGTTGAAGCTGTTGACATTGCAGCGTGAGCTGAGCTATGGTTCTGTCTCGACTCCGCAGCTCCTCCCTGAGATCTTGTACTTCCTTCATCAGCTCCTGAAAACACACACAGGAGCTGTTTGGAATATCCCACTATAATAATAATAATGATATTTTACAGTCAATCTATAATTCTGCTTACCTGTAGGGCTGTGCTCTTATCGTCAGCTCCCGCTTCATCTGCCTCAGCTGGAGAATCTGCATCTTCAAGCTAGAATAAAAATAAACTTAACTCACAACCAGAGTTAGCCAGAGTCATCTGTAGACGGTTTTCCTCAGGCTTTGTGTCTTAGTTACATTTTCAACAAATCAGATCACCAGAATATAATCAGTATTTATTTAGTTACATTCAAATGGAATATGCCCAATAAAGCTGATATGGGTCCATCCTGACCACTGCTGTAAGTCTGGACCTTACCTGTAGTAGGTCTTGGAGCCGCAGCAGGTGACTCTTCAGAGCGCTGCAGTCTTGGGACATGTCTAGTGTAAGTTCCAGTGCTGGGATGTGCTGCTTCCCTTCAGAATAACAGGGCCCTGAGCTGAACCTGGGAGCCTTGAAGCCGTCATAATGCGGAAAGCTGTGCACTCTGGAGAAACATAGTGAGAATACCACTTTGCTGAATGTATGACCAATGTTTGTGACGTTGGTGTTTCAAACCTGCTGCTGTTGTGGAAATGATCCGGTGCACCCCAGCGGTGGTGTCTCCGGCGTGAACCCAGGCGGCCTCGCTCTGACGGCTCCATGTGGGACATTTCTATGAAGTTTACAAAAAATAGAAATCGGTTTTCAGCGTCAGCCTTATGTAATAAAATGCAGTCATATATCAGTCATCTGTATGGATAAGCTGACTTGTTATATCTGTATGCTCTGTCTCCCTTTTCCATCCTCCAGTTCACATACAGAGAAACTAAATGAACACTTCTGTATGTATTTCACACAGCGTGTAGAATATATACATATAAATCATAATTTTATCCTTCTCAGTCGCGGCTTCTTGCTACTGTCTCCGACGTCAAAACGCACACAGACACTTACACACTGACAGGCCATTTCGTTTTCAAGGAGGTATAAGACACAGTTTTTGGCAACACTCAATAGAATATAGTTGTGAAATGAAGTGTGACTGCAAAAGAATTGACAGCTAACAGAGCGCAGTCCCCAGGAAATAAATAGAACCCCTTACCTCCTCCTACTGTATATGTTTCATAGTCTGTGGGCCCAAAAAAAAATTAGAAATTCAAGAACAAATCCAAAGGAATTCAGAGACCATGGTTAAGATATTTACCAGGCGTTACCACAGCACCGCTCAGTCCAATGTATGAAGTCTACATTCCAGCTTTCTTTTCAAGATAAACTTCTCCTCAGTTCAAGAAATGCGTATATCATAGCACATAAGGTAAGATAATCCAAATAAAAAAAAGTTAAATCCATTCAGCGTGGGATATGAAGGGAACACGGAAGAAATGACTTTTCTCCGGTCAGCTGGTGAGTTGTTAAAGGGCCAGAGACTAGTTTGCCCCCTCCTTTGCTGGCTACGGCCTGTATTCTAAGTCTTGATTCTTCTGTAAACTCCCAATGGTCTACACAGAAAAGAGGTTGTTAGGGGAGGAAACAGCTGGGTTTAGCAGGAGTGCCCAGCTGAGAGTCAGTAGGGGAAATGTGAGAGCCTGTTTTCTCTCGTCAATTGACCGTGGTTGAAGAGTGAAAAGGCAGCGGCAGACGGCTGAGGAGGGGGCACCATGACCCTGTGTCTCTGGCCTCTGCTCCACTCTTTATGTCACTTCCTTCACTCACTCTCTCTTTAGCAGCAGCTCATGATGTAGCGGGCTATAAATATTGCCTCTCCCCAAAATGGCAAAGGTTTGGCCTCCACTTCAACTTGCATTTCTATGGAACATTCCAACACCGCTCACAGACAAACACAGCAGCTACTGTCACAACAGCAGCATTGTCTTAACTGATAGTTGCGTAGAACAGATAAACTAAACTAAACAGATAAACTAAACTAAACATCTGGCATGGGGCTCTTTAATGCATTCAATGTTTGACAATTATTTTTTTTGATGTTTAACTGAAAGTATACCGCTTATGCAACACTAGTGCAATTGAAATGCACGAATGTATTTGAGAAAACATATGAAAGGAATAATTAAAAAAAATATATAATAATCAAGTTCTCTGAAAATGTGTATGTTTTGTTCATGATTGTTCTTTTTTTCTGTTCCTTTTCAATTGTGTGATGGGGCTACACTTGAAATGTAATTGTAATATGTGTGTATTGTCATGTCCACACTTTGAATAAATAAATGTGTAAGAAATGGTGCATACTTCTGTTCACAAAAAGGGAAATTTAGGTTTATTCAAAACCTAAGCAGAGCTGCCCTCATATGTCTTCATAATTGGAGCTGTCAGTTAAAAACTTTTCGGCAGCGAAATATTGCAACAGAAATGAGTGTAGCACAGATTCAAATAAATGCTCCTATATCTAGATTTCATTCTACTGTTCAAGGAAGCATAGAAATACAATTGGAAATGGCATGTCCTAATGCATTCATTTACAATTATAATCACAACTATTTTTGCTGCAGGTGCATGATCATTGAAAAGTAATGGGCAAACTCTAGTCAATGAGGTGGAAGAATTTGTCATGGCCAACAAAACCCACGCAAATGTATATTGTCTGTAAAGGACTGCATTTCTTATGTGTTTCTTTAGGTGTTTAAGGACTAAAGTGCTGACCATGCACACCATCCTCAGGCAGCTCCACATCCAGCATCAGGTCATCCTGCTCCGGATCTGTGGCTCCTAAAGGCTTCAGGTTGTTGAGAAGGTCCTGCAAGCACAAGCACATAACAACATGATATAAGGGAGACATTACTGGCCCATTAAAAGAACATTATCACCACATAAAACTCCAAAATCTGTTAAGGCCATATTTAGGGATTTGTGCCAAATAAAAAAACACACTAATGATTGGAAGATCCCACATTTTGAAAAACAATGTAGTATTTGGTGTGGTGCGCAAGCTTTTCACTGACTAATCACTGACAGCAGAGCTACAATAAAGTATTTAGATGAGCTTGGCTATGAAAGCATTGCAGCACTGCCTACAGAAGTAATCTTGTCCCCCACCAAACCATATGGTACGTCTTAAAACGCGGATACAAACGACTAACATCTGCGTATAAAAGCTATTTTAATAACATCCAATGGGTACGTAATCCTTGTGTTTATTTATTAAAATAAAAAATGAGCAGGAGGTGTCTGTACTTCTCAGCATCTGACAGCACAAGTGATTAAATTCAGCCTTAATAAATGAATCTACCAGAGGACTTAAGTCAAGGGAATATACATTTTGAACACTCTCCCTGAAAGCATTGCCTTAAACACTGCAAAGAGTAATGAAAAATAAGTAAAAAATTGTTCAAATTTGGCTAAATAATCATAGTTTGAGTACATGTTGACAGCCTTAAAACAAGATTTGCCAAAGAGACAAGCCAAATGATCTTGTTTTAAAAAAGATACAAAAAATGTCTCCCTTGGAATGAGAAAATAAAGCAACAGTTCTTTAAATAAGACTAAATCTCTTTATCCCATTAGAAAATCTTGTTTTAAGACAGTCAGAATGTTTTCAAATTAAGATAAAAAAAACACTATTATTACCTCATATTTTATATTTTTTTGTAGTGGCATTCAAATTCAAAGCTTTTTCAGTCAATGTTCGATTGAAACTGAAATAACTACTGTACTCATTATTTAGACTTTCATATATAATCATGGCTAGCCTAGTAATTCACAAACTTCTAAAGAGCCTATAGTTTAAAACTGTAGGGGAGGGCAGCTGAAAAAATCTTTCCCGGTAACCACTTTAATATTGCAAAGAGAAATCCATCAGAGTTATGTGGTAGACCTCCATGAGTGCCTTGGGCCAATTAAAGCAGCCACTGAACTCTTTGTGAAGTGATCAGACATGAATTTAGAAGATTCTGACATATGCATTTTACACACACACCTCCCAAAGAGCTCCACAATCCCACCATGATCAAGAATCAGGAGTACTTCTTCAAGCCAAGGACAGGTCTTAAAGCTCACACGGTTTCATGGCAGACACTTGACTCGCTAACATCTGCCAGATCTTCAAACCAACACGCTGACAGATTAAAAACGTCGCAAATCTCAGAGAAAGTCACGGTGCACACTGTTCTTTGATACTTAACAGCCCCGAACCCAAGTGAATGGCTGATGAACTCGCTGAGAAAAGAAAAGTTCATTACACAGACGTTAATTCTACCTGGAACTTTCTGAGAGGGTTTGTCTGTGGGATCTCTGGCAGACACGGAGCTTTCGGTGTCAGAATTTCTATTAGATTTGGCTGCTCATTTTTCACGAGGTAAACACGCAACTTTTACTTTTGAATGGATCAGAGAACAACAGCAGGTTAAGGTACTGCTAACTAAGTAAACTATTGTGTCCTTTTGGGTTTGATTCAACTTATAATAATCACCGTATTATTCACTAATTAACAAAATCCTATTTGTAGGCCTAGACATTTTTTGTCTGTGCATTTTTGTTGAAAGGAGATATTTCTGCTATTTTGTAAAGTAAGTATTTGTAAGTATTACTGCACTAATACGATACCGGCATCCGAAATCTGTGCCAATATTGGGAATTTTGTTGGATTGGATTTTGATTGAGTAAATATCTTGGTCTGATTTGTAAAAGGTCTCGTTGCCCTTCGCTGGTATTATATCGGATATTGCCAGTTATTGAAGACGGAATCGGTATTATACTTGGATCGGTGCATCCCTAATATTATTTAATTTGGCTGTTTATTTCTTTTAAAACATAGGAATTGGAATACAAGTGCTTTCAAGATTATTGTTTATCGTTATAATTTCCTGAATCAAGATATAGTCCATTAAAATGAGTTATAGTTTGACAGGTCGATCATCCTCATTATCAAACTTGATTACAGACTTCAGAATGAAGACAAAAGAAACAGGCAAGACAAATACATCACAAATAACAATGTGTTTGAATTAAACTTAAATTTACTGTTGATCCTTTTCTAGATTAAACTAAGCAAAGATCAACACATCAAGTACTCCATGATTATATGTCAAGAGCCCAGGCCTAAAACAAAAAACTACAAAGATGAGATAATTGATGAAATGTTGAAAATGTATTTCACACAAAATTTGTGAGTCGCTGAAGGGCATATCCAAAGCACAGACAGTTTCTTCCTAATTTCAAATGTTCAATTTTACTCCGCCTGTTACAGCGCTTACCCGAGGACGTGCTCACATCATAGGTTCACGTTCATGCCAGGATCAAAGTGCTCATGAAAGCTTGTATGGAATTACATCAGTCCAGGTGTCAAACATAAAGGCTGCTTTCGAAATGCATGGACGTAAATGAATAGGAACGAGAAGACTAGAAATACTTGTAGAACAAAATAGGGTAAGAGAACACATTTGAATCTCTTTTGTAACAAGTTAACAAACACAGCAATGTGTCAAAATGTGTCACATTCAGTACAGATGGAAGATTATAATATAAAACGTTTTGATCAAGGTAAAATCTTGTGTGTACATATGCGTAAATTGAATAATCAAATTTCTAGCGTAGCCATGAACCACTTGGACCAAAGTAAAGTCATTAAGCCCCAAACAGGGGATATTAGAACACATTATAGCAAATACTGCCAGGTGTGGATTTGTATTTGAATCAAGACTCAAGACTGCCCTCACAATGTGCAAATAGCTCATGTTCTAAGTCTTCAAAATCCGAATTGGAAATGCATGTTTACAGGTTTCAGGTTTGATGTGAAAATCCAAATAAACAGAAGATGCTGATGTGTACACTGCAGATTACAGTTCCTGCTGTTGTGATTTAGATCTAATGATAATGTTATTTTGTTCTCAGGTAGTCCAATGCTTGGCTTGGAAACTGTAGGGTTTAAATCCAGATAGAGACATATATAACCCAAGTGCCAACCGCGAAGGGAGACATATACAACCTTTAACAGATACACAGCACCCCCAAGTGGATTGATTATACCACTGCACCACAACACAATATTTTGAAGGTCTTTTCTTCCCTATTTGCCTGGTAATTAGATAGGGAAAGTATAATTTGACCTTCTTCAGTGTGTCTGTTTAGCTTGTCAAATTTTGTAAATTAATGCATGATTTGGGGAAAAAAACCCTAAAGAATATAAATTGGAAAGAGATGGCATTCAATTACCCTAAGTAGGCTCATTCCTACAATCAAATTGCTGGCTGTAATCACTCAAAGGAGATTCCATGCAGAGCCTAAAAATGTACAAATAATCTTTCACCAGCTTTGCTTCTTATTTTAAAACTACCAAAGACAATATCTCTTTGGAACTTTCCTCCATGAGATGAATCCATACTGTATAAACTGAAACAAAATACTAAATCTCTTTTATAAGGAAGAACTATATCATATCAAATTGTCACACACCAAGTCAGGATAAAACAAAGCATGTAAAGCTCTGACAGGGCCCTTTAAATACAGTGAACACTGCACTTTGATGACAACAAGCACAAGATTAATGATTAATTAAGATTAATTTCACAAGAAGTGAAACAATATATTGGTAAAAATATAACATGTATAACATTTAAGATAAGAGTTCCTTTATATATAATAACATAGCCATTCAAAATATTGGTCATATTAAAAATAAATGATAGTACTGGCTCTTTCCATTCTTTTCTTTTTAATCCCTTGATTCTAAGACTGTAGATCTACCTAATCTACAATTAGGTAGATTTCAAAGTACAAATGAGATAAGCAAGCACATTACTGACATTACTGTAGCATGCGCCCAGTCAGCATTCTGCACCGGGAGAAGACCTTGACACTGTACAAAAGACACAAAAGCTGGTAGGGAACACCGCAGGAGACATTTCTTTGTACTGCTCATTTAATGCCTGATTGTAGGAAGGAAGGAGGAATTATTAAAGGAGGATATGATTAATGGACTATGTCTGAAATGTTGTAATGGAGAGGTATCTACCGGCCTACACTTGGTAATGGCTTCCAAGTAAGACAAATGACTGAGGTCACATTCTCCGCAAAACACTTTTTGTCTTACAAAGTCATTAAAGATAAAAAATATAAATCTGAAAATTAGTCATGACTTTGATGTGATAGAAGACCTGCTTCAAGTAGTATGAATAACATCGTTTTTAGAGTCACTAGAACATAGTTGTGTACTTCAGGCAGGACGGTATGAGTATGTAATAGTAATTCCATAAAATACTTCCAATAGTAGTGTAATAGATGACACACAAATATAGTATCTGTATCCACTGCAGCTTTATATCAACTCACTGGGTTATTAAATATTGTCTTTGTTCTTGGAAAATGGATGATCTATTCCATGCAGAGTTCATTTTAACTCACATCAAATCAAAAAGACCTTAAAGCATAGTTTGATTAATGATTTATCTGCTGGTTTTAGGTTTCCATAAATCATCATGCATGTCATATTTACAGTAAAAAAGAAAAAAGCCTTGATGTGGCTTGAGTTCAGCCTCAGCAATCACACTCAATGACAAGCTCTTGTAGAAGTAAAACTATTCAAACATGCAACAGTGGACACTCACGAGGCTGTTGAGGTCTGTGTCCTCATACTCGTCTCCTGGATGTGACACAGATCCTCCAATTGGCTCCAGACCCTCCTCGTCCCACATGTACGTTCCCCCAGAGCTGTTGGAGGGTGAAAGCTCAATGAAGGATCCGGCTGCGGCCTGGCTAGACTCAGGAGACAGCACAAGGGAGCCACAGGACATATCCATCGGGCTAATATCCTTTGACTCTGTAAAAATACCTCTGTCACCCTTATTTTGTTTCAATATAATACAGATGACATCAAAAAGAAATATAGATTACCTGCCAGATTCGGCGGGGGCCAGTCTGCGGTGTCATCAACCAACTTCTGTGGCCAATTTTGTCCGTCAGAATTTTCCATAAGGTCCACATCACTAAGTACATCGCCGCTGCTGTCAAAGTCATCCAGAAACTCCTCACTGGTGTCACCTCTGTCCAAAGACGAGGCAGAGGATAATGACATGTCTTCTAATGTCTCTCCATTTGTTCCACACAAACCAGTCTTGTCCCGAGAACTCCCATCACTGTCACTGTGAAAGTCTGACGTTTCAGCTTTTTCTGAGACCTCTGATGCTAATGCTACAAGTGTTCTGCTACAAGGTGCTAAGGCCGGGAGTCTTTCCTTTGCGCGGCCTGGTAATAAGGGCTGCTGTTTGACTTGTGAGGAACGGACCAGCTTATTCTCTGCAGATGGACTTTTGCTGTTCAATGACTTGTTCAAAACACAGTTTGGGAGCAGCGGCTTCTTTAGGGAAGTGGGTGTGTTTGGGGCAGACGGGGAAGAGAGAGAGGGCAGAGAAGAGGCACTTGGAGGGTTTCTACTGTAGTTAAAGACCCCTGAACTCATGCCAACACTTCCAGAACCACTAAGATTACCATTGAGGCCCGCCATTCCTAAACCAACCCTTCCATTGCTCAGCTGGGGTGGCTTAAGCAGACTGGTTCGAGGGGGCCTTAGTTGCGTGTTGGCTAATGGCTTAGCTAGCTCCACAGCACGGTTAAAGGAGAAAGAGCGGGTCATAGGCTGGCTGCTGGGAGACGGGATTTGCTTGAAGTGAGTGAAGCTGTTAGAGCGCACAATATTTTCCAGTGACAAGTTGTTGAGGTTATCGGAAGGCTGAGACAGGCTGTCCTGGGAGCTGCTTCGGGGAGAGGTGGTGAGTAGTTTGGACCTCACTGGGAGAGACTCTGCCACAGCGCGTGCAGACCCGTAATGCGTTACCTTTGAGCTCCCATTGATCTGACTTTGGGTTTTGGTGTTGGTGTCATTTTGAAGGCCTGTCTTTGCTGAATGCTTAGGGATAGCTTTCGGACTAGAAACAGCAACCATCAAAGGGCCTGATCTCCGCATTTTCGGTGTCCCAGGAGAAGCCCTTTTGACCTCTTTTGTTGGTGGAACATGCTGAGTATTTGGCCCCTCCTCATAGTCTATGGTTGGGCTTCTGGAGGCAACAACGTCATCTTTCTTCCATTTGAATGAAAAAGAAGGCGCACGGATCACACAATTTGGATGGGTTGTCTTTCCATCCTGAGGGGAGGCTTGTGGTATTGAACCATTGGACAAGGAATTATTGGCTCCATTAGATGAGCGTCCACCAAATTTAGGCAATCTAGATACCATGGCAGACCTGAAGGCTGCTGTTGTTTCCATCAGAGGCCCAGAAAAACAAGGATGTGCATGGAGCTGCACATAGCTAGAAAAAAAGAAGATAAAGGAATTAGTCATTTATTAATAATAAGCTTCTTTCTACATGTTTTAGTGAATTGGTAATTCCTCTGCAACAAATGCTGTATGATGATGATGATGTCAGTATCACTTAGCAGAGGGGACAATATAAAATCGTCTTTATTTCCCATAAAGTTCATATGGATTTAGAATTTCTAAGGAAACATAGGATAAACATACATCTGAAATGATGTATTGGCACAAAGTAGTGTGGCTGTGCCTCTATTCTAATCAGCCTCCGGAGGACATGACACACATTGAATCAGGTCAGCCTCTGCAGACAGTGCAACTAAAGCCCTTTGCCTGGGGCAGGGGGCGATGGCTGGGTGTTGCTCATGTGTTACACAGGAAAGAATTACATTAAAGCAGCTATGCTCTTGTAAACCTCTCCAGTTCCATTTGCATCTTGAGAAACACATTCAGGCCAGTGGCACAGGAAAGAGGAACACACAGCAGAGCTGTAGCACTCATCTTGATCGCTCTGACCTATTGAGTGGCATGAGCTGTTAACATTTTTACATCATCTGAATCTGAATCACAACGGTTAAAGAAGTCTTCTTTCACATCACACAGTCACAGTAGATTTGAACTTTCCATGTCTTACCACTCTGTATTGAACAAAAAAATAGTAATAGAAAATAGAACACTCAAATGCCATCTGACAACATATCCCAGAGATTACTACAAACGCAAAGGTCATATTCTGACAGTACTGTATCCTACAAAAATTAATAACATCCCAATTGGATGGCACACATTCAGAGCTAAGCCAGTAACCCACACCGGCCATCTGTCAAACTCATCTGAAAACTGCCCTTCCCCCACGTGTCGCCTGTAAATAAAAATCCTTGATAAAGTGCTCTTATAAATATAGTATATTATAATATGGAGTTACATGAAAAAATGAAGAGGCATTTAGACATATCTTTCCTCCATCCAGTCACACAAATAGTGGAAAGATGTGCCTATAGATCTGAACAGAACACATGAAAAGTGAGACTACTCTCTACATGGGGTTAAAAAGTAAAAGTTGTGCCAGGACACCATGGAGGTCCATTCTCCCAGAGTAACGGCACAGACACAGATAGGATGTGATACATGAATGGAGGTGCTTAGATACGCCCAGCAAATCCCTACTCCTGCCTTTATCCCTACAGCAGCCTGTCCTCATTTGACAATCGTTGGCCTATCTGTCGTTGCAGGTTCTTGTCTCTCCTCAGGTCTCCTCTGAAGCTCACAAAAATATTTATATACGATAAAGTAATGAACCTAAAGTGTAGCAGGTAATCTTGTTTTGTTCAAGACATATTTTTACTTAATTGTTCTGCTCATCGAGGGGAAAAAAGTGAATAGGGTCCATTTCTAAGGTTCGTAAATTAATAAAGCCAAGACAACTTTACATTAAATGTAACAATAACTGTCTGTGGTAATGACCAGGCCAATGGTTTGCCCAGAGCAGCAGTAGGATGCAGGTGGGTCCCTTAGGAGATTAACAGTAGTATTAGAGGAGGTTAATAGAATGAGACGGGGATGAAAGAAACTCTGACACTGAGCTAATGTGTATCGAGTGAAAGCCATATGACTCGGGTTGCACTGATGTTAAGAGATACTAATCCAATAAGGTGGGATATTCTCACAGAGCTAGATCAAATGACATGACAGACTGAAGACCAGAAAAAACAGTGTATAATAGTGTCCCATGTAAATAAAATATTTGTTTTTAAATGTATTGGATAAAAATTAACTTTACCTTTACAGTCTGAGCTAAGGCTGAGTCATTCTCATCCAAAAGTCTAAAGTCGATTATCCAATTACTGTATTCACTAAGAGGCTATGGAGTGTTCCAAGTCATTGTGCTCTGTGCTCCTCCATGATGTGAAGTGAGAGTCGGCAGCAGCAGCAGAGCAAAGGACAGAGGGTGATCCGCTGCCCGGCTCGGAGGGGAGTGGCTGGGACAGCAGACGTGATGGGTGTGTTTAATATTTGATACACAAGTATCAGACGAATAAGACGGTAGTAGAACAAAATATTTTGTACCAAAAAACAAAACTAAACCTTTTACATCCTGAAAATGTTCCAAGGCTTGATTTATTGGGCATTTATTTGAGAAAAAATAGAATATTGTAGCTATATTGCATTAATAATAACGACTATTGCACCATAATACAGACTGGTAAAGTTTGTCCAAGAATAACTCTGGTAAAAAAGAATTCAGAAATAAAATAATCTAAAATTCTTTTAGATTATTTTATTTCTGAATTATTTTCAGGCAGCCTGATTATCTCTCAGGTGTATCGCACTCCTGGAGTGATTAGATAGATAGATATACTTTGTTGATCCCCGTAGGAGAAATTCAGGATTACTGTATTCTGTGGAACTTACTACTGTTTCCCACACCTGAACAACAAGCAAATTGCCAAGTTTTTAGTTTAATATTCATTCTGATAAGTATTAAAATTTGCAGCGGGATAATCAATTTTTTTTTCCGACAAAGTGTGAGTTTTAAATGTTATTAGGTTTAGGTAAGTATTGAAAAGGATTTAAACAAAATTGTATCACGTATTGTGTATTATGTAAAATACATAGTGACAATACACAATTTTATAACAGCTGTAACAGGACAAACCAAATGAATGCCAATTTTATGATGCAGAACATTGCAAGATGAACTTTGAAACAAGATTATTCATCTCTGGGTTTCACTTTTGTACTTATTTTAATATGAGACACAATAAATGTAATGACAATTTAATTCAGTGTTTGAGGCAAAAGATAAGTAATGTCACTCTGTCGTACGCCCTGAATGTTTTCTTTTCACTGTAATGTAAAAACATGACCCAAGGCCATGAGCTCTGGGACACAAAGAAATGCATTCTCCAGAAAACATAACACAGACTCAAGTTTTAAGACACACAATGTCACACGGTGGAGGCTATAGAACCTCACATGACGGCAGGATTACAAAGTTTTATGGACGGTGCCTCATACAACCTGGTACAGCACGGGGCTACAGTACAAACAAAGCATAGTTAGAATAAATCTTGGTTCAATCGATATAAATTATTTGACACAGGCCCCAGGGAGAGCAGATTCAAACAAAATGCACATAAATCAGTCTGTCAGTAAACAGAGTACCTCATTACCGATCTGTGGACAACTGCAGAACTTGAAAACAGCCATGAAAACCATTGACACACACTGCTGTGGGCCCAGCTGCAGGCTGCTGATCAGCCCACCTGTGTAAACACCAGGTTTTTTGCAAAAAACAATCTCTTCCAGAAATTTATAAAATGTATTGAATATTTGGGTATACTCCTAAACAGAGCAGATGTATATGACACCTATCTGTGAGGATAATATTTCTATGTGTATCTATTCCATATCCTTCTTGGTGTAGCCAGGCAATCCAGCACACAGATAAGCAGGGCTAAGAATAGCTCAAATGATGGCCACATACAGAGAGGAGGCCACCTCAAAGGCATGAAGGATCAGTGGAAGTCAAGGACTTTTGCAAGTTTGGGTTATAACGCCTCTGAATCGATTGAGGACAATATTTGACATTGACTCAATATAATAACTTAATTTCACATGAAATAGTATTTTATTTTGTATGATATTTAAAATCCACTGTCTACTAACCTTGTGAATCTTGAAGCACTTACAGTATGTCCTAAAGTATGTCTAGAATTAACTCATTGGTAGCTATGAAAGTATAGCATGTATCTTCCCACATGAGCTGGTACTGAAGAATGCTGACACTGAGGAGGCACTCAGTCTGCTAAAGTGCATGTGGAGGTGCAGATTGGGGGGTCTTTAGCGTGAAGGCACACCGCAGAGACCCTCAGCTGTTGTTGGAAGGATCAGATAGTAAACACACCCATAGCCAAGGTGACGCGACAGGACCCTTGCCAACAGGTGTTGGAGGAACACACACAGACATGGGCTTCTGTCAAGTCCACGGGTGCACAGCCACACCCAAAACATGACAGCAGCCATCGTCTCACTTACTTACACTTAAGAGTAATCTGTCATGCCCTGGCCTAAATGGGCACTGCTGAGATGACCTCAGGAGGTTTCACACTGTCTGGCTTCTTGTATGAGCAGCCAAAAATGGCACCAACTCAGACACACATTTGGCGTCATAACTGAGAGGAACTTTGGTGTGGTATGAATGTATGTACTTGATGCAAACAAGAAACTATGCAAGGTAAAAACAAAGTATGAGCAAAGTTGACCCCTCTGTCAACTTGAATTCTACTTAATCTTTGGATGTTGAGAACAAGCAACAAGATAATGACTTTATTAAACCCTCAATATTGAAACTCCCTGTACCCCATACAGGGAGTTATATATGTTATATAACAAAATGTATTTTCAGATTATATAAAAAGCTTGGTTGAATCACTTATGCCACAGTGACTCCACATTATGGCTCTAGGGGGGATGTGACGTTACAGCATGTCTCCTTCAGCCTCAATAGTCACAATGCAACTGAAGCTACATTGCCTGAGTAGTACAGCGTTAATAGCAGAGTAACAACACACAAACACAGTTATATTCTGAATCTGCGTATCTTTGGTACTGTGGCACATATTGACGCTAGGCTACAGCTGTTGACACACTTTCTGTCACGGAAAGATTAGCACTATGTCCTTACTTATGTGGCTTGTAGAGGGGACACTCACCAGTTTTACGTTGCCAAATGCATAGTGGTGCAAATTATAGATGACGGCAGTGTAGCTGGCCTTAAGGAAAATACAAAAACACATAAACATTAGCCATACTATTGCAAACTCCTGTGTCACGCTGAGGAAATCGTATTGACGGGTTATAGATCCATGGTTCATCCACGCCAGTTTGTTTAGCTAACTAACTATGGCTCGAAACAAATATAGTTATTCCATACTCAAACAAAACTATACATTTATCTGTGCAAGGTTTTGAATCGTATTTTGTGTCGTTACTCACTATGGTCCTGTAAACAACGTGGAAAGTGATGCGAGAATCCAAAAGTCATTGGCCAAAGAGGACGGCAGAGATATAGAAAGCTACTATCTGACGTAAAGAGAGTTTCCAGCTAACACGTTTCATTTGAGGTTCATTGGAGGCACATCACAACTAAGAAATCACAGTAGCGACTTGTCCGGTCAGCAGCAGCGGTCCAACATCCTCCCGTGTTTGCGGAGGGGGCGGCGCTTGCATATGACGTCACCAGCGTTCTGTCGTCATGATTCAAATTCAAATGTTTTATATAAACGCGAATGCAACCACACGTGTATTGGAAATGTGTCTAGCTTTTGCCTTGAATATATGTTGTAACCAAATACACAGCCCGCCTTCCTTGCGTCATTGAGCAGACTTCTTGAGCTATAACTTCCAAATAAGTCAAAACATAATGAAAATTAGGGGTTAGGCTTTTATCTAATGTGGAATAGTAAGAGGCGACACATTCAGTGACTAAATAACGTGCATGGTGCCCAATTACCAAAAGAAACTCCTCTTTCTCATAGAACAGATATTTTGTAACTTTGCATGAATGTTGTCCTCACAGAATTATTATTTTTTGTTTTATTATAATTTATCTATTTTTATCCAAAGTGACAAACAATCCCAACAACAAAAAACAGCAATACCATACAGTCTGAATGAGACCCTTTTGTTACCTCACATGTTATCTTTTTTTGTATATATTTATTGTACGTAGTCTTATTTGGATCATTTGTTGTCGAACCATGATGCTGTGAAGATTGTCCTTCCTCCACCAAGTCCAGAATTCTTGTTGCCATCATTTTTGTGCATAGATGTCCTCTTTTTCACTAGAACTACCACAATGTAATATATATTAGAGATATGTAAGCCGGTAATCATCGTTTGTCAATAAAAAAATATACAAATATTTGTTAAAAGCATCCAGTCCATAATAGTTTCATGCCCTGGACACAAAACTACTTTACATTTCTTCTCTTTATGACAACAAATAAAAATAAAAATCTTATTGGATTTTGGGGAGAGGACTTGCCTGTAAATTTAGGAGGTAATATCACTTAATATATTCTCAATGCAATATAAAAGAATAATAATGATAATAATCAAACCAAAAGTTTTATTCAATTATCCTTTGGGCTGAAATCTGACTGACTGAGTGAGGGTGGTCTTCTCTTTTTCACATTTCTGCCTGAAAAACCTGAATGTGTCAGGGCCAGGGGCCAAAAATACATGCATGTGAAAACTGGTGTTTGAAGCAAACTATTTGGAGTGGGAGGAGTTAGATGGACACAAACGCAAATCTTTCTAACCCTAACAATATAACGTCAAGGCCAAAAAGCACAGGGAAATGGGGACAAGTGAATCCGGACGGTGACATTTAATTTACATCGATCATCAGCAACAAACCTCGGTGGAGGAGTACGGTATCTCTGGGTTGTTTTTATTGTGAGAGGTGACATATACTTGGGATTCCCCAATGACCCAGACTCTGGAATTTTTATGACAGAGACCTAGGAACACTGGTTCTGGAGGGGCAGAAGGAAAAAGGGAAGAATCACATCCAAAATGTGTCTCTATAGAGTCCTGTAATGAGTGCGCTGCCCTCCAGCTTTATGCAGAAACAGCTGATTATGTATCCAACAGGAGGAAACCAGCTTCATCTGAATAACACATTCCTGGACACTGGTGCCTGTTAGTCCACAGGTCACCTGCTCTGGACACTGTAAGGTTTGTGTGTGGGCCTGGAAATTGCACTCCTGGAACACCTCAAAAGACGTCACGGGGAACACTGACATGTGCAGCGTCTTTGAGTGTTCAGAAAAGCTCTATATAAAACCGATGAATCAATATAATTATTACTATTTTTGTAAGTGACTCTTGGAGGTCCTGGTTCCACAGCTTCAAGAGTACAGTAGGAGGTCTGCCATGGTTCACGACTGGAGGAAGGTCCTGGCCCTCTTCATTCGGTGAGAGGCCATTCCTCAGGTGGAGGGTTCAAGTACAGTATTTCCTCCTGACCCCCAGAGGGCCTTCGTGTTATGTTGTTCTCAAGTTATTCGTTGATGTTTATGGTCATTGTGTGTTGTTTACGATAAGCTATTTTGCTACCTGTGCATATTGTATGGTGTGAAGACTGCTGGTAGTCCTTCCCGTTTTTGTTGCACCCCCATCCGCGGTGTATCTTAAGGAGCTACATGCGTGCTGGAGACCGCAACCATCTCTCTAAGCTCTCGGCGGAGGGTTGGGCCTTGGCCGCTATGCACACCACCCCATCGGCTGGCCTGGATTGCATGCCTCCTGCTGCACCGGCTTCCCTCATTGTTTCCCCGGGAGAGTCCTTACGGGAGAATGTGAGGTGCCCTCGGTCCCAATGTCGTGCGATGGATCAGTTGATTACCAAAGCTAACAATTCTGGTGCTCGGACAGGCTGCATAGGTAACACCTTGGTACATCTGATGCTTGCCTTCTCGGCCTCTCTTCAGGAGGGTAATGCTGTGGGAGCAGCTGCTGATGCTACTGCGTTCAGCGATGCAGCTCTGTATACATTTTCCTTGATCTCCAGAGAACTCGTCATGTCAGTCCTAGTGCAGGCTCGTCGACAGGTATGGCTGGCTCAGTCTCTCCTGCCTGAAACCTCTGCCCCCCTGGTCCTGGTGTGGGTGCTGTTTCTGGTATTGATGAACTGACTGAGAGGTGGGGATGAAAGACCATGAAGGATTTTATAGACCAGACAGAGATTGGAGAACTTGACCATGTTATCGAGAGTGAGAAGTTTGTGTTTGTGTAGTATGGGACAGTGGTGAGAGTGATGGGGTTTCTTGTCCAGGGTTTTTACCGTCCGTTTGTAGAGTGAATGCAGGGGTTTCAGGGCTGTGGTGTTTGCTAGGGACCAGGTAGGGAGACAGTATGTGATGTGGGACAGAATCATGGAGTGCATAAACATTTTGGCTGCTGGAGTAGACATTTGGTGGCGGATGTGTTTGAAGTTGCAGAGGTTGTATTTAATTTTATTGCATGTTTTTTTAATGTGAGCTTTGAATGAGAGGTGTGAGTCAATTATTATTCCAAGGTATTTGTATTCTGTGACGATCTGTAGCCTGTTGCCTGAAACTAAAACATCTGAATCTGTGCATGGGAGAGACTTGTAAGATTTGGAGAAGAACTTTGCAACTGTTTTGGATGTATTAAGTTTGAGACAGGAGTAATTGAGCCAGGATGAAATGTGAGCCATGGAGTTAGTGAGTTTTTCAGCAACCTGTGAAGTGTTATTGCCATGTGTGAATATTACTGTGTCGTCGGCGTACATGAGTATGGGAATGTTGCAGACAGATGGGAGGTCGTTAATGTAGAGGGAGAAAAGTAGAGGAGCTAGTGTGGACCCTTGAGGAAGACCGGTGGAGAGACCGAGAGGTGAAGACTGGTGAGACTGGATACGGACCTGCTGCGAGCGATGTGAGAGATATGATTCAATCCATTTTATGAGAGAGGGAGAGAAGTTGAATGAGTGTAATTTGGCCTGAAGGATTTTGTGGTTAACTGTATCAAATGCTTTTTTGAGGTCTAAGAAAACAGCACCCACCACCCCTCCCCTGTCCAGCAGTGCTCTGATGTTCTCTGTGAAGTAGCAGGTGGCTGTTTCGGTGGAATGGTGGGTTCTGAAGCCAAACTGCATTGGGTGGAGACTGTAGGGTGTGGTGTGAAGGTGAAGGGATATTTGTTCTGCAACTAATTTTTCTGCTATTTTAGAGACTGAAGGTAGGATGCTGATGGGTCTGTAATTGTCCATGGATCGAGGGTCACCGCTTTTGTAAATAGGAATAATGATAGAAGATTTCCAGATACTTGGAAACAGATTCTCAGAGAAAGACATATTAATGAGTTTGGTGATGGGGGTTGTGAGAGAAGTGGAGATGTCCTTTAATATGATTGCGTTCATGCCCAATATGTCTTTGCATCTGGATGGTCTAAGTGATTTGATGGTCCGTGTAACATCTGTCTCTGAGATGGATGTCAGGCTGAGAACAGGTGGGTCTTTATTGGCTGTAGGTGAGTGAGATGATTGAACAAAACCTTGCGCTATATTAGCAACCGAGTCAACAAAATAAAGGTTGAATGCTTCAGCCACAGCGGAGGGCTCGCTTGAGAGACTGCCATTAATTTTGATTTCCAATTTTTTGTTCTCTTTGGCTCGATGTCCTGTAATTTTCTTCAATTGATCCCATATAGCTTTGGAGTTACCATTTGCCCCTTCAATTATGGTAAGGAAAAAATCAGCTTTAGCTTTCCTGATTGACCTAACTACCTTATTTCGGAACATAGCAAAAAGACCACGATCATGGGTGGATTTAGATTTCACAGCTTTTTTTAAAGCCTTGTCTCGCTCATTCATGAGTTGTATTATGTCCGTGTTGATCCAAGGAACTATATTTTTATGCGGTTTGAGCTTAATTTTCTTTGTGTAGTCCACAATTGTTTTCTGGAGTGTTTCATGGAAGGAGTCTGTGGCAGTATTAACATCATTATCGTTCAATGATAGATCCCAATTTATTTGTTGAGCTGCAGAAAGAAAGCTTTCATAATTTTTTTTGGGGATATCAGTGATGACATTGGACGAGGGAGAAGATCGGAAGCGGCTGGATGTCAGTTTCCTGGATGTGTCGTAGGACTTTATGTAATGTGCCTATTGAGCCGGGTCAATTATTTGGGATGGCTGCCCAAGAAGCATTGGACCGGATTGTCCAAGCTGGGCAGACTAGACAGCAACTTTCTAGCCTTAGCAGAGTTGGTAAGGGCGCACCCTTACCACCGCGCCCGGCTCGCAAGCCCGGTGGCGCAGGAACTGGTTCTCTCAGAGCCCCTAGCAGGAGGAGAAAAGGCAACAGGAGGAAAAGAGCAGCGCAAGCCTTAGGAGAAATTCAAAGGCGCAAAGCAGGTGAAAGAGGAGCAATGACAAGAGGAGCCATAGTACAAGAGGAATGGTGGGGCGTTCAGACCGTCGACGCTGGAACGCAGTTTCCACGTGCAGTAGACGCACTTTCTCTAAATTTCAGACTCTTGGGGTGTTCAAACCAGCAGTCCTGGGAGGCGCCCGGCAGAAGTAGCTGAAGTGCTTGGATGCCAACAGAGTTAAGCTAGCGCCTTTTTGTGTACAGTTCTTCTCCAAGAAAGCAGCTCTGCAGCGTCTCTGTGTCCAGAGACCTTCCAGAGACTTTATATAACAGCAGTATGTGTTCACGGAGGTGCGCCATAAGTTTATTCTATTATTAGACAAAAACTCAATATGGGGTCCTTGAAGGAGGTGCTCCATCGAGAAGGAGGTTCTTGAAGGAGGTGTGGAGCCTCGCCCAGCACTGAGTCTTGCCAACACAGATCTGTAGAGAAACACATGTTTTAGATGGCAGAAAGCAGTAAACCTGAGGTAAAGTTGAGAACATGGCAGAAAAGATCAGAGAGTTGCCTCTGACATCTATGACACTCATGTTATTGTGTCTCCTTAATATTCTCTAAAGGACTTTTTGTTGCTTTCTGCATGTGTTTGTTATTGAGCCCATGTGATCGTCCTGTTCTCTCCTCATCCTTGCATGCTTCATGAATACTATAAAACTTTTTTTCACTCTTCGCAAATTTTTGAGGAAACAAAGATGATCATTATGGATAATATCCTGTGGAAAACAATCCTTACAACTCATTAAAATATATTACAATTTTATATAAACACTGGTCTTGTGTGTTTGCCAAACCTTGAGTCAAACTCATCATGTGGCATCACCTCACAAACTACTATGCCATGAGGCAGATGTTTTTTGCTGACACATAAAAGTGACCAAACTGATCCTGTGACATGCTTGTGTTAATAATATCTGGGTAAGACCTGTATTTACACTGGCCCCAGCTCAGGCTGTTACACAGGTGTCCACGTGAGGGCGGTGTCACACCATAATAATCAGATGTTTCTTTGATCAAACTGTCCGTAACATGGCGTTCATAGAAAGAAAAGGATATTTGGCTTCACGGTAGCTGCAGAAAGTTACTTTAACAAGGCCAAACCATGGGTCTATAAGGGGTTAGACCCAGAGGATGTCCCGTGGACACGAAAAAAACCTGGTGAAGATCTAGTTGGCAGAGTCAGAGGCTGGTCAGGACACGGGTTGGTAATAATGGCACACACTAGAGAAGTCTTTCTGGACAAATCGTCGAGTGAATACGCTCAAATGCAGCTTCAGCTCTGCAGAAGTTTTGCAACGTTTTGCTTAGAGTTTCTGTAACAATAGAGAGATGCGCCTCACGCGGGCCGCGCTGACGTCTGCGCCGTGAGCGCGCGTCTGCACCACAGCTTCAGACCAGGGATCCAGGAGATCCATGGGATCAACATGAAATCCTGTTTACGCGAGGGAGAAGTCGGACTTTTGGTCAAGTGTTGGAACTACTACAGACTAGTACTGCAAGACTGAGAAGTAAACACATTTTGTTTTAAATATACATTAAAAAAAACAATCAAAATGTCTTCAAATGCAATTAACTTAATGAGTACTACCAAAAAGGCTTAACGAAAGGACAGATGAAAGAATTGTATGTAGGTTATGGGTAGTTCACACTTCCGCAGCTTAATGCTGAATCCCATCTTGAACATACTGTACTTATGTTTATTGATATTTTTGGCTTGTTGGTTTAATTTTGGGGGTATTATTTATGTGCAGCTACTACAGTAAGTACAAAGGGATTCTAGTTTTCATGCGACAGCTGTAACCACTGAACTGCTGTGTATAATGTAATATAATTTAATTTATTAATTTATTCTGTGTTTTCTTTGTTGCTGGATCACAGAGGCATATTTACAACCACCCCAAAAACTAGTCCATGTCAAAGTTCACCATAAACTGCTTTTGTTTGTGAACAAATAGTGTATGAATGATTCTGACCCATCCATCCATCCACTTTCTTCCCTTTAATCCATTTCTTGGTCGGGAGGGTGGCAGTCAGAGCTACACCCAGTACACATAGCACCAGCCCCTCACTGATCCTCCTGCAGGAGTTGAGTCCACAGGAGCCCTGATTATTCAGCAGGGGCTTCAGGCAAAGTGGGGTTAAGTGTCTTGCCCAAGGACACAACGGCAGCAGTCATCAGTGGGAGTCGTGAAGTAGGTCCTGTGGTGGGCTCGAACCCACGACCTTCAGACTCAAAGGCCAATGCTCTACCAACTGAGCCACTGTCGCCCCTGTATCTGAACCTAATAACAAAATGCCATATCCATCCTAATTTGTTATTACTTGTGTTTGCTATTTTTATATTATTCATTCTTAAATTATTGCATTCATTCTAAAGTATGAAAGACCAAAGCAGGGGTCTCCAACCTTTTTCAATCTGAGAGCTACATTCATACAAAAGAAGAGGCAGAGCTACTCCTATTTACAGTTGTATACGACAAAATAGAGAACACAAAACCCCTGGACCAAAGTATGAGCCCAATGCGATATGTAAATGCAGCTTGAGGAAGTTTATCAATGGCCATCTGCATATTATTCATTGTTTTTCCTACAATCAAGGGCGAGAAAATAGAAAAAAGACTCTTGAACAAAAACAAGATAAGTTATACATGTGAATTTGGGAACATAGAATATATAGCTGTTCATAACATAAATGAATACAATGAACCACTAGAGTGCAGTCTTCTATCAATGTATTTAAATTTCAAGCTGTGAGCTCAATTTAAAATTTCAATGTTTACACACATAAAACCTTAGATAATACATTATGCATTAATTTGGTGGCGCAAGTACCATGGACTACGAGTCCAATAAAGCTATCTATCATGCTATAACTTTGAATATGATAGGCTTTGAAGAAAGGAATGTAAGAGTCCATATGTTTCCCTTGGGCTGTAAATCCTGTGGAGAAGTGCCAGTTTAAATTAAAACCACATCCACTCCCATAACCCACCTTTCTCTCGCTCACTAACATACAGTTGTTTCAATGCCACATATTGAAGTACATCCCTGTACCTCAGCAGAGAGCGCTGCAGAACAGAACTTAAAATTATGATGAAAAATGGACTGGAAACTGAAAAGCTGGCTCTAAACTTTCACAGACACTGCTGAGGAATAAAAAGACGGCTTCTAACATGACGAAAAAGAAAGAGAGTATTCAAAATGCAAGACAGTCCGGGTAAGACTTTGTTCATTCTCTGATTGTTAGACAGTAATCACTTCCTCCAGTAAATGCTAAATGGCATTTCTGTGTAACTCTACTCCACATTTCCTCTGTGATGGAAAATAATTGTGTTTTTGAGACCGTTTCCTGCTACACCATCAGGCATACTGCGAGTCAGTAAATACTTTAGCACCAGCAAGGAAGTGTTTGCTTATCAAGATTCATCAAAAATAATTAACTTTTTGTTTTGTTTTTCAGCTCATCAGACTCAGTCTCATCCACAAGCCGGAGTTTCACTCTTGCATTTTTTCTGATACTAACAGGCATTGCTTTGGTAAGTTATCAAATATGTGCCACAGACCGCTTTGTCTGCATACCCCGGTGTATAGGAATGTGTGTGTCAAAAGACGTGAATGATAAAAATGTGACCATTATCCTTAATATAGTTAGTTACTTTGTTCTGTATTTGTTCATATTAGACACTTGGGTCTACAAAGGGACATATACAGTAGAGTATGTGTTGCTCATATGGAAATGTTTCAAGGCAGATGCTTGGCGTCAACTGCAAAGAATCTCAAAATATAAATCTTGGATTAAGGTGCCTGAAGTGCCTTCCACACTAAAGGTTTCTATGTCCAGCCTTCATTACAGTTAGCTTAATCAACACTAGTGCAATTTTGGACCACCATTCTCTTCTGCCAACATCTGCCCTCTTCAGAACAGGTTGTCTCCATATGGGACAACATTTTATCCATGATACTGGCATGATTAACATGATTAGATTTTTTGACCATTGTCTGGAGTAGGGAGGAAGAGGCCAGCGCAGACAGAGACAAGCCGAGGAGTCGCTCCGACCTTACATTGGCAGAGTACAGCCAGGTATGACACTCCCAGGTATGACAAATACTAATGCATCTGTTGAGTATAGAGGTTGTTCTTTGGACACTCAAAGATTATTGATTGACTGCGGAACTTTCCGCAGTCAACCATTGGTTTTGTATTTCTTTATTCCGTCATTTTTTTTGACACGTTTCACAGCTTTCACATTTTCAACAATTTCCACAAGTTATACATCAAAACGTTCCACATGTTTGGGAGATTATTGCTATTACTTTTGGGACTTCAGCGATTTCCGGTTTTTCCGCAATCGGACAAAAATCTGCATTGAGAATTCTGCAATGCATTTTAATAGGCCCATGCATTTTAATAGGACTTCAGCTCTTTCAGACATTTCTACAGTTTCAATGATTCAACAGTTTCAAGGATTCAACAGTTTCAAGGATTTCAGCAGTTTCAAGATTTCAAGAGTTTCAAGGACTTCAACAGTTTCAAGGACTTCAGCAGTTTCAAGGACTTCAGCAGTTTCAAGGACTTCAGCAGTTTCAAGGACTTCAGTGTAATCATGCAACCTAATAGGGATTTTTCCATGTAAACCAGTATAATGCAACTTAATAGGGATTTTTCCATGTAAACCAGTATAATGCAACTTAATAGGGTTTTTTCATGTAAACCAGTATAATGCAACTTAATAGGGTTTTTTTTCATGTAAACCAGTATAATGCAACTTAATGGGGATTTTTCCATGTAAACCAGTATAATGCAACTTAATAGGGGTTTTTACATGTAAACCAGTATAATGCAACTTAATAGGGGTTTTTCCATGTAAACCAGTATAATGCAACTTAATAGGGTTTTTTCCATGTAAACCAGTATAATGCAACTTAATAGGGTTTTTTCCATGTAAACCAGTACAATGCAACTTAATAGGGATTTTTCCATGTAAACCAGTATAATGCAACTTAATAGGGTTTTTTACATGTAAACCAGTATAATGCAACTTAATGGGGATTTTTCCATGTAAACCAGTATTATGCAACTTAATAGGGATTTTTCCATGTAAACCAGTATAATGCAACTTAATAGGGTTTTTTCATGTAAACCAGTATAATGCAACTTAATAGGGTTTTTTTTCATGTAAACCCAGTATAATGCAACTTAATGGGGATTTTTCCATGTAAACCAGTATAATGCAACTTAATAGGGGTTTTTACATGTAAACCAGTATAATGCAACTTAATAGGGTTTTTTCCATGTAAACCAGTATAATGCAACTTAATAGGGTTTTTTCCATGTAAACCAGTATAATGCAACTTAATAGGGTTTTTTCCATGTAAACCAGTACAATGCAACTTAATAGGGATTTTTCCATGTAAACCAGTATAATGCAACTTAATAGGGTTTTTTACATGTAAACCAGTATAATGCAACTTAATGGGGATTTTTCCATGTAAACCAGTATTATGCAACTTAATAGGGATTTTTCCATGTAAACCAGTATAATGCAACTTAATAGGGATTTTTCCTTGTAAACCAGTATAATGCAACTTAATAGGGTTTTTTTCATGTAAACCAGTATAATGCAACTTAATGGGGATTTTTCCATGTAAACCAGTATTATGCAACTTAATAGGGATTTTTCCATGTAAACCAGTATAATGCAACTTAATAGGGTTTTTACATGTAAACCAGTATAATGGAACTTAATAGGGGTTTTTACATGTAAACCAGTATAATGGAACTTAATAGGGGTTTTTACATGTAAACCAGTATAATGCAACTTAATAAGGATTTTTACATGTAAACCACTATAATGTAACCTAATAGGGGTTTTTACATGTAAACCAGTATAAAGCAACTTAATAGGGATTTGTACATGTAAACCAGTATAATGCAACCTAATAGGGATTTTTCCATGTAAACCAGTATAATGCAACTTAATAGAGATTTTTCCATGTAAACCAGTATAATGCAACTTAATAGGGATTTTTCCATGTAAACCAGTATAATGCAACCTAATAGGGATTTTTCCATGTAAACCAGTATAATGCAACCTAATAGGGATTTTTCCATGTAAACCAGTATAATGCAACCTAATAGGTTGCATTATACCACCAGACCAAGACCCAAACGAAGACTCAGACCACCACCAGATAATGACCACAGACCAGGTTTCCTTAGTTACAGGAACCAAATTGTTTCAGCGGTGAGGGGATTTTTCAGTTTCAAGGACACTTTCAATACATTCAGTAGTTTCAAGGATTTCAACTGTTTAAGAATTTAACCAGTTTCAAGGATATCAGGAGGTTCAAGGATTTCAGGAGTTTCAATGTTTCAACAGTTTCAAGGATTTCAGGAGTTTAAAGGTTTCAACAATTTCAAGGACTTCAGGAGTTTCAAATATCTATCAAGTATTTTAACAGTTTCAAGGCCTTTTAAAGGATTTCAAGGATTTTTTTTAGCAGATTTCCACATTAGATCTGTTCCGCAGTCAATCGCAATGGCTTCAGCCATTGCAAGTTTCTAGTTTATTCATTGTTCATTCACTCACGCGGTATTTGTAAACTACTATAGCCACAGCTGCCCTGGGGCAGACTGATCAAAGTGATTCTGCCAACCTAACTTATAGATCAAGTGCATGAAGCCATAAAGAAGGAGGTGGTCATTCACAAACAGAAAACCTCAGACTTGGCCATACTGAAGGCTTGTACCTCAAACACACAATGTAATTTAGATTTTATTTAAATTAATACATGCATTGTGATGTAAATGTGAATCCCTCTGTCTCACTGTGGGGATTTCAAAGCATAGAATCACTCTTGGTTGATGTTGATGTTTTCAAACTTTAATAATATAAACAATTTATTTTATTATACCCTATTATAGAAGTTTTGTTCAGATTGTTAGTTAGAAGCATACCATTTCTGTATGATTTCAGAAAAGCTCTGTGAGCTTCTTAAGTGCCGCACTCCTGTGGGATCCTGGTGCCAGGTTGTGAAAGACAAAGGTGCACTTGTGCCAAAGTGTATCTGTCCAAAGACTTGTTCAAGGTAAGACATATTTGTTTGTTTTTATCTATCATGAGCAACATCATGACTATATGTCTCTTGTTTGAAGGCAGAGGGCGCCAGTGTGCAGTGTGGTGGGTAAAACATACATGAATGAGTGTTTTCTGCACAAAGAGGCATGCAGAAAGAGACGGCGCACGGGACTGGCTCACACTGGACCATGCATGAGTAAAGACGCACATACATTATTACACACTATTTCCACTCAACACCAATAACGCTGTGCCTCTTGATCAAGTCCCCAGTGATAATTGCACCCAGGAGGAGCTAGGCCAGTTTCCATACCGCCTCTTGGACTGGTTTCTGCTGCTCAGTCGAATGGGAGAGTCGTACGCACCTGACGCTCCAACACAGAGCTGTCTCAGTCATGCGCAGAGGATACAGCTGGCACAGGTGTGGAAAACTTATGACCCTGGAAAAGATATGAGAAAAACCTCCTGTTAATGTGATGCAAGACAAACAATGTAGGTAAACCAGCAAGGATTTATGTGTGGCAAATAAACATCAATATTCATAACAGAAGTATTTCAGAAAAGAATGTCAAGACAAAGGCTAATTCTACCTGGGCATAATTTAATGTGGGTCGTAAATTGGCTTTTGCCACTAGACCACATAATGGCAGATAGTGGACATTTCTTGTGCTGTGGTCATCCTCAGACAAGATGATGGCTTTCAACAACAGCTTGTAAAAATAGGTTTTGGTCAATAATCACTAAATTATTCAATGTGAGGCTGAATAAAGGGGAAACATAATCTGGTCCATTGAGTCACCCCGTACCCACAATCTGCAATAAATATAATACTGAACCATATGATGTCACTTCCATAGAATATTGCAATTAAAGTCATCACTCTGGTGTGCATTAACGTACGCAGGAGTTGAGATTGTGTTTTGACTGCAATACATTCACATGTCTGTTCTGGCAATGACCAAACAATAAAGTTTGATTTCAGTCATTATTTTTCATCTTGTTTTGTAGAACATTGTAAGAACCTTGTTTAAAGCCCCGATTAGCCAAAACATAAATACATATAATGAGATTTTTGTTGACAACATTTTTTCACTTTGGCACATGCTTTTACACTAAAAAGGTGTATAAAAAGTGAGTGGCCTTATATCTCCATAAACCTGAACAGAGAGGGTCTGGAGGATGCAAACATATCTATAGCTACAGTATAAGCTTCCAGGATATGGCATTAACATGTATTTGTACTTTATATTATTCACTTTGTATTTCCTTGGAATTATGCAGGTGATTTTTAAGCAGCAGAAAGTAACATACTGTTGTTTTAAACCTGGAAAGCATAAAAAAACATTGTGGTGAATTGAATAAATGAATTGAAAGATGTGTGATACGTTTATCTTATTCTTCTCAGCAAAGATTTGCTTTACTGGATAGGAACAGAGACGGAAAGTTGAGCCGCAGAGACCTGAGGAAGCTGCATTACAAAAGGATGCCTCTGGAGCACTGCGCTACTTCTTTCTTTCAGTGAGTCTTTCTGGTGTCTCTTATAGTTCAACATATTGCTCATTTCATGTATGGAATGGAAACTCCTCAAGAAAAATAAGTAATATATAACGTGTTTGAATATGCTTCTTTTCTGGGTAAATGCTGAAACATTATGGGTTAAATATGTCACAAAGCGCCTCCGCTCTGTGAAGTTGCACCTCCCACCATGCTGTTCTCTCTGCATGCCATCTATCCATTCATCCCTCATGCCAATACCCATTCCCTGCTCTCCTCCTATGACCACCTCTCCATCACCATATTCTTCCTACTTCACCACAAACTCTTTGTTGTCTTTTTCATGTTCTCCTAACTTATGTCTCAACATTTCCCACTATGCTAAACCTGTGTGAGTTTGCATTGGAATGTTTAGAAAGTGAGATTCTGGCTGTGTCAATGTCAAGCTATTCCAAGCAATGATAATGTTTATTACCCACTGCGTCTCCCGCTGCTGTGGATTGACTCAAATTGAAGGAGTATCCTTCAGAGATGGTGGCGCAGGTAAAGTCAAAGACAATGACACTTCATGGCCATTAGTTCTGGCGTTTCCATACTTGGACACATGTAGAGATGTACTAGCTCATGTAAAACAGGTAGTTTGGTGAATAATAGGTTGCCTAATGTTGTTGCAGATCATGTGACACAGACAGGAACAGGAAGGTGACCCAGAGAGAATGGACCACATGTCTGGTGGACAATTCTGAAGCCTGGTTTTACCACTTCATGTGTACGTATTGTCAATACAGATACAGTCCTGGAGTAAATGCTGTTTAGAGAAAGTTTAACTGAGCATTGACAAATGGTGCAAGATGTTTTTCATTAGTTCTAATGTGAATTTGTGTCCTTTTCACTATCCCAAAGACTTGAAAATCATGTATCAAAGTGAATTCTATTATAATTGCAGTATAACATAACCCACATGTTGGCACCAGGAATACTTACAAAGATACAGCGTGACTTAACTATGTAAATATTTATTCTCTGCTCTCTTCACAGCAATCAGAATGGGTTCTCACAAGATGTGTTCAACGCGCACTGATGACGACCTTTAACACAATCTCACTTTGTTTTATATATATTATAATTTATGATATATAAATATGGTATCATCAAATCAGAAGTCAACTCCAGGTGGCTGTAGTAAAATATTTAGATAAGAACACAGCATGCCTTGAGTACCGTAACCATAAATGAGTGAAGTGCTTCAAAGGATGAAGTGATGCCAGGTGGATGGCTAATAAAAACAAAAAGATGACAATGCTCGGTTTTACAAAGAGAGAGATATCTAGTGTTGGGAGTAAATCCTTTCTAAAGTAACCTTTCTATTGTATTATTTTTGAAAGATACCCATTAATGTTACTTACTAAACTTTTTTTTTTTTCTTTTGCACTGTTGACAATCATTTTAAAGAGAGCTTTGTACATCTTGACCCAGAAGAAGCAGGTTATTTGAAACAAAAAGTTTTACTCAAAGTAATGTAACTCAGTTACATACCAATATTATATTAAAATTACATTTTCATCCCAGTAACTAGTCATATCTCTATATAGCACAGATGTAGAGTACTCTGCAAAATACTGCAGACAAGAAAGTTAGTTTGTGACAAGAAGAGAACATGATGCACTTTAACTTTGAATTCAGAGTAACATAAAAAATGGATTAGAAAAAGAAGGATAAACAGAGCCGCAATAGGGAATGCATGCTGAAATACAGACAGACTTTTGGGCTCGAGCTTTACACACTCATGAGCCATGGAGCACAGATTATTTCAAACCTTTGACCTGTATCAAGGTCAAGAGCTATGTATGTTTAAAGCTGACTTTGTGTCTGTACCATTTATAATACATGCTGCGCTCAGAACTCTTCTTGCATCTTGTTTATTTGCTTGAGGATAGTCCACAAGAGACTGGGAATGTATGCGCTTGAGTTGGTTCTGCAAGATCAATAAGAGAATTTGTGGCCTGGGGTAGCTGCTTTAGTATGACTGGATTCTGTGGACTAATTAGTCCTCAAATTTACCCTGCCTAAAGGACTAGGAGAGGCAGATTGAGGGGCATTTGCAAAACAAAAAAGGTGAACAAAATTATGTGGGGAAAATAAAAAGATACAGTACTTGTGGCCAAATCAGAAACTACTGATACCTTCAGTTAAGCCTCATAAACATTCAAGAAACTTTTTCAGAAAAGGGATGGCAATACAAGACACTGTGGAATTTAGATTCAACATATGGAAAACACAGTTTGATTGTTTTTATAAGGGATACACCCACAAACCTTAACATGTCTTCAATCATTCACTATCCCCTGGAGATTGATCACATATTGAAATAACACAAGGCCACCCCTGAAGGTCCAAAGCTTACTGCTACCTTGCTTTGTGTCTTCTCCCCCTTCTCTCTCTCCGTACCACAGTCCTTCCATCCCCCATATAAACAAACACAGTTGTAGATCCACCTAATCCTGCTTCTTGTCACAGAAAGCCATCTATGCCAAAGACCTACTGTCCCCTCCTGCCACTTGCTATTTGGATATAACCAGAACCCATGGCTCCATTTTCTGTGTGCTGATTTCATCTCTGATCATACTCTCACACTTCCACGCTCCCATGGGATTCTGGGAGCGCAGGAGCAGATGGACGCCGAGTGATGACACGTTGTTAAAAGAAAGATTCTAGTTAACCCGTTGGCAGCTCGCGCGCCCTTCTCCTTGCCCCATGTCCTACTGAATTACCTCCAATTAAATTAGCCTTTCTGGAGGAATCTAACTTCCCCAGCTATGTCAGAGCATGGGCTTTTACTCAATGCAGAAGTCAAAAAATGTGGCACTGACTGAAAGCACGCAGCCTGGGACCCCCGACCCTCAAACATGATATTTAATACATGGCAGTCATAAAGACATACCAATAAATAATGCATGACTCATAAGCAGGCATCAATAATAGATGAAAAGACTAGGGTTTTTTTCACGCAATTAAGACAACTGTTTTTTCCTGTATGAATGGACTGTTTAATGTAGTTTGTACGTTGAATGTATTAGTAATTATGAAGCTATACAAACAGGCGACCTAACATCAAAAGAAATATTATGGCCAAATATAATAAAAGTAGAAATGAGGATAGAGAGATGTCGTCCATGCCATTGATTCCAGGTCCGGCAGATGTCACACAGATGTCCGTTCCAAACTGGCTACAGCTCATAAACGCTCCGCGGATTTGGAAAGTTCTAAGTCGACAGCTCATATTCTTAGATGTGCTTGCAGTAGTTACTGTATGTGTCTAAGGTTAATCACCATCCATCTTCAAAAGCATGGCATATCGTGCGATGCCAGATTGTAGAATTTCAGAACTTCTTAGAAACTGTAAAGTGGGCCAGCGAATGGAGAGAGGAAAAGTGATGGCTTTGAAAAGGAAGTTGAGCGGCTCCAAAGGGTGCTTGATGAAAAAGAAGACAGCCACTAAAGTGATACATTTATTAATAGCTATCGCGCGTAAGATTGCTTGTCTGTGAAATGATGTAGGCAGAGAGAAAATACAGAAGAGGTCTTTTTCTGCTTTAGTATGCGGACAGACAATATTCCCAGTGGGAGGAGTAGATCCCATTCAGGTGCACCTCAATAGCTCTATACTCTGAAGTACCTGGTGAATGAGTGGGGAAAGGCCCTGAGGCAGAATGGTTAGGTGGAGTTAGCATACAATAAGGCAGGCCCCCTTCGGCAGGTTCCCCCTTCACTAATGATATTGATTAAAGATGGAAGAAGGAGCGCTCCATCCATGAGGCCCGCCATTGTGTGGAGATGAGTGGGCGGAGCTTAGGAGGCTGGGAATTGAAAGTACCCCGAGTCCTTCAAAATCTGTGCTTGACCTTTGAGGCGAGCACATAAAGGCTTTAATACAGGCGGCCTGTCGACGGGAAGCCGTGAATGACGACCTTGGATCAGTTATTGCCACTTCATCACATTGTCTCCGGGTAACTTCGTTCAGTCAGGAATGAGGCGCACAATTAACAAAGAAATAAAATCAAGATTCAATGAAGCAACAAAAAATATTCGTAAGAGAAGATAAGAGATTTTTTCTATTTTCATCCCATAGAGGGGAAATTTCAATGTTGCAGCGCACATACAGGACAGTAGTAAGAGCACAATGGGAGCCGACAAAATATACAATATACGTAGCTTCTATGTTTCTTAGCTAGCTGTAAATGCTTCAGTATCAGAATATTTCTATTTATATGTATAGTGCCAATTTATATACATATAGGGCAGGATAATAAGTAGATGAAGTGGCATTCTTGCAATTGCAGCTTCTACTAGGGTCATTTCAGCTAAGATTCTGTTGGGAAAACAATTTTGCTTTACAGCCAAATGACATAACAAAGTAATACAGTTTCTCAATGATGGGATCTTTGTAAAAAAAATGAAATGAAAAAAAGAAGAAAGATACACCATAAACCGCAACGTGCATACCTTTTTATCAAAGCAAGCACACAAAATAAACATAAATCAATTCACTATTTGGAAGCCCATTACTCTATTTGCACATTTTGAGCTGGGACTGAACAAGAGATAAGCTCCCAAAGACAAAGTAACCTCCAGAAATCTGCCTGCTGCGTGTGTTAATACAGATGTTATCAGACCGGCCCGGAGAACGGTTAATGCGTTTAACTTTTACACACCGCCTCCCTTCTCCCCTTGAACGCTCTCCTCTCATCGCCACCCCCAGTCAGTGACCTCACCGGCAGCAGCCCACTCACTGCCTCTCTCCCAGATAGCACGTCCACATACACAATCACACATGAGGCTATTTGAATTGCAAGTGAGCTTAGATCACTATAGCGGCAAATGTAAACAGAAGGGAAAGCTGTTTGACAAAGTCCTTAACTGGACCGGACTGAGTGTGAATGAGAGCTGGGCCGTCTGGGAAAAAAAAAGGACAACCACAAAAAGATCACCTGGGGCACCTTTTTGAAAACCGCTAGAAACTACAGAGGAGACCCATGGGAGCAAGCCAAACAGCCGACAACAACCTGCTGTCGCTCCTCCTCCTTCATCCATCCTCCTCACTCAGTCTCTCAATCTGATTCTATCTCGCACTCATAGCACTAGCACCGGAGAGGGGACTGTCTGCACACAGAGGAGAAGAGGTTAGTAAGGAACTCCAGTGTTCTCATTGTAGAGTCTATTGTGTATTGTGTGTGTGTGTGCGTGCGTGCATGTGTGTGTGTAATCTCAAATTTCCACAGGAGCAGAAAGTCAGAAAGTTGTTTATTTGATGCAGGTGTGGTTTGTTTGGCTTGATATGAGTTGCGTATCAATATAGGCCTGTTGTATGTATATGTTTTGCATATATCTAATAAGTCTATTTGAGTTCAAAAAGCTTAAAGGACAAAGAAAGTGCAAGGAATTGTTTTTGTGTTTGGCTATTCGCATGTGCAATGTGATGTAGAAAATCAGCCGTAAAATCCTATCAGGTTCCTATTCGTCTCTGTGCGTTTGGTCAACCCCCCTTCGCTAACACCTCAATCACCACCAGGGAAACACAGGCCACTTCTTTTCGCCTGTAGTAGTTTCAAGGGGACAACAGATCCTGCCGGGACCACCCCATGCCATTTAATCTGTCCCTTGCCCGCAGATAACAGAAAGCAGATGGTCCCAGCAGAGAGATAGAAGGGATAGCTTATACAGCACATGAAACAAAAATAACAATGAACAACATTTGAATTGTCCCAAACAAAAAATAAAAAGGAAAGACAATTCTGTGCTGAATGACTTTTGTCAGGTCACATATATTAGATATGTGCACAAAAAGAACAAGAGAAGATAAACCTAGATGTACTCCCTGCAAATGCAATAGTGCATGCATGAGTAATTGCAGTATACATACTCTATAATATGAACTCAATGTAAAAAGGGACTAAGTGGGACCATCAAAGTCCCGGGCTGCTGCGTTTAAAGCGACTGTATTTATTTATAGAGGGTGGTAGTTAAGTTCACCAAAGCTGCGTCTCTCTCCCTCTCCCTCGTCTCCGTAAGACCCAGCCGCTTCGCCTTATGAAAATTCAATTGGCCATAATTTGCCGGAGAGCCATATGCATATTTTATCGGTGGGTAGGATTTGAAGAAACAAGACGTGCCAAGCCTTTTTGTGTGACTCGTCTTCTATAACTAGACTCAATGAGGGGGTGTGTTGCGAGTTAAAATGTCACACATCTCACACATCAGAAACCAATCAGAGCCAGAACACTGAATATTAAAGCAGCCATATTGCAACACAGTAATATTTGCTAGATTTACTTTCTCATTTCTTTCCCTCTAATTATTCAGACATTTTCCACTTCTTCCATTTCAATCTTCCTGTTTCTAGGCTTTATGGGTCGTTCACTTGCGCTTCTGTGCACGGATAATGAGAAGGCTCCTACTGCCTGACTTTGTAGCTTTGCCACAGTTTGAGAGTTTGCATGTGGGAGCGTCCTGGGGCCCAAAAAGGCTCAGATCTGTGTTCCTTCTTGCCGTTACCGCCTCCGTGGTTCTGCTGTGATTGTCATCTGATCTATGGGGCACCATACCGACATGATACACCTTGTTAGAGGAAAAGGAGGGTGGGATGACTGTGACTTTGAACAAATGTGTTTCTCTCTGGGGACGGAGTAGCGGAGTAATCATTCAAAGGGGCATATGCTGCCACTCACACAGGCAGCCGTAAAAATAATCCCCATTTTGTGTTTATAGCTACAGAGTTTGTTTAGCTCTGAGCCACAGACAAAAAAGGTCAAAGCTTGAAAGTGCCAATAAAAATACACCAGAATGAAGGCATTACACATTTTTTCCCCCAACAATTGACAAAATATCTGTCTTTTTAACCAGATCACAAACTGGAGTTGTTTTTGCCCTGTACCCAAAAATAGTTAATTATAGGGCACTTGTATAGAAGTCACCAAGTTTAAATGCAAAAACTAGTATGGTATTCACATTATCCAAGAATGGAGATGATTGCTAAACAAAACAATCTGTTTAGAGCCCATATATAGCTATAATTTCTCAATTGAAAAAATGTATAATAATAATAATAGTCTTGTTGTGTGATAGTTTTCTACATCTGTTACCCCTGATCAGATCTGACTCGTTGAAACCTCCTCCAGGTGTTGTTTGTCTACCTCAAAGCCTATAACATCACCCTCTACTAATAAAATACCTGCAAAGTTACGATGCCCATGATAACAGATATCTAATTAAACTCCCCTAACTAAAAATAGCAACAAACCTCGATGTAAAGGCAGCGACTTCACACATTGACACTTTTGTTCTTCTTTTTTACACACATTTCTGAGTAATGTCATCTGCCAATGTTGTTCCCTCGCATGGATTATTATGAATTAGCTATTCATTTCAAGTCACTCATACAGCATAAATATATTTCACATTTGGGACTCAATTCTCTTTATCTTTGTTTCCAGAAAAATAACCAAATCCAAAAGGCAGAATGATACCTCTTTCCTTGTCTTGGAGTGTTGGTGTGGTGTTGTGTTGGATTTCTCTGTGGCCTGAACTCCAATCAGCACTATCGCCCGAGAACGAGGTGCCCCTTCGCCCCACCACATGGCTGCCGGAGGGGAAGATCACCCATGTCAGGCTGCCCAAAGGAAAGACTGTCAGGTGAGGGAAACATGTGCTTGGTTATCGAAACAGACCAATATAGTACTTTCTTTGTATTAGAGTAAGTATGTACACTATTTTAAAAAAGTACTCACCTCAACTCACGGCTGCATTGAAAACTTTTATCAAAATAATGAATCAAATTGTGCAAGACAATTTTAAAAAGTAGAAGAACTTCCCTCATTAGGGCACTTTAAGAAGGCAAGGATGTGTTTCTTCGATGTTAAATACTTGATTTCAAGACTGGTGTGTGAAATGTTCAACCTCATTTCATGTCATTAATCCAAGCATGTATCGTTTGGTCAGCTCTAAAATGCCAACATTTACCTTTCAATCTAGGATAGGTAAATGTTGATGTGGTTTAGATGAATATGTAATGGCTCAGGTCCTAATTAGACAAAATGTGACATTGAATCCAATGGAGCTCCCTCTATAGCAGGGTTGTCAAACTCAATTTGGTTGAGGGCCAAGTAAAAAACATAAGCGCTGGTTGGGGCCCAAAATATAAAGGTGGTTTGCTTTTATTATTGCTATTAATTATTTTTTTCTATTTTGACAAATTGATTTGACTTGACATGAGTTTGGATTCAATCACAACTGTGCCAAATATAAAAAAGATGTAATTTAGTAAAAGATTCATAGTTAAAATAGATTCATAGTTAAATAATAAAACTTTCGCCTAACTTAACTTCTGATTACATGTTAGTTAACATTTTAGGACAGATACAATCATCTTTTCCAGAGAAAATAGTCTTTAAAATGGAGCATAACATAATGGAGTATACGCTGCAAGTTACTGTAATGATGATAATTGAAAATCATTTCAGCGGTCACTAAAATTAGTCTTACCGGCCAGATTTGGCCCACGGGCTTGAGTTTAACAAGCCTGCTCTATAGGAATACATGCACAAACACGCTTCATGGGGAAATTTACTATTTTGAAGAATATTTAGGCTCCAATAAAACATTATAGTCCAGGCATGAAGTTGAATAGTAAGTTAATAGACATATAATACACATTAAACCATTATGCATCTGTGATTAGCACTTGACCAGCCCAGCACCACTGCAGAGCAAGCATAAGGAAGTCCATTTGGCCCCAGCCCTCCAGCCCTGTGCCAGGACCCTCCACTACGAGGGAGATGAAAATTTGTGACATGATTCTCCCGGTGAGCATCAGTCTGTGCAGCAGCCTGTCCACCAGTGCAGAGCTGCAAAACAAATAATATCATTTTTATCTCATTTTAATTAATCACTCTGTTTAATAAGACTCGCAGCGCCCTTGAGAATGACAGTGTGGCACATCTGCTGGGAACAACCACCATCTGCACAATATTATGAATAATGGTGTATGCGAAAAAGGAGAACAAATATTAACAAACAAGCCGCATGAGTCATGAATACTACATTTTCACGAGATCTAACTTGCCGTGAGAGAGTGGCATATTGCAGACTGCTAAATAGAGGACAAAATATTTATTTCTGACAATGTGGTAAGAGAAAGCAGGCTTGCTTTCACAGATGAGAGATAGCACCAAGTGAATGACAATTGCCCTTGAGTTGTCATTGAACTACAATCCGATATGCAAATCATCTACATTTACAACCACACGCAACATCACTGTTTCTATTCTGGGCACGACTCCACATAATGCCAGAAAAAAAGCAGATATCCATCAGAGCAGCTTTTGCATGAAGCACGAGGGTCACCTTTCAGCTGGCTGGTAATTACTATGCCATAATAAACTTTTGTAGATTTTTACCATATTTCTTTTTGCAGGCTGTACTTCACCTTAAAGAAGAAGACATCAGGGATGTCACTGACCGTTAGCCCGTGTGATTTACGGATTGAGTGGAGTTTAACAGCACGGACACTGAAGGATAAGCCATTCAAGAGTCTTCAGTGTGAGTATTCACACTGTACATATCATTACATATCAGCATTTATTTTATTTTATTTCTTTTTTTTTAATATAGGGAAATCGTCAAACATTTCAATTGTATATTTGTGTAATATTCTGATTCAGAAAATAATGAAAAATATTGAAATATCACTGAAAAGGTCAAATGGGGATAAATAATAAAAGTTTAAGAAAGACGAGTGCTTCAGTGAGCACATGCTTATCAGGAGTAACAAGTGAGATGTTAATTACAGTCAGGAGTGCCTCAAAGGTTCTCTTTTCTCACAGCCCTAAATATTACTTTGGTGGCAATGGTGGTTGGAAAGAAAGACATCAATTAATCTAAAATCATCTTAGAATAATAAACCAGGTTTATAAAAAACTTCTAGAACAGTGTTTAGATTCAGATTCAGACTACTTTATTTATCCCACCAGGGGCAATTCATTATTAAACTACGGTAAGAGAACCACTGAAGTCTGTGAGCCGGGGTTTGTCCACTGAAAAGTTTACTTGGGATTGTCTGAAAACTCTACTCATTGGCATTGAATCAAATGTCACAACCCTGTCACAAGGTGCGTGTGTGCGAGCGTGTGTGGTCTCATCATATGAACGTAGACTTCTATTAAACTCCTAAACATGTGTCAGTTACACTAATACCTTTACAGCCTGTACAGCATCGATATTATATTCAAGCCAGATCCCGTCAGACCTCTGAAGTTCAACAGGGCAGGGCCTGGTTATATCGCTTCCCTTGAGCCAAATATTGGAGGTGACACCTGCTGTAGACTGTAGTTAGTCATGAGATTAATCATTTCCACAGTAGAATAGATGTTTTCTTTAAAAATGACTCTAGAGCAAGTGGATTCTAAACTATCTTAATTATTCACTTTGTCTCAACTCCAGTGTTAATGTTCTCCTCAAATTGATTCAAACAGAGTTAAATATTATACCCATATGAGTGCAAGAGAAAACACAACAAATTAAATCAATCTCACAAGTTACTTCTGGAACATTAGGTTTTTAGAATATACTCTAGCTGCTTCACCTCACAATCAATTATTCAAGAGAATAATTGCTATATAAAGTTGTCGTTAAACTACTTATCTGCATTTTGGAGTAGATTGTTAAGCGTGGAATTTGGTTGTTACACACTCACAGCAGAAAGCCATCTGAAAATATTCTATATATTTATAAATATGACCAATGTTTGCACTTGAGCCTTATCTGATTTATTTAGTTGAATAATTGTACTAGATTTGTGTAAGTTTAATATCACATCATTCAAAATATGTATCTTTTTTCTACTACAGGGATGACAAAAAAGAGCACTCCGGAGGTTTGGTGGCGTGGTCCAGGCAACGAGGAGAAAATCCACAGCTTCTCTGGAAACTCACTGCACACGTACAGCGGCCCCACTCACTTCCACGCCTCCATCTACATCCTGAGACTGCGCTCCAAACTGCACAACTCCAAAGCCACCGTCTTCCTCCACGAAGGCAAAGGACCATCCGGAGCCTTCCCACTGCTCCCAAACGACACAACTGTTCACACGCTGGGAGTTGGGATGACCAGTGTCACTTTGAATTGGTCCCCAAGTCCTTCGTTGACCTCCCAAAAAGGATATGAATACTGCGTTTTGGTCAACTCCCAAAATAACTACCCCAGTCTGTGTGCCGCGCAGGACAGCATCCAGAGAAAGTCCGAGGTCGTTCAGAACAGAAATGAGAAGAAACGGGGAATGACACCATGGCCGATTTTAAAAGAGTGGTGGTGGGAGCAGTGGGACAGCTATCCAGACTCAAAAGACACGGATAAATTAGAAGATTTCCAGTGTGTGTGTAAAGGAGCAGAGAACGTATGCACCGTGTCTGAGCTCCTACCTGACACTCAGTATTACTTTGATGTATTTGTGATGGATAAGCTGAACAGGACCAGCGTGGCATACAGAGGCTCATACGCCCGGACCCACGAAGAAGCACGAGCGGATATAACCACGCTGAGAGAAGGGGAGCTCCGGTGGGTCAACTTTCCAGACAGGAGCTTCAACTCGGAGCAGTTCTTCAATTTCCGTCCACAAGGCTGGCAGCAGAGCGGCCTTCTAACGCTGCAGAGCTGTGGCAGAGATGAACAGATCAAGGTCATAGTGTCCAGTAAAGGAGAAGTGCTGGAGACTCAGAAAATAGGAGGGGAATTGGTGCAGATTTGGCTTCAGGGAAGTCCATCTTATTTGATACACTTGGAGAGAGAAGGGACTCCATCAAAGAAGATTCCTCTACCAGCAGGACTGACGGCATCAGTGAAGATGCAGACTTCTTCTGCCTATCACAAAAGAGCTGTCCCATCACTGCCCTCAACTTTACAGATTAAGTCTTTCAACAAACTGCGCACATGTAACAGTGTGACGATAGCCTGGATGGGAACAGAGGAGCGGAGTCTCTACTGCGTCTATCGCAGGAAATTAGACAGTCAAGAAGAGTCTGGTAAAGCGTTAGCTCTGAATACCCCATGTCTGGGCCCAGAATCCCGCTCTGACACAGAAAGGGTCCTCTGTAAATATTTTCAGGAGCTCAATCCCAGGCGCGCTGTCACTACAGCTGTGATCAGCGGCCTGGAGCCTGGAATGGCCTATGTGTTTGATGTCTATCTAATGAGACGCTGGGGGATTCCTATCAAATACACAAGTAAGATGGTAAAGACAAGAAGAGACTGCTGAGCTGCCGCCCTCTACAGGAAAAGGATCAGAGCGTCCTATAGTTAAAAGGAATGCTGACCACTAACTGTAAAAAATGGCTATTCAAAAGTCCATTTGAACGTTTACTGTTATGGAAGGGATTCCTCTTGAGAAATAATGGTTATATGGGGATACTTGGAGTAGACCCAACCAAGAGGGTGTGGATAAAGACACTGGAGACTGATCTACACACCAGCAAAATGCAGTACAAAACAATTCTGGTGTTTCTGTCTGTTTGTTGATTACATCTATGACTAAGACCATTTCAATTCTGTGCCAGTTTTCAAAGTACCTTATGTGTTCAATGGACAAAATGGTTTCTGCCAAACAGACACAAAAGAGACAATAGTTGCATCTCTAAAACAAGATGAGTGTGTGATAGCCTCTAACTGTAATGTATTTGTACAGGCTTTCAGAGACAGATGGAACAAGATACTTTGTCCAAAGTCAATGTGTACTTTATGTTCTGCTTTTGCATGAAGCAGTGGGAATAGGCTAGTGGCTTGCCTAATGTCTTTGGTGTATCTTGTGCTGCTTAAAACTGCACCAATAAAATATGAGTTCTCTGTGTGATTTTATGACTGGTGAAATAGATTTGTTTTATTAATTTTTTGTCATTTAAATGCAACACTATGCATTTAATGCATTTAACACTATGAAATTGCATGATATTCTTTTAAAAAAAAAATACAAATCTAAACCCATATTTGAACATTATTGAAAACAGATACATTTTAGGCCCAACTGAAGCATTCCTACACGACAAGAGCACGTTTAAGAGTCATGTTTGTGGAGTTACAAGCCCACTCGTCTCCAATGAGGCCAACATACGAAATTAATAAAAACAACAAAATGCAAACATTAAAATAAAGACATAATTTCCCTGATGTCAAGAAATTGAATAACAAGAACATACCGAGCCACCACGTGCTAGAGCAGCCAGTCCAATATTATAGCTAAAGATGTACGGCAAAATTGTCAGAAATAACCACTTTTTACTCAAAATAATAAATGTCTAAATGAACGGTAAGTGACGTACTTGCATGGTCCATCACTCTCAGCCAATGGAAAGATGCGATGGGACTATACCCCATGACCTCATCACGTCAGCGTCAGCAGGAAGAATCCGCCAGCGCGCCAAACTAATGCAAACACGTCTTGTGCCTGGACGCATCATGGTCCTGAAACATCAGTAGAAATAGCTGAAATTTAAGACATATTCTGAGTTGAGGGTGCTCTGCTGTAGAACACTGCTTCTCGCATTAGTCTCAAAGCTATTTTAGTTTGACAATGGGTTTGATCGAGCGCTGTAGCGAGCTATTCAAGACCTCCAGCTTGTATGAAGTGATTGGAACCACGAAGCAAGCCACAGAAGCCGAAATACGACGAGGCTACTACAAAGTTTCTCTCAAAGTTCACCCTGATCGTGCTCCAGACGATGAGCTGGCCACGGAGAAATTTCAGGTTGTTGTCCTTTTCAATAATTCGCTAGCTTTGTTAGCTTGCTAGCCAAACTAAGCTAAGCTGTCATCAACACTATTTGATATGAAGTGTCAACAACTGTGTAAAGTATATCTACATATTTATCCATATACCTTTTCTACATGGTCAATAATGTTGCCAATGCTAACCTATACAAAAATAAAATTGATCGTTTAAAATCTGGCTGGTTGGGACAAGTAAATTATAATTCAAGAGTAGAGTTAATCACTAAAATACAATAGCAGTAGTAATATTTTTACAGACCAAGGTCACCAAAAGCACTTTACAATATTATCTTTCTCAGTCGTGGACAATAGCAAATTATTCTAAATAAACAGATAAATAAATCTCCTGGTACATGGGATACATTGCTTAAAACTAATACGGTCCCTGGTCAGATGGAGATGTCTGGTCAGTAAATTGAGCTAATCGTTAACAATGAAATGAATTCCGGTATATGTGGACTTTGAGTTTTGGTTTGTAAATCTATTTTCTTGTTTGTAGCTTTTGGGAAAGGTGTATGCAGTGTTGACTGATACAGAGCAGAAGGCTGTCTATGATGAGCAGGGCATTGTTGATGAGGAGAGTGACATTCTGAGCAAGGACCGCTGCTGGGATGACTACTGGAGAGCGCTTTTCCCCCAGGTACAAAGGCACTGAGGGGATGTTCACAAACCAGGGCATATTTGAATCCTCACAGCAACCTAGTAAGTTGTATGACAGCTGGTTGTCTCCTTAGATCACAGTACAAGATATCATTGAGTTTGAGAGCAAGTACAAAGGCACAGACGAAGAGCAGCAAGATGTTCTCCAGGCGTATGTCCAGCACAAAGGAAATATGGACGCCATCATGGAATGTGTTCTGTGCTGCACTATGGAAGATGAACCAAGAATCTGCAGCATCATCCAGGATGCCATTGACAAAAAGGAAGTAACTGCATTCCCTGCCTTTGTTAAAGAAAGCCAAAAGAAGAAAAAGGCCAGAAGGAAGAGGGTACAAATTATGTGGTTTTGTAATTTTAGCAAGACCTTTCTTTCTGACTTCCTTCTCCCCTCTTCTAAAGGGTGATAAAGAGAGAGAAGAGGCAGAACAAATGCAGAAAGAAATGGGTCTTGGCAATGAAGATGATAGTTTGACCAAGATGATTAAGGTAAGTATTATTTTTCCCCCACCATACAATCCAACTAATTAAACGACAATAAACTAAAAAACATAACCAAATGTATGTTGTTTGCAGCTGAGACAAGCATCCAGAGACAGCAGCTTCAACAGTTTCTTGTCCAACTTGGAAGAAAAATATGCTCCAAAAACAAAGTCTAAAAAAGGCAAAAAGTGATGGTTGATCAGAAAAGCATGTTACTGTTTCTTATAACTTTGTTCTGGTACATGTATCTGTTTATAATTTTATGTCAGAAGTTAATGTTTGCATGTGTTCAAGAATTTCAATAAATTATTAAAATTCACATTGGTTGGCATTACTGAAACTACAGCACATGCCGGCAAGTAGCCCCATATATATATATATAACTCAAATAACCTAAATTTGACTTTTTTATCATTGCGGTAAGCCCTGAAGGAGAAGAATAAAACGAAGCAGTCAGTCTCTTGGTCTGAGTTTTATGCATAATGTAAACTTTACAAGTTACAGTACCAATTGAGCTATTAAAAAGTGGTGGTGTAACACCCCCGTAGGTAGATGTCTTTCCCTGCATAGTGATTCATCCTGTACAGACATAAATACAGATATATACACACACACACACACATATTATACACTGGTAATATTCTTTTCTGAAGATGTTTGGCAGCTTTGGTTAGCAATTTTGAAATGCTTAGAAGGTCCTCGCTCTACAGTATGTTGTCGATTGCTGTACAGATGTTATAAACCAGGTCTCCCAGCTCTGGATGAAATCCCACCTCGGGTGAAAGATCGTGGAATGGACCCCGGCATCACTGAGACTATTTGGAAAAGAACAAACAAAGGCTCATTTTAATCATACCGTTTCAACTTTGAGGTACTGTAGTCTGCAGACCTGGAATAGTAATCTGTGAATCTGGCTCATCTGCATCTTTGATGGATGTGTGGCCCAATGGATGGTGGGGAAAAGAGTCCAAAAAGGAAGAGCTGCTGATGCCAAGGCCAACCCCAGTCACACCAATCCCAAGAGCATCTAGTGGATTCAAAGATCGTGTTCAAATGTATTTTGCACTATTCTTTCACATTCAAATTAAGAAGTGTATAATGGTGGTTTTGGCTGGTCAGTGCAACATATAACACTACATATCAAAGCTTACCAGCTGCCACAGAGGCCCTCCCTGGCCTCCCCTGTCCAATGTTATCCAATATAGTAAAGGAGCGCCGATAAGGAGTGTCTGACTGATGGTAAAAATAAAAGATAAATTCTGTTTTGAAATTGACACTATTGGTCAGCATCCTGATAGTCTTACAGCCTCTTACCCTGTATGTGTGGGTGGTGTTGGGACGAGAGAAGGCATCAAGAAGGTGGTGACGACTGGGTATGGAGCTGCCAACTTCTTCATTTACAGCACTGTGAGCGCGGCTTGAGGGTCCTTTCTGGCGCTGAACACAAAAGAAAAAAAGTTTACAAATTGAATTACCACAACGCTCACACAATTTTGTTCAAGTGTTAAAGTACTTGTGCAGGTTTAGGGTTTTGTAGTGAATGGGATATCTCTGGATCTCCTGTTCCAATAGGAGGAAGAAGGGTGTTTCTGCTTAGAGGCAGCAGTGGAGAAGTGTTTGCTGTATTCCTGCAGAAGAAACATTATTATTTGCCTTTTTTACAAGCAGATAATGTTAAGAGGATGCCCTTACAAGCGTGTTCCACGGATGATCTCATCCATCGAACCAGCTGTGGACTGACTCAGAGAAGGAACCAGCGGTAAAAGAGTGCGGGGGGGAGGGTTTCTACGTCGCGCTGACTGTGCTGGACGAGATAATGATGAAGAGCTTTGCTCCAGTATCCGCCGAGGACGAGCTTTGTTCGATGGAACAACACTGGAGCCTGGTCTGGGGTACAGCCTCTCCTCTGGATCTCTGTGAAAAAGACGGCAATAGAAGTCCCATCAAGCTTTGATGCAGCCTTACACAGCTCAATATCACTTGTATAAATGACAACAGACCTGTGGCACTGGCATCCCTTCCCTAACAGACTGGTCGTCCAGCAACAATGCACTTACAAAGACCACTGCCAAACTGAGCATGCCATTGTCATTGGGCTCCACACACTACGGGAGGATGTGTTTTCAGCTTTTTACACAAACTGGCCGTACAATTGTGGCACAGGATATAAGTGTACAGTGTACTTAATGTGTATTTATTAAAATGTCTACGATCCAGAGTGTGAGACTGAGCATACCTCCTCCACTTTCCTCACCCACACTGCGACCCACCAAGGCTGTCCACTGAGCTCCCTGTTTACACTGTCATTGTTACATTTAAAATGTTGTTCAAATGTCCTGATGCTGGATTTATCAATAGTGACGCGGAAAATAGGAATGGGGTGCCACATCTGGTGTTGGGAAGTCAAAACAATATGAACATCCACCTTAGAGAGAAGATCCAGGACACCCAGACTGACCAATAGTCACCATAGATACTAACCACACCCAATAAAATAACTGCCATCCGGATGTTAATACAAGTTAGCCTACTCTAAAACTAAGTAAGTGATTTTGTATCACTGACAATATGACAAAATAAAGGGTTCCATACGGTGTTCTATCCAGTGATGTTAGATTTCTCTGCTGAAGAGGGATACTTTGGATAACAATGAGGTCGTTCAGGTTGTGTTGCACTGCTGCTCCGACGGGGCCTCTCACAGTCTGGGCAGATGTTGTAAAAGACAAATGAGCAAGAAGTGAATGATCTCAAAGACAACCAAACAATTATTAAGGATGACTTTGGGATGAATGACAAACAGATTGTTACTGATCATGCAAGACTATTCCCATAAAACAATCCAATGTCACCTCAGAATTAGAAATAAACTCAAAGAGGCATGCCATGTGTGAGTAATTCCAAGACAATGTATTTAAAAAGTAGCATGTTAGCGGTTAATTGAAACAGCAATGTTGAGACAGTTGTGTTAATCAACAGGCACAAGCACATATGGTTGACGAGCCTCCTTAAGAGTGGCATCAAAAATACTGTTTGGCTCAAAGTTAGAAAATGACATACACTGGATGGTCTTTTCTGCTTTTTGGTTTTCCGCCTGGACTTGTGCTTTGAACCCCTTGATTTAGTGTTCTTCAAAAAGGAAAAAGGATCCAAGGGAAAAACAGGTGAAAATGGAACATAAATAACATATAAAAAAGAATGAAAGAAATTTAAATATCAAAACAAAAAGATGAAAAAAATTGTAAACACAATAATAGCACAAACAGTCAAGGTCAAGGGATTAGTGAAAAGGGAGAGAAGAAAACAGGGAAACAAGTCAATGTACAGGTTGTTTTAAAGACTGTTTATAAATGAACGTAAACTACCTTCTAGGATGTGGGTATAAATAATATATATATATATATATATATATATATATATAGCAGAGGTGTCAAACTCATTTTCTCAATGAAAAAGAATAGAGGGGATTTCTTTTCCTTATTATTTTGACACAAAATCAGCTTATTGTTTAGATTTAACCAAAACTGGATCAACATAAAGTTAAACACAATGCTTTATATTTAAACATTTAATGATGTGTCGGATTACAATTTTTAGAATACATTAAATGTGGTTGTTTCCCTGAGAAAATAGATATTGTAAAACATGACTACGTAAACGCATAACCATCAATGCTGCAAGTTACTAACAAGAACTGAACATAATTTCATAATGTCTTGGGCTGGATGTGGCCCACGAGCCTGAGTTTGACATGCCTAATAAACAGGGTACAGTCATGTATTGAAAACTGAAACTGACTTCTTAGATCACTTACCTGTATTGGTAAACCTGCAAGTGGGGGCACCCTGCCTAGACCCAGCTTGGGGAGCGTGGGTGGCAATGTAGAGAGCAGCATGAAGGGATGGTTAGAGAGCTGCGGGACAGGGCTTAAGTTTCCATAAAGTCTTTCTTCTTCTACTAAAAATAACAAAATAGAATGTATATATTCAGGGTAAAATTTTATTAAAATTATACATTATACCAGCACTCAAGGACACCTGTGATCCTTTTATTTAGCTACTCAACTGTTCTTTTGTTTTGTTTTATTATACACAAAAAAACGTGTAGTTCTAATATACAAGAGACAAATGTAACATTGTGTAAATTGTTAATGTAAGAACTGCTGAATGAGTTAACAAAAAAGTAATAAAAAAAATGTACTGTATATATTGTATAAAAGGTTAGATGAAAAAGGAAAAGTCCAGGCTTACTCAAGGTACACTCTTCCCAGTGCCGTTGAACGAGCTCTTTCGTCCACCCCACCAGCTGCTGCCACACATCATCAAACAGCAGATCCAGGACAGCCTGACGCCGGCAGCGGTACGGAGATACAGGTGGAAGGCAGTGATATCTCCGCCCCGAATCAGAACTGTCCGGCTCTCTTTCGCCATCCCTTGGGAGAGAATGCTATTGACCAAACAGTGTAGCTTTGTAAATATTACATCAGAGAAGAAGACCTACACATCCTGGCTGTCAAATGCAAGGTACTCCTCCATGACTCCCTCGACTTCTATCACTTTGGATTTGTCATGAATGCAGAGTCCGCTGGAGGCTCTTGGAAGCCCCTCCAGTTCTGAAGAGCATGGTTTCCTCAATAATGCTTTCTTACCTTGAACATTCAACCTTAAGAAAGACAAAAAACATTAAATAATCCAACTTTAGGGATTTTGCTACAGTTTTTCATACAGCGATCATGTTATTGGTTACAACATGTATGGAAAATATACATATATTCATTATGTCTTCCTTTATTCTGAGAATGTGGTTCCTTCCTAATCACTATTAAATTCATAACAAACTTTGACAAACTTAATGAACAAGCTGGAGAATCTAGGTCACAAACTCAGTGAGCAGAGTCGGCCTGTTTAATAATGGATGCCCTTACTGCAGCTGTAAGTATAGACCAAATCATATCATGGGATTTTTAGATTGACATGGACCAGGAGTGAGAAAACTCTCTGCAAACAAGGTCCAGCAAACAAGGTCCACCTTCCAGGAACCAGCGAGTCGTGGTCGTCAGGTGTTACAATTCTGTTTGATCCACCATGCATTGCGATCCTCATATGAAGTGTTCTTATTCCTATTTTTTTCTTGGCATAAATAGATTTCTTCCGAATAATTATATGATAAACACTTAAATCTACTTTTAATTTAGTGCCGGGAAACAATTAACTTTTTATTTCTTTATTTGCTCCCTCATTGAAGCAATTAGTAACACATATTATTTATTGGGGTTATTTTTACCATTCATTGAAAATAAGGACAACCTTAAAGATAAGGAAGGAGGTAGAATTCATTAGTGACAGAAACGTTATCATTAGGAAGAGAAGCTGACCTCATTCAGCTTTGTTCAGAAACTTTATCATGAAATTAAAGTCTACTGCTTTAGCACTCAATGCCCTTGGATATAGTTTTCTATATTCTATTGGTAGATAGACTCCTCCCATGACATTTATATTCATCTTCTTTAAATATTGAAATGACAAATAGAAGGTTAAGTTGTTAAGACTTACTCTGTGTCCTCTTGGTCGTTCTCCATAGACTTGTCTTTGTTCTCTCTGATCACTGACAAACTGCCGGATAAACTGCTTTTTGAAGAATACCATTGGAAGCCTTCATCAGTGGGACACAGCAACTGAGTGCCGATGATTCTGAAAAATACAAACAACGCATTTGCTTTATGAATTAAAACCACCACTGCCCCACCATCCATGAGTTTCAGGGCAAAATGCTCAGTGAATATAGGATTTTTGTAATGCATTTGCCCCTGGAGTACATGACAGGTTACACATTGGGTTGTTTGAGTAAAAATACTTAGTGAACACTATTATACTCTTTGCATGTTTTAAGTAGATGAATGGTTTAACACAAAAATTGAACAGCTGTGAATTTATTATTAATTAGTTGAAAAATATATCAGTAATTGATTAGTTGCATAATTTAAACTAAATATTACACATTTTTCAATGGGGAAAAACCTCAAAACGCTCACATGTCACTAGCAGATATCCATGAATAGCAATAAATAGTAATTATTGATGTGGTTTACAGAAGGGTTTGTGAAGAATAATACCGAAGATGTGGGAATCGTGAGGCCCATTGTTGACATTCATCCTGCAGACCTGGCAGAATCCCTCCCCCACTGCCTCTACCCTCATAAAGCTCTTTGTCGATCTCTTCAAACATTTGCTGCACCTGCCGCGATGCAGCCTTGTCAAACTCCTGTGGGAGAGAAAAACAGACAGCAACAGTGAAATAATGCAGGAAGGGATGCTTGTTATTCTCATGCAGCTAGTCTGTGACTAAGGCTCTCACTGAGCACACTGTTCATCTGGTGAGGACACTTATTTCACAGTATCAGCATTGAATAATAATTACTTTTTGAGTGGAGATATGAATTTGCATTTGGAGTGTGAAGTGAGGGAAATAATAGTAAACTACTAACAAAATACAAAGGTTAAAGAACATGGTGCAAAATGAAGAGTGAACATCAAAACAGCTTTTAACAAATATTTGAAATTCACATCACTTACATCATAGCCCCAGGAGAAAACAGAGCTTCTCTCTGTGGAGATGCCAGTTCCTGTTGAACTCTGAAGCCCTGACCAGGACTGATTAAAGTCTACGGTGATAATAGTAGAACAGTCAGAGTGGGCCGACGCTGCAGATGTCTCGGAGCTACACAAAAGATGCAGCATTGAAATCAATTAAGAATAATGAAACAGTTGATCAAGTTAGAGTAATTATTTAAATAATCATGTAATAATGTTAAATTGTGGAAAGGCCCATGTGATAAATATAGTATAATGGAAAATGTAGTGCAAATGCCAAAGTAATTGAATATTCTATGAGGCCAGCTCATTGTTTATTCTTTTGCCTGCATCTCAAGGAGGTTATGTGATATCAATTTATCAGGAGGTTTCTGGTGCCTTGTTTCACTGATCATGAGACTTGAGAGTCAGCTGTCCACAGAAGAAGGTATACTGTTACAAAATACAACCAGTCATATAGACTCTTTTAATAAATAAAGTTAGTACTTTTAGACAACAATAGTATCTAAGCGTGCTGTCTAGGAGTAAGGTCTACCTGTTATGAGTAGAACCTCCATCCTGAAGGCCATGAAGGCAGCGTGGGGTCGAATGGTCATCATCTGCCTCCTCTGGGAGAGGGTGCTGGTCAAGACTGCTCCGAGACAAACCACGACTGAAGACAAAATAATACATACTTGCAACAGTCAAGAGATCACAGAACAGGAAAACAACATATGAGGTTGTTAGAAATAAAATAGTGTATTATGATGCTTACATTTCAAGTTTATGCGATACTGCCCTTCTACTGTATCGCGAAATCATTCTCCCTGGAGCATCATGTACTCAAAGACCAGGGTTTTCTAATTCCATGACCACCGCCTGGACCCGCGAGGACAAGTGACACTGCGCTCATGCATTTCCGCGCATTTCAGCAGTCCGTGCAAAACACTTTTTCTGCAGGCTACAGCTAATCTATGAAAGGAATAAAAGATAGATTATAACTTCAGCTAAATAGTCAACAAACAAACGATACAAAAATAACAGTCATTTCACTCTCTATTTACCAGTGTGCTTTCTCTTGAACGAGTGTTTGGGTTCACATTTTGTTCCCAAAGCAGTGACCGCTGTATTTACAGTCCCCCCCTTTACTGACGCACCAACACGACACAGCTGTCATGGATACACTGGGACAGGCTCCCGTTGTCTTATGGGTAGTGTATTTCAATGTGTACAAGAAAACCAATCAAGCCTCCGGGGCTAGATTAGCCAGTGGACTACAACTTTAACAATGCATTGCGGCTATTTGGTCCGTAGCAGAAATAACTCCGTCTGCAAATTGCACTTCCGTGAAATAATCTAAACCTCGATGTTTGGGTTAGGGTCAGGGTTAGGATGTATTCAAATGTAAACGATAAATGTAATCATAATATTGATATTGATATTATTTTTATTATCTTAATCGTTGTCATTTGTTTAGAAATATATATAAATTGAAAGGTAGGAACTAGTCTTCAAGTTGTCGAATGCACAAGGTCGGAGAAAGGAGTAAGGACTAACAAAATTGGCGTGAGAGTGAGTTTAATTACTCCATTTGCCTGTGTCTGTGTGTGATTTAGCTCTTTAAATAATAGCATAATGGATGTACTTCCAGAGGAGAGTTTCAAGAAGCACCTGTGCAATTTTTTTATATATATATAATATATATATTAATTTTTTTTTTTTACCCCCCCCACCCCCATTGGCCCCCCCCAGCAGCGTTTAAATACTCCATTTGCAGTTGTGTGTGATTTTAGCTCATTTAAAATAATAGAATAATGGATGTACTTCAGAGGAGAGTTACTCAAGAAGACACAGTGCAATATAAGCTATTCCTTGTTCAAAAGCCCGACACTGGTGAGTCAGAAAAACGCCTTTCAAGTTTGACAAAGGAGATTTTTGGGACATTTGCGTCGCTATTGGCACAGTACATATGGCACCAGCAGCCGTTCAACCTCAAGCTTAATCCAGAGAAAGGTATTTATAATTTGTTATGCCTTGTTTTGTTTTTTTTCCAGCAAATACACTTGCCCTGCCTTGCGTTATGTTTATGCCATGTCTGTGATTGTGTATGATTTGCATAAACGTATTAACTGCTTTTTTGTTAGGAGACGTTCCTGCTCATCTTGGAGGAAGCACTCAGTTTTCAGACAATGTGGAGGATGAGTGGTTTATAGTTTACCTTCTTCTGCAAATAACTAAAGCGTTCCCAGAACTTGCAGCTAGGTTTGACATGATCTTTACATGTGTACATTATCCAATTACTGTGTTTGGTGGGAATCAATCCGTGTATTTTTATTTTTCTCAGAGTTGAAGATAATGATGGAGAGTTTCTTTTAATTGAAGCAGCAGATTATTTACCCAAGTGGTTGAATCCAGATACTAGTGAAAACAGGGTAAGTGTATTCACAAGTAAAAAATATTGATATATTTTCACTCTGGTCCCCAGAAAGAAAGCAAGCTTTATCGAGTACCTCCAGTCGCACTCTCTAAAACCCTCAAATCAGGTCAAAAATCTAGCAGATTTTTACTATCTGAAAAGCATTGTCACAATCAAAAATATATTTTATCCATGCATTTGTCTCCAGAAAGTTAGACTACTGTTAAACAGCTACAGTATATTCAAAAACACTGCAGCTCGAGTCCTGGAACAGTCCTGAAAATGTGAGACAGGATTTTTCAAATCCAAGTTAAAACAGATTTGTTTAGCTGTGCATACAACTGAAGCATTGTATGTCAAATTGATTAAAGTACTGTGATTTTCTTTGGTTTCTTGTTTTGTTAAGCACTTTAAGTAGTCTTGTGTATGAACTGTCCTATACAAATAAACCTGCCTTGCCTATTTTTTTATTTATTTATCATGTCAACTTGCAAATGTGCTGTGCAAAAAAGTAATAAGCTGCTGCTAAATGATCACTATTGGCAATTACAAAAGAAAAAACCGTCAATAAGATTGTGGCATGAGCTGACTAAATTGGATGTCTTTTATCTTTTACAGATCTTTATTTATAGAGGGGACTTGTGCATAATCCCCTGCCCCACTCAATCAAATAAAGTGGGTATCCCAAAAGGTGAAGTGCCAAGTTTAGCTACAGCTCTGTCCCTGTTGTTTTCCAATCCAGAAGCATGTTGTCCAAGAAATAAGATTTCATCTGCAGTGAAAGAGAGACTTAAAGGGTAATTGAATTTGTAGTATACTCTTGATTCAAACTTAATAATTCATCATTTAATGTCAGCTACCCAGAGAGGATTCAAACAGAGTTGCACCATGCCCACTGCTTCATACCTGCACGGATTGCATTGATACTGGAAAAACGTCCTGATCTTGTGGCTCCTGCTGTGTCTGCATTTTATTTGCGGGACCCAGTTGATCTTCAGGCTTGTCGAAGTTTTAGGATGTTTCCACCAGATACACGCGTCCTCACGCAGGTAACAATTCTAACGCTATAGTGTTTTTTCGCATGATGCGTCATAGTTTTTCATGACCTCTCTATTTTTCAGGTGACATTCACTCGCTGCTTGTACGCTCAGTTACAGCAACAACAGTTTACTCCAGATCGTAAGAGTGGCTTTGCACTACCACCGCGCTCGGACCCAAAGTACAAGGCTCATGAACTAGGCATGAAATTGGTAAAGATGGATTGAACTCTGACAGAGTGTATTGTCAATAGGACTGTGGACGTGTAATGCATTTGCCTTCCTCTTTTTATTGTAGGCACATGGTTTTGAGATTTTGTGTTCAAAGGCCAGGATGCCATCTTCAGACGCTAATGCTCCAGTTAGCTGTAACCCTCAATGGAAGGGCTTCATTGAATGTTTGAAAAGAAATGGCTACTTCAGGGTATGTAAAACCCAATAAAGTATGGTGTATTGTGTATGCAACATGTAAAAGTTTATTCATTTGCTTTACAGAAAGAAATTGAGGGCTCTGCTCTTTACAAAGATCTTATGTACAGAGCTGAACACTTTTTCAAACAGTCGGTCTATTTGGAATTGAAGTATGTCCGTTTTAGTGCTAACTTTGATTAAGTAAATACTTTTTTTTTTTTTTTTAAATGAACATTATGCAAATGTGTTTTTAGTGCTTTGTCCCCCGGTGAGGAGATTCTTCAGCTACTGGATAGTCTTACTCCTTTTAGTCTGGAAAATCTAAAGGAAAAGGAGTCCCAGCTTTCCCCAGAGGACAGTAAGTGGGATAAAATCCATCCAATGATAAATGACTGATCCTTAAGTAACACCTTTATGTTTTGCTATTGATAGGTGACAATTGGCTAGATATTACAGAACAAGATTTGGAAAAAATGCTACACGATAGGACCAAAGGCTGTGTTGGTGTGGAAATCCAGAAACCCAGTGTGGGCTGTAGCAAAGATGAACCTGTTCGCAGCCGAGTGGAAGAAGATGCTTCCTACAGTTTGGTCGCTGTCAGTCAAGGAATGACCAACTTCTTGAAAGCCATGTCGTCGCATAAGGGGGCTGAGCTTCCCCGGTGAGAATATATCTCTTTCAGAATAATTTTTGAATTGCCAGGTTTGGAATTAATTCTTATTCAATGTTTGTTGTTTTTTTTCTATGTAGCTTCAGTCAGCCTTTTAGTTTTGATCCAGACTCTATGGTTGGTGCACTGAACAATCTACTTGGTATGCACATAGTTATCCAGTTATATACTTAGGTTATAGTCCCCTCTTTTAGATATTAAATTCAAATATTTGCTTTAAATCAGGGAACGAGGATGAGCTTGATTCAGATGACCTTGATGATGACGATGATGGTGATGATGGCGATGAAGATGAACAAGATTTTTCTGTACCGTCTGAAATGAATGGAACTGAGACTTTGGAGAGTCTCAAGAAATACATGGATCAAATGGACGAGGAGCTAATGGGCACAAACATAGGGCAGAGTTTTAAACAGGTACAAACAAGGAATTATAACATTGTCATGTAGTTTGAAAACTTATCTGTTTTTGTTTTATTAATGCAGAAAGAGAAGACTGTTCCCGAAAATGGCTCCCCTCATTCTTCTGGAGAAGGTAGTTTTAGTAGAGATGAAGAAGTGAGAGAGATAGAGGAAGAAATCCAGCCTTTAGACATAGACTTGAATCTAGTGACAAACCTGCTGGAGTCTCTGAGCTCTCAGGCCGGTCTGGCTGGACCTGCCTCTAACCTGCTGCAGAGTCTGGGGATTCATCTGCCGCCAAACTCTGACCCCTCATAAAGCATGTGTTTGTTAAGAAGATATATCATCTATAATATTGATTTTAACTTTTGCTAAGGTATTTCTTTAATAAAATAAAGTATTTAAAGTCTGGTTTTAATGTTTGATTCCCTTCATTTGGAAAATATTTGCATTGCCGTTGTGCAAATTTCAAACATGCAATTTGAATGTCTAACCATTCTTCAATGGTTCCATTGAAGAATGGTTAGACATTGCTGCACTGCATTGCAAAAGTATTCATAGCCCAGGAACCTTTCGAACACAAAGTGACAATTCTGCAGTGAAAAACATTGTATTAGCAAGGACCACACCACAACAAAATGCAGTTAAATAATGTGTATTAATTTCGTTGGAGGGGTCAAGAGTGACAGACAAACAATGACATAAGGGGAGATGGAATGCTTTCTGGGTAATAGTGGAGTGGACAGGGAGGTGTTTACATCTAATAATTGGCATAGAAGAGTATTCAGCCCCCTTTTCTCTCAAAGCTATGATTTCTGAATCCGAATATTGACCTAAATATAAACTAGATTCTGTATAATTGCAGTAAAACCATCCTGGAATGCCTGTGCAAGGCTACCCCAGTGTGTACTGGACAGAGCAGAGCTCTTGCCATGGCAGAAACAACAGAGAGCAGATACACACATTTATTTTATTGATTAATGCACAGCATTCAAATAAAAGTATAAATAATTCAATATTGAACCGATCAAGAACAATTCCAATGCAATCAAGTTCCGATGCTAGAAAGTGGGTACGTGAAACCAAACTGCTTTTTTTTTAAGTACAAGAGATCCCTCTCATCAGGCTGCTCTCATAAACTTACCATCCATCCATTTTCTACCCTTTAATCCATTTCTGGGTCAGGGGGGTGGCAGTCAGAGATGCCACCCAAGTCTCATAGCACCAGCCCCTCACTGACCCCCTGCAGGTGGTGAGTCCACAGGAGGACGGCTGCTCTCTGAGTGTGAGCATAGCCTTGATCTTTCAGTGGGGGCTTTGGGCAAAGTGGGGTTAAGTGTCTTGCACAAGACAAGGGCACAACGACAGCAGTCATCAGTGGGAGTCGGTGGAGAAGGTGTAGAGGTGCGAATTGAACCCACGACCTTCAGGCCTGAAGGCCAATGCTCTACCAACTGAGCTACTGTCGCCCCTCATAAATTCACATACATAATATCTTGATATCTCTTATCATTGCCACACCTCATAGGCACAAACCTTTCCTACGGTCGTATCACTTTACAAGCAGGCAATAAAGGTTAAACCCTTTATGTAGCATCATAATGATATGAATAAAAACACCGTTTTTTTAACATTAAAATATTTATATTTGAACTGTTTGTTATTTATCACTGCTGTTCTCTGGTCCGTGAGTGTAGACCAGTTTGGACAGCCACACTTGGAGCCAGAATGTGGAAAGCTGAAGTTTATGACTGACTTTATCACAGGTATTTGTTAATGCATCCTACAACACGGAGGCTGAGTAGATAGCACTCTCGCCTCTCAGCAAGAAGGTCCAGGGTTCAAATCCCGGTCGGAACAGGGTCTTTCTGAGTGGAGTTTGCATGTTCTCCCTGTGCCTGCGTAGGTTTCCTCCGGGTACTCTGGTTTCCCTACCACTAAAAAAATGCTCACTAGGCTCACTCTGGCTCCGGTAGTCCTGACCAAGCTGAGCATCAACATCTGGAGATGGTTTCCCGGGTACTGTTACCACGGCGACCACTGCTCCTGACGTAAACCTTCATGGCATTAGGATGGGTCAAATGCAGAGGATTCAATTGCCCTATGGGGATCAATAAAGTGCACCTTTATCTTTAAAACAAATATACTGATCAAAACAATGTCATGCAGGGGCAATAATGCTAGCTCATGTATTATATCAAACAGAAGTGTTTCTACTACAACATCTAAATACTGCCACATAGGTCCAAATTGTGAGAGACAATCATGAACCTAATGGAAAACTGCCCATGTATTGTAGATATGGGAAAGTAGGATGATTGATTTTTAATGTGGGAGGGACAAGCAAGGCATTTAAGGTGTGCTTGTCTGCCCCATGGCAGTTGTGACTTGGTTACAGAGAAGGTAACGTGGACTGTAAGAGCGATAGTAAAAGTAAAGTTTTTGATTTTGATTAAAACTATCTAAAACGCCCTTTCCGACCCAGCCATTTGTATGTGAAAAAGAACCCATCACAATGACACAAGGTCTCAAATGAACCTCACATAAATAAATAGATCTGTAAAAAAGGCACAATGAGGTTGTAAGAAGAATGGAGCACCGCACCAGCCAGAGGCGAGAAACACAAAACTGTTACACCGACAAAGAAATTGAGCACCATTCCCAATAGTAGAATGGCTGATAGGTATCCATGAAAAAGCAGGATCTGCCAGTGTCCCTGGCTCAAAACATGCCATGGATTGTCTGAATGAAGCAGCCACAGAAGGCCCAGGACCCCGCTCTGGTTGACCAAGTGGGCATAGTAGATGTCAAAAACTGAGGCTTGTGCATTAGAAGGGTGGCAGTGCTCCAATTTGGACACCTGGGCCAGCCAAATCAGAGAGACACTGAAGAGTAGTAATGCTAGAGCAGCATAGATATACTCCAAAGAGTTGATTCCTGCCACACCACGAGAGACTGAAAGGAAAGATCAGTTAGTCCTGTGTGCATTGCCAGTTTGAACTTCCAATAAAATGCGCTTGATTACCTGTGATGACGAGCGCAGAGCAACTAAAGAAGGAAAGGATAACAGAGACATGAGTGGAGTGGAGTGGAGACTGCAGCTTGAGGAGAAAACTTAAAGCCATAGTAACCAGAGGTAGGAGAGGCAGAACCACAGGCAACAGACCGGAGGTTGAGCTGTTGGCTTTGACCCACATGGAGAGCACCCCATAGAGGCTGCTGCAGATGGACGGCACAAGAAGCTTCTCACCGAGGAGTCTGGTGTAGCTCTTAAGAGACACCGCACCCAAGAAATGCAGGAGATTTAAGAATAAAATAGAGATCACAACCTAGGAAGGAGATTATTCAGTTAATAGACTTAAACCTTTCTGCTGTCATGCTACGTATACACACTATATTCAAACTTTCTTATTATTTACAATTATGTAGATAACAGCCAGATACATAGTTAACGTTTAAGGATGTATACAATTTAAGCTTTGTACATTTAGCATTTAATGCAATAAAGAAACAAATACATGTTCATAAAAGATGGCTTCTTTCTATGGGGTAGAGACTAATTGTCCCTTTGTAACAGTCATGCCCCATTTTGACACAAAAACCACTTTGAATTCATATGAAATTTAAAGTATAATCTTATTTAGTTCCACCCCTTTTTGACATTATTTTGTAAATGTTATGTGTTCCCTTTGCCTTTAAGTAAAAGTATAAGAGAATAACAATGCAATAAACATGAACACATTTTGAGTGAGTTCGCAGGAAGCCTCTGACCTAAATGTCCTTCACAGACAGCAAACAAACCCACTCTCAGGTTTACACACATCCTCAGCCATCACAGCATGACAGTAACAATGATTCACATATTAATGTTAATATTATACCAACCTGTCCAAAGCATAAGGCCACTGCATATGGGTAGTGGTACTGCGGGATGAAAATACCAACCACAAAGTTGCGCAGTTTATCTCCCAAGCCGTATATAACAAAGAGCAGGAGGTACAGGACAGGAAGCAGTGACTTCAGGCTGTGTTTGGACAGAATGCTCTTCACCAGTGAGACACAATAGTCATGTTTCACATGAGATGAACTGCAATAAATATGTACAAATAAGTACCTACATTTAAGTAAGTAAAGTAAATACATTACATAAAAAAGAAGTTACCTAATTAAGTTACTCTGTAAAGTATTTGTTTTTCCACAGATGGAGTTCTATGGAAAAAGTCAGATATGCAAATATTAGATTTCATTTAATTTTAGTTTTAATAAATTGTATGGACAAAATAAAACTTACCATCATAATGTTCAACTCAGACAACATGTTTGTATTCCATACTTATCTTTGAAGTCCAAATGTATAATCCATTTCATTGTGGAGCCAGTGTGGAGTCGACAGCATAAGCAGCATGTGCTGTGTGCGCCTGCTGCTCTGCTCCCGTGACCAATGACTGGTCTGTGCAGGGCTGGTCCTGCTCTTCAGGGGCCCGGTGCAGAGTATGCCTTTGGGGCCATACCCTGGCCCTTCAGCACCACCCACATGGACTTGACGAATCACAATCAGCAAGATTATGACAACCTCCTAAAGCGCTCAACCAATCATTTGCATATTAATATCAGGCTGAAAAACTTTCACAGCACCTACCCCAAGAACAGAAGCCTCTGTAATATCAACAGCTTCAACTCTTGTTACAACCACAAACAGATTTTTATTGTGTGTCTGAAAACCCACAATACAGTGTCAGACAATTGTGAAGTGAAAGCAAAATTGTAAATGATTTTGTTTTGTTTTTTATTCAAACACTAAAGTGCATGAAGCAGGCTTTGAGTTGATGTTCTAATGACTGCCACATACACTACTGTAACTGGCCTTTAATTTGGAGGTGACAGTATCTTGTTATGGAACTGCTTTTTCAGCAGGGAAAAGGAGTTGTGTCAAGTTGATGGGAGGAGGACAGAGCTAAAGATTGGAAGAAAATCTGCTGGAACTGGGGATTCACTTCACAGTTGTCTGTGAACAAAATCCAAAACTTTTGGAAGCAACTGAAAACATGTTTGGCCTTTGAGACATAAACAAACCTTATGTTTATGTCTCAAAATCCATAAATTAACCTAATCTTTCTCAATGATATCCACATAACATTCAAAAAACCTTTCACCATATTTCACCAATTATTTCATGCAAAACATATTCATTCAAGTGTAATTAAAGCAAACCATGCAGTAAATTACTGGAATAAACAACTCTACAATGTATTTCTTGGCACTTCCAGTGATTACTTGTTCAAGCTGCATTCAGCAGTGGGGTTCATGAGTTGAGAGAAACCCCTGGTGTAGCTTGATCATTAGCAGAGAGTCGATGTGCTGCATGTCGCCTATAACCTTCAGACAGTCTATGGTCAGAATGGACTTTGCACTTACTGCGGACTACAGCTGCCGTCTTCTCACGGGAAACTGTGTCATAAAAAGATCAAGTAGAAAATAATGTACCAGATCTTTCATGAAAATACCACTGAATATATTGGCCAAATAATATATTTCGAAATAGTTTTTTGGTAAGAAATATTATTTAGTACATTTTAAATGTTAACTTGAACTTATAATAAAGTTATATACGACTGAGTACAACATGATAGTCCTAATTCAAATCTATTTTGACAGTAAATATAATTTAGATATTTGTTTTGTTTTCCTGTACTTAATTACTTTATTTACAAATATGCTGGGTTCTAATTTGATCTAAAAGGCTTTCAATATTGAAAAGTGACTATAGCAACACACACTCACACATTTATCATGCATGTGTTACTTTTACATTCTTTTTCAGTACTTGTTCCACCTTATTTTATTGTCAATTATATGTTCATATACCTGTATACCAAGCCACTTCCCACCTCTGATTCCAGGTGTTGTTTATCCTTTAAAGGAATGTAACCATAGAAGTAGACACCCACCCCTTTCCAAGTAAACTATTAAAAATTTAAGTTTATTATGTGTCAACTGTAAATCTAAGGCTTGTTGTCAGCATCATACAGACACAATTTCTTGCAACTGCTGATTTGATCTTTGCTCTTTTGGTTTTGTATGAGTAGAGACCAGCAGATAGGTGTACTTGTAAAATGGTCTAATTTTCTGCATTTGTAATTATGGTTGTCTTACATGACGTTATATTAGGACTGTTATTAAAAAGATGTTGATAATCGATTAGTTGCGTAGATCCAAAAAGTAAGTGAATATGGGAGTTTTTTTAAAATAAATGACCAACACAAAACTGTGACGCCACTGACAACATAGAGATGACCTGTTACACATTTGATGAACGCTTTGTAAACACATTTCCATTCTGCAGTTATTATAGAATAATCTGAGTAAAGAATAATCTGATTCACTGATGAACTGGATGCATACTAACCAGTGTTAGAGAGAGACCAGTGTTTTAGGCAAGCACTTTCCCTAATGCATGTTTTGTAAAGTAAATAGGTGTGTTTATCTGAGTCCAGAGTCCAGAGTCCGAGCAAACGCAGTAGCAGCGAGAGAGAGGCTCTAATTGATCCATCCAGTCACAGTGCTATGACAACAGCTGGGAACCTCCTGCTGCTCCGCCTCCACTGGTATTCATGGATCACTGTGGAAAAATAAATAAATAAATATAAGATGTAGGTCTGGCACAAGGGTCCGACTATTGGGGAGCTTTGGCAAATTTGCTGGTCTTACTATCTATTATAATTTGCAAAAATGTATTTTAAAACTTAAAATAAAACACCAATACTACAATACAGGTAACATATAAAGCTATAGAGGAGGGAATAACTCTAACTGAAGAACTAACTGTGCATATTATACAAGAATGCTTTTGTAATATTTTGCCAGAATGAAGTTTCCTCTGTGAGTTAGCATTGTCAGTGAGATATCAACAAATCGATATTAACTTCTGGTTTGATGCGAGTGGTTGAAAGAAGATAAAAGAAAAACACAGCCTGTTGATATGCATCTTTGTTGCTGCTGTACTCATTTATGTATATGACAAAAATGTATTAAATGCGTTGAATACGGACTATGGTGTGAACAATGACTTTGCATCTCAGTCAGCTGTCACCTCCAGCTCCCATGTGGCCCTCTAAAGCACTTAACTGTTAGTGTTTCCAAGACCACCGGCTAAAACAGGTGGGACACGGACGCAGCAGCGACCAGATGAAACATATACTGCAATGTGAGTTTTCAGATCTTTTCAGTAAAGAAATGTTTGTCAAGAAGTTGTGGATTTTTGATTTTGTGTAGCATGTTCTTCTAATGAAGGGCATGTGGGAACAGCTGATGCATCTGCCAAAGGAATTAAACGAGATGGGCGTAGCACTGTCCAGGTAAAACCCACACTTTCTTCTTATTACTGCTGTAGTAAACACATATGGCATCTGTATTTGCTGGCCTGACGCTGTTATGTTTGTACATCAGAAAGAATAACAAATGCATGGTGGTCTCCCGAGAGGTTGTCAGCACCATCTCTGACAGAGAGATCAACAGTACAGATAGTGACCATTCCTCTATCATTCCCATCAGAAATAAAGGTAATGATCACTCACTAAGAAAGCAAAAATATGTAAAAATACAACAAGCTTTAATCCCCTTTTACCATTACAAAAAGTTGGGTGGGAGCCTGAAGAAATCCTGGTGCCCTTGCTTCCAGAAAGTACAAATATAGAGAGAGGCTACATCACCCCATTACAAGCATATAACCTCCTGAATGCAGAGGAAGGACAGCCGGCGCTCTACGATCCATACCATATTCTCATCTTGGACTGCAGGGGTGCAGAAAGGTGGGTCCCTCTGAACTGTACCTTTGCAGAACAAAGTTCCTACTCCATTGTGATAAAGTGAAAATATGGCACCATTATATCACTGTGGCAATAATGGATTGTGATTCAGATAGTGTCAGATCTCAGAATTGTGCAGGGGACGACCTGATTCCTGAGAATAAAAGCAGCCAAAGTGAATTACCTGGACGGTTAAGGCTCTAGTAGAAGTTGTCATTGTGTCCTCAGGCAAGTCACTTTACCAAAATAATTGATTGCCTGGTATGAATCTGCTATGAGAGCGATTATTGTAGGGCTGGTGGAACAAACTGGCAATGGAGTAACTAAATAATCCATTAAATTGTAAAGCAACTTCAGCAGCTGACAAAGTATTTCAGTTTAACAACCCAGTTTACAATAACATATCCTTATGATCAGAAAATATGTTTGAAAAATAGCTCTCTTTTTCTGTATCAGATATAAGGAGAGTCATGTGGTGACAGCACGGGCTGGTGTGACAGTGATCCACCCTGAGTTGGGCTGTCTGATTAGCTGTATAGAGCTACAAAAGTACACCATAATCCTGTTGTATGCGGAGGAAGGAAGCAGTCCAGGTCAGAGACACACTTCTATTTATTATCAATGTATTTACCAAGAACACAAAGCTACAGTAGATGTAAATAACTGTGTATGTGTTTCAGTGGGCAGTATGAAGGCTAAGGCAGACTCCCCTGATCTTCAGCGCTGTTTCTTCCAGCTCAGCGCTTTGGGAATGGACCCTGTTATTCTCCTAGGCGGATTCTCAGCTTTTAACATACTTTATCCTTTTCTCTGCACTCCTCGTATGGTGCTTCTCGAACCAGAGCGCCACACTCTCACAATTTATCCCTCTGAGATCCTGGAGGGGGCACTTTATCAAGGCTCAGCGGCTCAGGCTGAAAACTACAGAATTATTAAGAACCTCCACATCACCCATGTAGTAAATGCCACAGCGAATAGCTCTGATGCCTTCCCCAACATGCTGTGCTACCTGAGGCTGCCCCTGAGCGACGATGCTCAACAGGACTTGGTGGATGCACTACCTCTGGCCTCCAGGTTCATCCATCAGGCACTGAAGGGAGTGCCGGCAGGCCGGGTGTTGGTGCACTGCAGCATGGGCAGGAGTCGCAGCTCAGCCCTAACACTAGCCTTCCTCATGGAGCACAGGCACTGGTCCCTGTTACATGCCCTCCGCTGGCTAAAGGACAGGAGGGCATGCACAGCACCTAATATAAACTTCCTGCAGCAGCTGCTGACCTATGAAGAACTGCTGTTTGGTAGAAGACTCACAACACTGGAAGACATTCGCAGATAAAATTGGATTAACGCAGTTATACTGCCAATATATTGACACCCACAAATGAGAATTTGAACAAAGTATTATACAATATTTTATTATAACCAAGAGGATACATTTTGCCAGTAGGTCTGTCCTTGTTTCTCTACAAACCCCTACTGTGTGTTTGTGCTATGCCTAAATAACAAATCAAACTTAGTGTCTCTTAAGTGTAACTTTGTACAGGTACAATCAAGATGTTTGTTTGGTGGATTAGCCTATAAATAAAGATTTGAATAAGACACTCTGCATTTCATTTGAGCAAAGTCAATAAATAAAAATGACTTATATGCCTGGCTTAGTGATGCTGCTACTGAACTCCATCTTGAAGTATATTTTAGGAATAAAGATGTTAAGAAAAAAAAGTAGTTTCTCGAAGTCGAGTTTATTGTTTTGAAATTAAAAACTGATTCTTGGAGAGTGTTCGTCTCTGATGTGCAGATCATAATAGATCCATGGTGCAGATATATCAAAGCCTAAATCATTTCCCCCCATGTGGTCAACAAACCACTGGCACCTCCTCTGCTCTAAAGACAGCCCTCTGACTCTCGTCAAGCCTCAAATTTGGATGTGAGATTCAGCACGTAGCGGCCAGCACTGGCTCTTACAGATCCAGCCCATCTTTGGGCCACGAATTACCTTCAATTTGGACCCAGAGGCTGCAGACGCTCCAGACGCGTCCCTTGTTGGTTGTCGGGACAGGAGCAGAGACAGGAGACAGGAGCTTTCTCTCTGCAGCAAGATGCTCTTCTCAAGGTAAAACATTCACAACAAATGACTGCAACAGAACACCAGACGAAACGGAGAGTTAGATCTACACATTGTCTCAGTGGAGAAGCTTTGTGATACTTTTAAACAAGTAGCTAACAGTGTAATAACGCAAGCTAACGGAGCTAAGCTAGGTGGAGAAGAACTGCCCCACAGCTAATGTCCGCAGCTCCAACCTCTGAGCTCAAACTTTAACAACACACAGACTGCGTACAGCTAACCAAACACAGCCTGTGGTTATGGTCATGCTACCACCACAGTATTCTTGCCTCCAGGCTGCATGTGGAGTGAGGCTACCACTGCTAATCCACAGTAATGCATTCCTGTGCAGGGGACGCTCTGCTGCTGATCTGCGTCTCTCTGAAAGTGGCAACTGTGTATTTTAGGACAAGATTGTGTTTTGTCACGTCAGCATCACTCCTTAAATGCCAGCCGCTCACTGACTTGTAAGAACGTGCATGTGTGTGTGGGTGCAGCTGTGACCTTTTGCCTGGGGTTTTAGGGTTATTGCAGGTTGGAGCAGGTTGGAGCAGGTTGGAGCAGGTTAACTCTCTGGGACTCCATTGCTCCGCACACCGCTCACACGATGCCAGAGGCGGGGCGAGGACGTGGCAGTCTGCTTTCTCTTCTTCACTTATTACTACAACAATCTCACACATCAATACCATAGACTGTAAATATTAAGGACCAAGAGGATGAATCTAGCCCTGACGAGCCATTTAAAATATAGTTTTAGCAGATTGCACTTTTGTAGTTTTGTTCCAATCATTTCCTCTATAGTTTTTCTTTCTCCCTTCTTTCTCAATGGGAAACATTTGGGAATCACTAGCCACCACATTAACATGCAGTAACATTGCATCACTCCTAATGTGGTTGTACATGTATAGAAAGCTATAAAAAATCTAATAAGTTTAGTATCGTCAATTTCTCCTTAATAATAAAAAGTTAAAAAACAAACTTTTATTATATAGAAAAAGTCAAATGTATTATACAATTTCATACTGGCACATAGAAAGTAACACATTGTAAGTAACAAGTTGTAGTGTAGTACTACTTTCCTTGTCCACTCTCAATGGATTTTGTTGTTTCTGTAATTTTCAGATTAGAATGTAAACTGCAGTGGCTGAAGTATTATTTACAGTCAGTGTAAACACTGTGACTGGGCATCGAGCTGCTTTATGAATCCCAGTCTGATATTGAACAGTGCTAGGATCATGAGGCTTGCTGTATGCTTTATCCGACTATTTTAAAGTGAAAACAACACATGTTATACGCATCTTTAGGCGCATTTTATGGAATTAATCGTGCCATAACATTTTTTTATTCAGTCCATAAACTAATAAAAAAGCGGATTGATTGGAAACAAATTTTGGTCAGTTTAAAACAACATATTTTAAGAGAATTTTAGGTGTACCCTTTATCGATAGCCACTCTCTATCAATGTTTCTATCTTGCATCTTCTTAGAGCACAAAGTATACGTATGTGTTTTTCTGCAGGATTTATCTCCAACCTGACCATTCAAAGGCAGCACTTCCCGTCAGATGAGGACCAGACTGGAGCTGCCAAAGCTCTTCTCCGACTGCAGGACACTTACAGACTGGATTCTAACACTATCTCCACCGGAAATCTACCTGGTGAGGAAAAGAATCTTTCACAAATCCCTGCCTTTATGGGTTAAACTCATCATGGTGCATGTAACTTTTGATCTTAGGAGCGACGTACAAGAGCCGCATGACAGCAGAAGACTGCTATGAGCTTGGTAAAATTGCCTACACTGAGGTAGACTACTACCACACAGAGCTGTGGATGGAGCAGGCTCTCCGACAGTTGGAGGAGGGAGAAGACTCCACTCTGGATAAAGTCACTGTCCTCGACTATCTCAGTTATGCCATCTACCAGCAGGGGGACATGGAGAGGGCCCTTGAGTACACCAAAAAGTTGCTCGACTTAGGTCAGTAATTCATTTGTTAAACAAATCCTAAATCACTATACAAAAGCAATTACGTTTAAATAGTGCCGTTGCATTTCTTTGGATGTTTTAGTCAATTAATATTTTTGTTGATGAAATTAAAGGGTTTTCCCTCAAAACAATATGTAAACATGTGGTTTATAATCCAAACTTCAAACTATTTGGAAAAAAATAATTCGGACCGTTTATTTTCCAGACCCGGAACACAAGCGTGCCCAAGGTAATTTGAAATACTTTCAATTTCAATTGGAAAAGCAGAGGAAGGCTGCAGAGGACGAAAGTACAAACACAGACGAACAAGAAACGGACAAAGTTGAAATAAGGAAGAAAAGATCTGAAAAGGCTGAATTCAAGCTCATTCCAGAGAGAAAGAAGTATGAGATGCTCTGTCGAGGGGAGGGGATTAAAATGGTAAGACTTGTTTCTAGATATCTTTTGATTAAAAAAGTACCCAGTCACTAACACTATGAACTTCTTTGCATCCCACAGACCCCACGCAGGCAGAGTCGACTCTTCTGCCGTTACTATGACAACAATCATCATCCCAAACTTTTGCTGGCCCCGGTCAAACAGCAAGATGAGTGGGACAGGCCCTACATTGTGCGCTACCTCGACATCATCACTGATGAAGAAGTTGCCAAAGTCAAGAAGCTTGCACTGCCAAGGGTAAGTTTATCAGCTCTATGGCTTCTACAAAAGTATTAGATTTTTTTGTATTAATGTCAGTTCTCGCCAGAGCTTTCTTTGCACCAGGGACACATTGATTTTTCTTTTTACTTGTACGCTGTGATCAATTAGTCACTAATAATCAACAATGTTAAAAGTGGGGATTTTTCTCCGCTGCTGTCATAGTGACTGTTGTTGGGGGTAGGGTTCATGAGGGAGACCCTGACGCTGCAAAAAAATCCTGGCGAGAAACCTGACCCTGAATGTGTATGACTGCTCAGTGACATAAGTCTTGTTGATCAATACCGTCATGAAAACAATCCCACTTAATTTTGTGTGGGGGTAAAAAACTATTCCTGGTTCTCAGCTGCGTCGTGCCACCATCTCCAACCCAGTCACAGGCATTCTGGAGACTGCTCATTATCGAATCAGCAAAAGGTAAGTGACAAGACCATCATGGGGATTGAGCTGACGAGCTTCATTCTCGGATGCATTCTGTGACTTTTTTCTCAAGACGAGTGCAACGTTTTTGAAGAATAATATGGATGAGTATTGATTTGAAACTAAAAATATTGTTCTCTCTCAAATATTTAAGATATTAAAATCTTTGCACAAGTGTCTGGAAAAAAATGTACAAACAATTGTGTTGGGAGCACCCTTTGGAAACAACTTTGTGTTAATCCATACTAATGTAGTGACTATCTGCTCTTTCTTCTCTTTCCATTCTTTCTGTGTCGCACAAAACTTTCTCATTCTTTCATCTCCTGTACGTGTTCTGCGGGAACTACCGTAGTTAAGACGAGCCACGGTGCATGACCCTCAAACTGGGAAACTTACCACAGCCCAGTACAGAGTCTCCAAGAGGTAAGGTCAGCAGGCCATCAAGACATGGGATGGCTATTATCGACATTAGCATAATATCCTCAAAGAACTAGCCAGCACTGTTACTTTTTATACAAATGTACGTTTTGTTAAATACTCGAACACTGTCAAACACATAATGTCTAAACTTCACATCAGCTAATGGAATCCAGTTAGATTGTTTGCGAAGCCATTCATGGTCCCTATTTAGCAAAGAGACAAAAAAAATCTATTATTGCACAAATAAAAGGCACCATAGGACAATTGGTCATTTTGTTTTTTGTTACTGAGTCGCCTGGCATCCAGAGCTGATTGGAGATTCTAATCTTTACACAAAACAGCATGGTTTTGTTGCTGTTTTGTATTTTCTTTCCTATTTCTTTTTTTAGAATTTAAATGGCAGCCTATGAATGTTTTAACACTTGCCATATACTTTGTTCACTAACAAATTGACACGCTTTCACGTTGAGCTGTTAAAATAGACCTTTACTGCCATCTAGTGGTGCTCTGCATGTCAACACATTCCTGGTGTTGCTCTGGTTCCACACGCATCTTCTGGTTCTGTTGAGTTCTTGTGCCCATTGGATTTGTGTTCACACAGTTCAGGACCCGGTCACGTACTTTACAGCCAGACCTCCAACTTTGTATGAGTGCTAATGCAGTGCTAATGTAGTAATCCTCCCCAATTAATGTGACTCAGTCGTTCTAATCTAATCTAATTGTTGATAAGAATATTTACTACAGGCATAAAGGAGTTTAGTTTTCCATGTGATTATCATTGTTCTGTGTGAACCCAAGCAAGGGGACTTGGGAGTTTTCTGACTTATTAGTTGTTTCTGTTATTTAGTGGAATACCTAAAATGTGAACTTTGTGCTTACTTTTAGTGCTTGGCTTACAAGTTATGATGATCCAGTTGTGGAGATAATCAATGAACGAATTGAGGACATCACAGGTCTGGAAATGGACACCGCAGAGGAGCTCCAGGTGAATCTCCTTAAGCCCAAGCTTAAAGTTTGGCCTTGATAAAGGAATAACGACAAATGTATATTCAATCAATCAATTCCTAGGTTGCAAACTATGGCGTGGGTGGACAGTATGAACCTCATTTTGACTTTGGAAGGGTATGTACTCAAGCTTAGGTTAACAAAGGTTAAAAATACAGCGCTGGCACAGGAACAAACTTGTTCATATTCTCTGTTTGCAGAAAGATGAGCCAGATGCCTTCAAAGAGCTGGGCACCGGGAACCGCATAGCAACATGGCTTTTCTATGTAAGTGTGATCACTAATATTGTGACGAGCCCTTTGATACTCTGATAGATTTGTTCATCCATAAATAGGGAGATACTAGATCAGGGGTCTCCAAATGGCGGACCGCGGTCCAGGTCCAGCCCCCAAGATCCTTTTCTCTGGACTTCTGTAATATTTTTGTTCAAAAGAACATTATCACAATTCTATGTCAAATTTTCACGAAACCGATTTGTAAGCAGGCAGGCCCGAGGGCGGCTATGTTTGCAGCGGGGTCCTTTGTAGAAAACGTTACGGAGCTGTCAAAATAACTTTAACGAGGAAAGAGACGGGAGTTAGCGCAGTACGAAGAGATGGAGTGTGAGGAGGAGGGGCGAGACAGAAGTGTGTGAGTGGAAGAGGAGGAGGAGGAGCAGCGACTCCTGTGTGTGAGCAGAGTAGTAGGAAGATCTTTAGTGCTCACTGCCAGAGCAGTGGACGTTGGGCATGAAAAGCCTTGTTGTGGTCAGAGAGTGTGGAGGTGATGACAGAAACGTTATTTGATGGAAAGAAGCACCAGTCCGCCACATCCTTATCCACAATTATCATGTGTTGCACCCTCTGCTCCGAGAGTTTGGGAGAGGTCTGTGGTGTGTTTTGTAGAAATAAACAAAAGAGATTGATCTTATGTGTGAATTATATACACCTTATATAAACCGTTGTTGAAGTTTTTCAATCATTTTATATGAAAGAAATTGCTTGAATGGATCTCTATGGACCCTGATCTATTGAATTGATTAAGTAAGTGGACCTCTTGCCTTAATTGGGGACCCCTGTTCCAGATGAATATATTTAACGTTAAATATGTTAGTCCCTCTTTCTCGTTTATTTAAATGTACAAAAGACGGCATTTAAAGAAAGAAAAGACTTCCTACAGCCGGTATAGAAAGAGAATACAGCCTCTGTGCAGATGTTGGAGTTTGGAGATGACAATGCCGTGCTCTTAATATATTTATGCTGAGAACAAATTGTGATGTATTCCTAAATAAAACTTTAAGTATTTATTATGTAGATGTTCAAACAGTAACTTGTGTTCCCTCTTTTAGATGAGTGATGTTTTAGCTGGAGGAGCCACAGTTTTTCCAGATATTGGGGCTTCAATCTGGCCTCAAAAGGTGTGTGTAACTTATATATAAATATAATGCATATATATTTATATTATATATATTAGACTGTCGGCACACATTTATGTTTGTATTGTGTTATATCCTCTAGAATAGTGCAGTATTCTGGTACAACCTGTTTGCTAGTGGTGAAGGAGACTACAGCACCCGGCATGCAGCATGTCCTGTTCTCGTGGGCAACAAATGGGGTAAGCGTCATCTCTTTATTCATGGACGTTCTTATTATATACTTCAATGTGTTCATATCCTCACTCTATTTTAAACCTTTCAATCCTATTCCCTCTTATCAGTATCAAACAAATGGATACATGAAAGGGGTCAGGAGTGGCGGCGACCTTGTGGCCTGAATGAATCGGAGTGAATGAAATGGATATTTTCCTCCTCCAGTTGAAGTACCCGGGGGTCACCTCTGACTGAACCGCCCCGGACTGAATCCAAACTGCTGCAGACTGTCTATGAAATACAGATAGATGGAATCCAAAGGGCCTCTCTTATGTGAAACACTCCTCTGGTTTACACAGCTGGGGTCAGAGCACGGAGACTGTTCAGGGTTATGCTGAGCTCCTGGAGGATACAGGCATTGCTGACTGATCATGTTTCTTTGCTTATTAGTGGTTTTAGGAAAATGCTTTCCCCTGAACCACACGCTGCACTCCAAATGAACTGTCTCCCTGCTGTGACTAAACTATAATCCACACTCCACACAGGTTGAAGCGTAGGACACATTATGAGTGCACTGCTATAAATTCACCCACTAACTCATTCGAAGACTGCATCACAACATGAATACATTACAATTAAATATAAGTAGCTCTACTTGCCTTAAAGAAGCTATACCCGATATTTTTTCTAAGTAGTTCATAAAAATGCTTTTTACTACATACAAGTTGTATCATAATACATCATTTAATTGAAAACTTGAGGTAATTGATTCAGCTGTGTAAGAATTACAAGCAGTGAAAAGTGCTGAGTAGAGTCTGAGCGGGCCGCTCTTTCTCCTCCGCTCACAGAACGAGCAGCGAACAGCCTGCGTCCTCTAGCCCCTACAGCGCTGCTAAACACCAGGGCTTCAACTTCAAAATTCGAATATAATTCTAAAATAAAAAATGATGAACAAAATAATTGAATAAAAAAATGTGAACAAATATTAGACAACCCTTGTAATTCGAAATGTATTTAATGACTGCAAATAAAATAGTTAGCTCCCAAAGGTTTCACCAGGACGTGCTAGGCAGGTAACAGCTAAGCTAGCTAGTTGTTTCATGGTAACTTCCGGGTTTTTCGCAATCGCTTTTTGTCACATTGAAACAGTATTTTTGTCATGAAAACGTTAACAGCAAATTCTGAAATCATCCGTGCATGTGTGTTAAGGATGTATATGTGTACTGTATTGTCCGATTGACGTTTAATGGTGTTGATTGATAGATATGTAGTTGTTTATTGAGCGTGGCTAGCTCCGCTAGCTTCATTGGCTTCTCTACACAGGCAAGTGTGTAGTGACAGGCGCTGAAAGCTTCTTGTACTTGCAGAGTAATGGCAGTATTTTACACACCTGAATTACAAACAGAGGTTGCATTGGGGCTTCGGTCATTATTGGTTTGAGAGTTCTGTTATCAAGAAAAAATGTTCGGAAGAATAGCTGCTGCTGCTTTGAGGAGCTCTATAACACATTATAATTAAATATTAGAATATATTCTAAGGTTTTAAATTAATACATTCGGACGCGAAACTAGCGGTATTCTTTTACTTATATATTGTGTTAGCAGTGCATTGCTTTAGTGCCATTTAATCAGTGATTGTTGCACAGCTTACAAGTTGTGCTAATGCTAATGTTAGCATATGTATCAGATTTCAAATAAAACTAGGTGGCTCTGTGTTATGAGAGCGTAGGGGAAATGAGAAGCCATTGAGCGAGTTGGGGGGCGGTGCTAAACATTCAAACATTGCAGAAACGGGTATAGCGCCTTTAAATGTAATGTTAGCCCATAAATAAACTGCCATGTTTTTAAGCAGCTCAACATTTTTTACTGACAAGAATAAAGAGTCCGTTTTTGTTTTCTGGGTGAAGATGCAATGCAACAAATATTTTACGAGTTTTTGAATATATTATGGAGTTATTTATGCACTCGCTCTGGTTTTGAATCTTTTGAGTTTTTTGTATAATAAAGATTGTTTTGGATATACTGGCTGGCCTCTGGTATGTGCTGCTCCTCGCTGTGCTATCAGGGGTCGGGGGAGTTTGGGCAAAGTTCTGCTAGTGTCACGTGACTGGCCAGTACTAATGAGCCCGTCCCATTTGATCTGAGGCGACCAGGGCCAGACGTCTGTCAGGTCGAGAGGACAAGGGCGAGCGGGAGGCACCAACAGCAACTCAGGATAAACTATTCAGGAAAACTTCACCCTAACTGAGTGATTTAAAAAAAAAAAAAGAAGAAAAAAACTGAGATTATCAACAACTTGGAAGAAAAGTAAAAATGATGACCCAAATGGATACCACGATTCACTATGACAATGGCTACGAGGATGAGTACATGTTACAGGAGGATGAATGGGACAGGGACATGCTTCTGGATCCTGCCTGGGAACAACAGCAGAGAAAAGTAAGTCACAAAACTCCACTGCCAAAAAAGTATATTTAATAACAGCGGTCGGGTTGATGATCTAAGATTTTGCCATCTAATAGGGAAAATTTGAAATCGCATTGCCTTACCTCACTAACGCCTTAAAAAGTACACATCAATTGCACATTAATCAAGACTAGGGATAATTTAACTACATTCAGGCTACTTGAAAATGTAGCTAATATGTGATTTTTAATTATCACTTCTGGAGAACACACACATGCCACTTTCTCCAGTACAAAAAAGATACAAGAGAGTGGACCAATCTTGAGAAGTTGCCTTTTTTATGGTTTTGTGTCTGGCTTGACCATAGTGCTTGACCACACGGCTTGACCATAGGGCTTGAGCACAGGGCTTGACCATAGGGCTTGAGCAAAGGGCTCGACCATGGGGCTTGAGCACAGGGCTTGACTTGTGCGTGGTGAAGGAGCAGAGATGCGGCTCTAACAATAGCAGTGGTCCAGCGGCTGATACGAGCGGAATGCGGCCTGTCAACAGACGCTCCAACACATGATGACGCTCTTGGGATTAGAAAGGACGCTGCTTCTAAATTTAACCCCGGGACCGAAAGACTTTATAGTAGGGTTAATCCTGTGTCCTTGGTGCAGGAATTCTTTTGTTTATAGAAACCTCACACAGAAATAATGTAGCGTCTATCCAATCCAGGCATGTCCAAACTAAGGCCCGCGAGCCAATTGCGGTCCTCTGTGAAATTGTTTATGGCCCCCTGCCTTGCTAATATGAAGTCACCATCAACACAAGTTCATAGAGTCATCCAGCCAACTTCAGCTCTGCCAACCAAGACATGTTATACCTTGTTTTATAGCTCAGAATCACAGAAAGTCACAAACTAGGATTAGCTTTGGCTCATGGTGCAAACAAGTTGTAAAAAAAGTACAAAAAAAAGATATAACGGCATACAAATCTTATAAAAATAAAATTATTCTTTTGAGTACAACCAATATTTAACACTGCAGATTATCAAAAAGTGTGCAGAGGTATGAGATAGCGACAGTAGTCTAAGGTTAGTATATGACTTTGTTTTACTATACTAGCATTGTCATATCGTCTGGCACTAATGTTGCCATGAGTAAACATGTGTCATTCAGCAAACTTCAGCTCTGTCAAATGTCAACCAATATACAGTACGTAACATATCCTACCTCATTTTAAAGCTCAGAACAGCCCAAATCCAGCTAACCCCGTATTGTCTGCACCATGGACAATTATGATGAATTAAAGTGGCATGGGGTATTGGTAAGAGGGCCCCCCTGATCTAACCCTTACACACCTGGAGAGCTCTGGATTAGTATGAGGAGAGTCAGGAATGACAAGCAGCATTAGGAAGATACAATTAAGTAACTGTTGTTGAGACAGTCTTTCTCCATCCTCATATCAGTCCTCATGTTAGCCCTATATCACAGAAAAATCCCTGTTCTCTCCCAATTAAATCATAATTTACTAAGGCAAACATAAAGAGTTGTTAACATGTGATGGTATAAGTACAATTACATTCATTTGCTAAAATAGGTATCTATGTTTCTAAAATGTATCACATGTTTGGTTATTGGCAGTACATTTGAAGCTTTTGCGCAAGATTGGGGGAAACTTTTGACTGACTGTGGCACTAAAATAGATATGCCTTTCCAAAAAAAAGGCTGAGTACCAGGCACTGAACAAGATTTCTACTATAAAAAACACTTTTTACTTAGTGAAAGAGAAATCAGGTAGAGAAGCTTATTTTGCCTTTATCAGCTCACATTAGCAAATAGACTTTCCATGAAGGCAGCTGTTCTGAAACATCCCTTGTCTGATGCATGTGGTAATACTTGCCAAGAGTTTATTTAGGACTAAAAGCTGAGGTATAAATCATGCACCAAGCTTAACATTTTACAGTCAGTAATGCCACAAAGCTTTTTGTTTGGACCAGGAGCTGCTTCCAGATCGCACATTAACACATGCTGTTTATAATAACTTAATATTACTTTTGGAATTGCAGAACCAAATTAACTTTCCCAATAAAACAAAATTAATTTAGTCTCATCATGACAGTTTTTTGGTGCTTGATCGAAAGCTCCACACGTCCAGGGCCGGTCAGATTGTTGCTGGTGGATGTGTTTCATTCATATTTTTAGCGTCTCTCGTCACTCCTCAGCTGTGGGGCTGGAAAGGGTGGAAAGGTTGAGCATTGTGGTTTTGGAACTTGGGTCAAAGGAGAGCCAAGCAAACCCGTTATTTAGTTGTGAGGGAAACTCTTCCTTCCTATTGCTTTTTCACCAAATTATACACTGCTTAGTATATGTAACGGTTGTAAAAACTAGTGTGTGTGTGACCCCATACACCTGGATCATACAAATATAATTATATATAATCACATTTGAAAGATTATGAAAGATGACAGACACAATGACTTTTTTTACTCATTGAAGTGGTTGTGTGAAGCCGTTTATCGTCAAATAAACATGTTTTCTATTTTCAAATTATGACATCATTGAGCCTCTCTGGGGAGATGCAGTTCATACAAGGCGGCCTTGGATTTCACTTTTATTTACTGGAGGATATTTTTGCCAAGAAGAATGGGCAGCTTTACAATCAGAGAGGACCAAGAACCTCAGCCACAACTACCACAAAAGACTCCAAAGCTGTCATACATTTTAAAGGGATATTTTAACTATTAAAAGAACCAGGGGATGGAAACTTCTAATCGGGATCAGAGGAGTAGTTTCTGTCTATAATTTGAAATGGAAAACAAGTTTATTTGACATTAAAGGGTATACCCCGCTCCCATATCTGTGAGGAGTGAGAGGACAAATGCTCACAATTGTAAACCGCTTTGTGACTCTGGTCTGTGAAAAGCTGTATATAAATAAAAATGATTTACCTACTTATCACACCCACAATCAATGGCTGAAAAAAGCAAGTGCATTACCTTTCATAATCTCTGGGGTATGTAAACTTTCAAGCACAACTCTCTGTCACATGTTTCTAATCTAATCGAATGACTGTTATGTCTCAAACTGCTTTTAAAGGACCCAAAAATCACAAAGGCATGTAAATCCAAGCCTACACATTGCAGAGGTTAAGTAGCGCTTGACCCTCATGGATAACAGGATAGCGTTTCCAAGCTTAGTTTATGCCAGTCATGGTAATATGTGTCACCTGGAAGAACACCATACAGTTTATGATAAGGTTATCTCCTATCTCCAGCTGGAACTGCTCACAATGCAATGTAGAGTGACACCGTCTGGCTCCACGTGACACATTCAGCCCCGTGTTTTCCTAAAGTCCATCTCTTATCATAAAGCATGCCAGAGCACTCTAAATTTAACACCTTATATCAGTGGGAATGTGGTGGGGTTTCAGCTTGTATCCGTACTGCGCAGATGGCTCTGAACGGCGGGCTCTTGAGGGACCAGTTTCCCGCCCTAACAAGGCATACACTCACACGGTTGCTGTATGGAAGTAACCTGAGTTTGTGTCTAACCAATGACTCCCCATTCAAATACAACCATCACCCTGAAATCTTATCATCACGATTTACCGTAAAGAAAAAAAAAAAGATGCATACAAGTCAGACCATACGCAAAAATCCGACCATAGCAGGCTGTCTGCAAAGAAAGTGCACACCTTTTGGACCAAGAGCTGATTGGCTGAGTGAGACTGGTCCGCTCTTTTTCACTTTTCTGTCTGAAAAAGGCAATCCGAAGACATGACAGAGGCCAATAATACATGCATGTGATATCTAGCGTTTTAACCAACGTAGTTTTCGACCCTTAGACGGCAGCCATTGCAATTATTTTGGGATTTGAAAGTGAGGTATCTCACTTTACGAGTAAGTCACTCGCTTATGACAGTTGATAGATGGATAGATGGATTCCATTAATCAACAGTAGGCAGAAAACACAGACAATAACATAATCAATTGTCCATCCATCCATTTTCTTCTGCTTCATCCGTTGCCGGGTCGCGGGGGCAGCATGGATCAATAGTATAAAAATAAATGATGCTGAGTCATACCTTGAGGATTTATATTTTCCCTAACACTGCAGTTGCGTCCTCTCCCAACATTTTGTTTGGCAATTACAGGAAAAATTGTAATCGCTTTTTCTTTTGTTATCATAGACTTTTACAGCTTGGTGCAACTCTCACTTGAGAAAAGCTGGGACCCAGATCGAAAACATTGAGGACGATCTAAGGAACGGCCTCAAGCTCATGCTACTTTTGGAAGTGATTTCAGGTAACACGTTTGATTTCAATCTATGAATGTGTACGTTTCTGTATATTCCTGTATGTGTTTTTGTTTTCAGGTGAAAGATTACCAAAACCAGACAGAGGGAAGATGCGGTTTCATAAGATCGCTAACGTAAACAAAGCGTTGGATTTTATAACGAGCAAAGGCGTTAAACTGGTCTCAATTGGTGCCGAAGGTATTTTTGATGAAAGCATAATTTGTCATTTGGTTTTGCAATTTAGTAGTAGTAGTTTATTTTCTTCTTCTTCTTTTCTAAATCTCAGGTCACATGTTTTCAAAGATTGAATAAAGAACTAGAATGTGTCTATTAAGAATTTTAGTGCTACATTTTGAAGCATGAATATCACAAAACCGGCATTTCTTTCAGAGATTGTTGATGGAAACGCGAAAATGACACTTGGAATGATCTGGACCATTATTCTGCGCTTTGCCATTCAGGACATCTCTGTGGAAGGTGAGACCCCAAAATAAGAATAAGCAATTAATCCAATTTGGGTGCAGACAGCTCCTCAGATGGTGCTTCCTCTGCTGGCTTTCAATGGTTTTACCAATATTTTAATAATATAATATATGACCGTGTGTGTGTGTGTGTTCAATAATATATGTAGTATGGGGGTGGGTCTATTTGGTGGCCTGGTTTAAAAGTCCTGGGGATGTGGGATTTTTTTTTAACCAAACTGTTGCATTATTTGTAGGAAAGTGCGTTATCAATCAATCAATCGATCAACTTTTATTTGTAGTGCGCCTTTCCTACACAAGGCAACACAAAGCGCATCTCAACCCATATCACATATCGCTTCATGAATAACATTTGAGCGATTGCATAATATTTATAAAGCATAATTCATATAGTGTAACCCAAAGTGCTTCACTAGAAAAAATCTACACATTTGAGTTAGAAGCTTACGTAAAAACCAAAACAAAAAACAGTGCAAATACATATCACACATTGTATATAAAAAAAAATCACATTGCCAAAGACGTGGTCTGTCTACAAGCTCAAGGAGACGGTTCCAGGTTTTTGGATCATATTTTGAATACATATTTTTTGTTTTTCTTTTTGACTTACCACCAAAGAAACTAATTAAAGAAGCTATACCCGATTTTTTTTCTAAGTAGTTCATAAAAATGCTTTTTACTACATACAAGTTGTATCATAATACATCATTTAATTGAAAACTTGAGGTAATTGATTCAGCTGTGTAAGAATTACAAGCAGTGAAAAGTGCTGAGTAGAGTCTGAGCGGGCCGCTCTTTCTCCTCCGCTCACAGAACGAGCAGCGAACAGCCTGCGTCCTCTAGCCTCTACAGCCTGCGTCCTCTAGCCTCTACAGCCTGCGTCCTCTAGCCTCTACAGCCTGCGTCCTCTAGCCCCTACAGCCTGCGTCCTCTAGTCTCTACAGCCTGCGTCCTCTAGCCTCTACAGCCTGCGTCCTCTAGCCTCTACAGCCTGCGTCCTCTAGCCCCTACAGCCTGCGTCCTCTAGTCTCTACAGCCTGCGTCCTCTAGCCTCTACAGCCTGCGTCCTCTAGTCTCTACAGCCTGCGTCCTCTAGCCTCTACAGCGCTGCTAAACACCAGGGTTTCGACTTCAAACTTCGAATATAATTCTAAAATAAAAAATGAGGAACAAAATAATTGAATAAAAAAATGTGAACAAATATTAGACAACCCTTGTAATTCGAAATGTATTAAATGACTGCAAATAAAATAGTTAGCTCCCAAAGGTTTCACCGGGACGTGCCGGGCAGGTAACAGCTAAGCTAGCTAGCTGTTTCATGGTAACTTCCGGGTTTTTCGCAATCGCTTTTTGTCACTTTGAAACAGTATTTTTGTCATGAAAACGTTAACAGCAAATTCTGAAATCATCCGTGCATGTGTGTTAAGGATGTATATGTGTACTGTTTTGTCCGATTGACGTTTAATGGTGTTGATTGATTGATATGTAGTTGTTTATTGAGCGTGGCTAGCTCCGCTAGCTTCTCTACACAGGCAAGTGTGTAGTGACAGGCGCTGATAGCGTTTTGTACTTGCAGAGTAATGGCAGTATTTTACACACCTGAATTACAAACAGAGGTTGCATTGGGGCTTCGGTCATTATTGGTTTGAGAGTTCTGTTATCAAGAAAAAATTATCGGAAGAATTGCTGCTGCTGCTTTGAGGAGCTCTATAACAAATTATAATTAAATATTAGAATATATTCTAATGTTTAAATGAATACATTCGGACGCGAAACTAATGGTATTCTTTTACTTATATATTGTGTTAGCAGTGCGTTGCTTTAGTGCCATTTCATCGGTGATTGTTGCACAGCTTACAAGAAGTTGCGCTAATGCTAATGTTAGCATATTTATCAGATCGCAAATAAAACTAGGTGACTCTGTGTTATGAGAGCGTAGGGGAAATAAGAAGCCATTGAGCGAGTTGGGGGCGGTGCTAAACATTCAAACATTGCAGAAACGGGTATAGCGCCTTTAATTTTTCAAAACAAGGCCAAAATAGTGAATTATAATATTTATTTTGTATTTGCTTAGAAACCTCTGCAAAAGAAGGTCTTCTCTTGTGGTGTCAGAGGAAGACTGCTCCCTACCGGAACGTCAATGTCCAGAACTTCCATATCAGGTACTTTCTGCGTTCTGCACACGTTAAAGTCTGCATTTCAGGCTGTGAGTTTTGTACGGTTGTAATGTTTGTAAGTACGCTCAGCCTTAGCCCTAATCCTTATTGGACTTGACTGTTGGTTCTCTGTGATTTCTGGCTGGTGAAGCTGGAAGGACGGCCTGGCTTTCTGCGCCCTGATTCACAGACACAGACCCGACCTCATCGACTACTCTAAGCTCAACAAGGTGTTGTGTGCTCAGACAGATAACAGGGTGCTGTGTGTGCCAGCCCCCAAACACTAACTCATGTGCCAGGGATGAGCGGCTGCACCGTGTGGTCCACATTCACGCGTGTAACTTTGTTTGGTGTTTGTAAAATTCTGCATGTTTTACGCATGGCTCTAAACTCAAAATGTTCCAGTTGGTCGCCAGGACAACAAAGTATTTTTCACTTTCTCCAATTAATTGATTCATTGATATTTTTTGCATGATAGATGGTATGCATGAACACTTCCAGACAGTGTTGTCACATATAGGTTGTGTTCTTGTTGTATATAATTTGATTACAGTCAGAGGGGGGGTGCTATGGGGAAAATACAGTTTAAAAAAAAAGTTAAAAAATAATGTTTTGCCAGATCACTATTTGAGAGGGATTAGATTTTGAAACCTGTCATATGTATGATATGACAGGTTTGTCTGAAAATCCTTTCTACTGGCAAACATCATGCTTATTTTGAATATTGTCATCACTTCTGTACACCTTTCATGAGAAAAAAGTTAGTAATTAGACCTTTGTTGATTCAGACAAAGATTTCAAACTTCCGAGCCCAAACCACATGAAACCACAACTTTTGACGGTTACCACAGCTCTCTCCATCATAATTCAGAATGTTGTGATAGGACATGAACGCGTCTCATTCCCATTAACTCCTTATGATGTCATGAAGTGTTTCCACTGTAGATTTGAATGTAGTTGTCTGTGAGGTGCGGTAATTATGACATTTCTTGTTTGGGAAGCAGGGATTTAGTGGGTACATACATCATGATATTTCTCCCTGTCATCATTGGCCTCGGTGAATGAAATAGCGTCTCTTGTCTGACCCACCTTAATTCGGACCCGGAATGGTCACGGTAACATAAGCCTAGTCCCTGCAGATCTCCGGCTTAGCTCTTCTCTCAGTCTATTGTCCTTTCTCTGCTCAGTGTGAAGCTACTGTTCACGCAAGAACAAAAATAAACCACACAGGTTCTTAAAAAATTGTATCAAATTCAAATATCAACCACAAGCAAATATGTGATTCTCTGCAAGCATTTCATAGTTATTGTATATATATTTTGCCATTGGCTGCATATACTGTATTACTGGAGGCACTGTATATACACACACTTCAGATTTGCGGCCGGCATCCCATCATCCATCTCGTCATCAGTCTACTACTCTATCCTTGTATCTGCCCGGAGCTCAGAGCAGCTGGCCCTGTCATGTAGTGTCGCCCCAGCGCTTTAGGGGACCAGATCGAGACAATTGTACACTCTCTCTGCCCACTGCCCCATTAGCAAGACGGGCTTTTCATATCAGCTGTTGTCTAATGCACTGACCCAGACACTTGGTCCCTTGGGCAAAAAGTCAAAATAAATATATATATTCCACAAATGGAAAAGTTAAAAATGGCTAATGTTAGGATTAGGTTTAAATATAAATGCATAAATGTAGTTCTTGTGTTAATAAAGACATATTAGAATCGTTATATCCGTTGTGGTCAGAATTATATTATGCGTCCATAGCAGGGAGGTCAGCACAATGGTATGTTAAGTCCAAACATTTCTGCCTAGTGAATTGTGCTTCTTTATTTAGGATGATCCGCTGGGGAACCTAAACCTGGCTTTTGACATTGCAGAGAAACACCTGGACATTCCCAAAATGCTGGATGCAGAAGGTACTGGGAAATAAAAATGTCTGTTAAAACTCCGGTGATGAATTTTTTCTGTGATTCCTATAGATTAAAACTATCCAATTTGACATTCCGAAAGGGGTGTGGATTATTCATAGGTTCATAATCCTTGTTTTGGGCCTGGATAAGTGGACATTATGCCACTAATTAGAGCATGACTTTGCATCACACACTCTAGATCCTATCACAACGACAGCGACTATCAGGTTAAAAAAAAGCAAACACAAAAGCTAACCAATCAGATTTAAGCTGCGACAAACAGAATTATTTTGTATTGCCATTGTAAGTAACAAGAAGCAACAAACTAGGAATTTGCTTTGGCTCATGGAAACAAGCAAACGTGTTATAAAAGGTCAAATAAATATATATAAAGGCATTCATTCAAATATTAATACAATTTCTACCGTATAAATAAACACTACAGATATTGAACAGACCAGTCATCAATAAGTGACCAGAGTCATCACATTATAGACAGTAAAACCCTTTAAGGATCACCCTCCCTATACAGGAAGGATTCATTTATTCATTTATTTACTTTCTTTTAGATATTCAGATCGATTCAAATATGTTTAATTTAAGTATTAGAATTTAAGTATTAGAATTCACTTGTGTGTGTTACCTTTCAAATGAGGCATCATAACACAACATTGGACACAAGATGTCCACACAATAAGCATTTCCATTTGGGTTTCATGATTCGAGAAGGAACAGGCGAAATTAGGTGATCCTTACAAAGATAAACAGACAATTGTAAGGGAAGATTAAGATTAAGAGATCCTTATTTGTCCCACAATGGGGACATTTCAGTGTTGCATCACCGGTTACAGAACAGTAGGAATGAGGAGAACACAACACAAGATAAATGAACAATAACTCTAGACTAAAATAAAATAAAATCTCTAACTCAAGCAAAATAAAGAAGCAAGCATAAAATAAGGAAAGGATCAAGTGATGAGTTAACAAGTATTAATGAGTCTAAAATAAATTATCCCTGTAGAAATCAAATAAAAAGATTTTCCCCACAATAAAAGACTTTTGACTTTCTGGGTAAAGGCAAGTTATGAAGAACTTAGAAAGTCAACATTTTTTAAGGCACTCGAGGTCAATAGTTAGAGTTAAAAAGCCTTTATTTTCATACGGCTGTAATTTAAATAACTGCTGATCAGACTGCTGGGCCTGCTGTATATGTATGAATATATTAATCTTTTGATCACAGTTCATTTGGGCACTTTATTTCAGATATCATCAACACCCCCAAGCCTGATGAGAGAGCCATCATGACCTATGTTTCTTGCTTTTACCACGCGTTCGCCGGCGCTGAACAGGTAAGTTCTCAAAATGTATCAAACATAAAATATGTTTAAGCAAAGAATGGTGGCAGTAATCGTTGAAATATCACTACTTTGTTGGTAACATGGTATTTACTCCTTAAAGCTATACCGTCTGCTTTTGTTCATTTCACCCTTGACTATTTCAGGCAGAAACCGCCGCCAACAGGATCTGTAAAGTGCTGGGAGTAAACCAGGAGAATGAAAAAATGATGGAGGAATATGAGAGACTGGCCAGTGAGGTACAGTAGAACATACAAAACTGAGCTGATGACACTTTGTGAAATACCACCAGGAGCTAAATGAAACCTTTTAATATTTTCTTTTCCCCGCTTTTTTGTCCATTGTATAATTTCATAACAGCGGGTTCCCAGGGTATAATGTAATATATGCGATTCAGAATAGAGGCCAAATAAGTTTTGTCCAGTGACCTGTTCTGTTGTATGAGGAATAAAAGTCAAATCTTGGCTAAAGCTGTACTTTTCAACTGTGCATACAACTGACTATTGATATTACCTTTATAGTTTTTAGGGTATTTCATTCTATCGGAATTTTCTTTTTCTTTCTTCTATTTTTTATTTTCTGTGATGCTGTTTTTAGTCTAAATTGCATTTTACAATTATTTTTATTATTACTATCACTTTACATTTGTGTATGTTTTCAATGCTTTGAAAGGTAGTTTACAGTATGTGCTGCATTCAGGTGATATTAAGTCAAGATGTTGTCACACACACAAAAAAAACTAAATAAAAACCGACAGAAATAAAGAAAGAGAAGATGCTATACACATTATTTTTATTTGTGATCGATATTGTCTTATTGCTGTTGTGTGGGGCAGCTGCTGGAGTGGATCCGCCGCACCACTCCTTGGTTGGAGAATCGGGCCCCAGAGAAGACCATGGCTGAGATGCAGAGGAAGCTGGAGGACTTCAGGGACTACAGGCGTCAGCACAAACCCCCGAAGGTCCAGGAGAAGTGCCAACTGGAAATTAACTTCAACACACTGCAAACCAAGCTACGCATCAGTAACCGCCCTGCCTTCATGCCCTCAGAAGGAAAGTTGGTGTCTGTAAGTCAAAAATGATAACAAAAAATACCCATACATCAAAATTGTGTTGCTACTTTTTAATTTTGAGCGTATCTACCAGAGAACAGGCTTGTTAAATTGGTGGCATTTCTTCTTCTTTTCAATCTTGTGTAGGATATAGCCAGCGCATGGCAGGGTCTGGAGCAGGCTGAAAAGGGTTATGAGGAGTGGCTTTTAACTGAGATTCGGAGGTTGGAAAGACTGGACCACCTGGCTGAGAAGTTTCGCCAAAAAGCTACAAACCATGAGAACTGGGCTACTGGTAAACTTAATATTCTTAATTTACTATAAAGTGGCATCTCTTTTTTTCCCCCTTATGAGAGCGACTTTCACAAAAACAATAGGACAATGATTTATACCTCATTAGCAGTCCATTATCCATCAGACTTAGGTGGTATACAATTGGATTCTGGGAAAAAATAAATCAATAGCTATTCAGTGGAGTAAAAAAATTGGTCGAGAAACTTATAAAATGTCAAACAATATTCGAGTTTAAAAAAATGCAGTCATTATTTTTGATAAATATGTTAAAAACTTTGAAACGCTAGGTTGCAAATGGTAAAGGAAGATATTATTTATTTTGTAAAATCAGGGTAGGATTACACAAGTACACAATTGTTTATTTATTTTGCATAATTAATGTATAAATACTTAGCTTTTGTTTGTTTTTCTCATCTCAAATGTCCAAATAATAATTAAAAAAAACTTTCATTTATTAATTCATTCATTGCTGCTCAAATACAGACATAAAGCATGTTTTTATACCTTTATAGTTTATACCTTTATTCATTTTAATTAATGAATCTAATTAAAATCACTTAGCATTATACGCAGGAGTAATTTTTAAATCAATTAGGATCTATTTGATATTGATCCCAAGATACAGGAAGGAGATCAGGTTTGGACCAGTAATTAGTTGAAGGACATAGTTGAACTGATGTATTTTCTGAAATCCCTCTGCTATAGGTAAGGAGCTGATCCTCTCACAAAAAGACTATGAAACTGCCTCCCTGACAGAAGTGAGAGCCTTACTTCGTAAACATGAGGCCTTTGAAAGTGACTTGGCCGCCCACCAGGATAGAGTGGAGCAGATTGCTGCCATTGCACAGGAGCTGAAGTAAGATTTTGACTTTGGGGAAATACTTGACAGGCAATAGCGATGTTAAATGTCAATTGTTTGTATCGTTTGTGGTAAAAACTTGTGTGGGGGTAGATAGAGTGGAATGGGATAGCGTTATGATGGGGTTGGATCTGACACCTTGAGAAATATTTCACAATCAGAATTATCCAGGGATTGCCAGGTATATGGGATTTATCAATATTTCTGTTGGGTTGACCTCTCTGCCAAAACGAGGTGAATGTGCCTTTAGAGAGCAATTATTAATATTTTTTCCCTTACATTTATTTAAAACATGCATGAAATATACAAACAATTATTCAAAGGAAACAAAAATATGGAGAAGAGTAAACAAGAAGACCTGTGCATGGTTTGAAAAGGAATTGGTCGAAGCAAAAACGCTTATTTTATCTAATCCCCTCCCGGCCATTCACTTTGGAACTGTGTTTAATCAAAACTGTTGTTGTACAAGTATTTCCCAACAAAGCAGAGAAAAATCAGTGAACTATGCAAATCAAGTTAGTTTGTATTTCAATCTAAAGCAGCCTTTTTCTCTCAGTGAACTTGATTACCATGATGTGGCTGGGGTGAACCAACGCTGTCAAAGTATCTGTGATTTATGGGACCGACTCGGGACTCTGACTCAGAAGAGAAGAGAGGCGCTTGAGGTAATTTAATAACAACTTTTCTGAATACTTAAAACAGCTTTTTATTCAGGAATGGTGCACTTCTGTAATCTGCATTATCTCACAAAGTTTCAGTCATGAAGCAGCATCATCGGCGCCACTAGAGGGCGCTAATATTCCACTCTTCCAGTGATGTACATTGTGTAGGTTGCTGGAGTACGCCAATGTATATTTTACTAGGAGTACCTAACTTTCTTTTCTTTGAATAATTTTTTTTTTCTCCCAAAAGAAAACATATCAAAGTTATAATGGTTGTTCTATACCATACAATACAAAAAAAAACAACAACTTTAAGTCTCATTCAGACTCATTCAACAATCCAGAATGTATAACAGTAATACATTCCAGGATTACTTAATCTATTTAAGAAGACAAAATGAACCTTCCTGAATGATAGAAATTGTCTTGTTTAAACAACTTCATGTGAACAAAGTAGACCACAACATGCTGTCTTTATCTTCATAGAAAACGTCTGATATTTTACACACTGAGAGCTGAACAACTTCTCTCTTTTTTACTGAAAAATCTCATCTAAAGACATGACAGAGGAAAAAAAAAACGTATGTAATTCATCATGTTTTCAGAGTTAGATACTCCAGCTTGTATTTAATTACTCCAATGGCTTCTTGAAGTGAAAGTAAAGAGAAGGGAAAACCTGCTTGGGTTTGTCTGAAGTGTGTGCCAGGCATTTCCTATGATCTGCAGTACACTGGCTGACTGACCTGTAAATGTGTGAGGGCTCAGAGAAGAAAAAAACCAAGGCTTAGTCTGAGTGACAGGGACAGACGCCTGTTTTCTGTCACTCTCCCAACATCCCCTGCTGATGCGAGGGCCCTGCACCCGTCAACCGTGCACCCGGCCAGAACGCGGGGTTAACAAGGCCAGAACAATGGTATGCACTCAAGGATTAGACATCAAAACAGGTGAAGGGATGTTTGTTTTTGGATGTCAATGCAAGCTATGAATGTTGTGTTGTTGTTGGACGGGAGCTGTGTTATTGGGGGTTTGAAGATGTAAAAATATGGAAGTGAACAGCTGTCATACTGGTGTTTGTCTTAGCGCACTGAGAAGCTGCTGGAGACCATTGATCAGCTCTTCCTGGAGTTTGCAAAGAGGTCAGCGCCATTTAACAACTGGATGGAAGGAGCCATGGAGGACCTGCAGGATATGTTCATAGTCCATACCATTGAAGAGGTTCAGGTAACAACAAAAACAGATCTAATATTCAGTTGTCATTTATGTTTTGGCCATATTTCAGAGATATTATGAAAAATAACACAAAACTGTATTTACACTCATTGTTAGGGGTTGTGTGAAGCCTTATTGTCAAATTATTTATTTATTTAGGCATGCCTTTGATTTTCCTAAATTTCCTAATTTGTGACTTCCAGTTACTCACATGGCAATAAAAAGGATTCTGATAAACATGTTTTTTTGGAATAATAATGACAACTGAAACCACTTTCTGACCCTTGCAATCTCCATCCCTCAGTTCTCAAAATCATATATTTTCCCTTTAATATCCATGACATCTATGACAGCTTGAAGTCTTTTGTGGGAGTGGATGAGATTCTTTATCCTCTCTGATGGTAAAGTTATGGTGTGGACTTTAATTTTTGTATCTCTAATTTGTTTTGTTATCTCATCCCTGTCTCATGTCTTGCCTTTTTGAGTTCTACTTCCTGTCCCATTGATTGTTTGCCTCGGCCTATCTGACTCACCTCTCTTTGATTTATACCCTATGCTTTTTCCCTCTTGTTGTCTGTTCATTGTCCATCCCATTTTTGTTCCTGGCTCTGGTTCGTTGATTTTATGTTTTATTATAACCTAACTTTGAACGGCAGCAAAGTCTCGTAAATAGAAATCACATTTACGAGTTCACACAACCACAACAACAATCTTTTTGTGTTATCATTCATCATTCAAAATATGACCAAAGCAAGTACTATTTATGTGTGATTTGATTCTGTATGATTGTCTTACCCTATTTCTCTTGTCACTTCTTTCTCGTGTTTCTCAGAGCCTGATCGCAGCTCACGAACAGTTCAAAGCAACTTTACCTGAAGCCGACGCAGAGAGACAGGCCATTTTAGGAATCCACAACGAGGTGCTGAAGATTTCCCAAAGTTACGGGATCAAGGCTGCTCTTGTCAATCCCTACAGCGCAATCACCACGGAAGAGCTTCTTGAAAAATGGGACAAGGTATAACTCAAATATATTAAGATTAAGAGATCTTGAATTCGTTCCACAGTGGGGAAATTTCAGTGCTGCATCACTAGTTATAGAACAGTGGGAATGAGGAGCACACGGTACAAGATAAATGAACATTAGTCTATCCATCCATCCATCCATTTTCTTCCGCTTTATCCGTTGCCGGGTCGCGGGGGCAGCAGTCTAAGCAGAGACGCCCAGACTTCCCTATCCACACACACCTCCTCAAGCTCGTCCGGGGGGACCCCTAGGCGTTCCCAGGCCAGCTGAGAGACATAGTCTCTCCAGCGTGTCCTGGGTCTTCCCCGGGGCCTCCTCCCGGTGGGACGTGCCCGGAACACCTCCCCAGGAAGGCGTCCAGGAGGCATCCTGAACAGATGCCCGAGCCACCTCAACTGGTTCCTCTCGACGTGGAGAAGCAGCGGCTCTACTCCGAGCTCCTCCCGTGTGACCGAGCTCCTCACCCTATCTCTAAGGGAGCGCCCAGCCACTCTGCGGAGGAAGCTCATTTCGACCGCTTGTATCCGCAATCTCGTTCTTTCGGTCATTACCCACAGCTCATGACCATAGGTGAGGGAGGGAACGAAGATTGACCGGTAAATTGAGAGCTTTGCCTTTCGGCTCAGCTCCCTCTTTACCACAACGGTCCGATACAGAGACCGCATCACTGCGCACGCTGCACCGATCCGCCTGTCAATCTCACGCTCCATCCTCCCCTCACTCGTGAACAAGACCCCGAGATACTTGAACTCCTCCACTTGAGGAAGGACCTCTCCACCCACCTGGAGAGGGCAAGGCACCTTTTTCCGGTCAAGCACCATGGCCTCGGATTTGGAGGTGCTGATTCTCATCCCAGCCGCTTCACACTCGGCTGCAAACCGTCCCAGTGCATGTTGCAGGTCCTGGTTCGTTGGAGCCAGCAGGACGACATCATCCGCAAAAAGTAGAGATGAAATCCTGTGGTTCCCGAACCGGACCCCCTCCGGCCCCTGGCTGCGCCTAGAGATTCTGTCCATAAATACAGTGAACAGAACCGGTGACAAAGCGCAGCCTTGGCGGAGGCCAACATGCACCGGGAACAGGTCTGACTTACTGCCAGCAATGCGAACACAGCTCTGGCTCCGGTCATACAGGGACCGAACAGCCCTCAGCAGAGGACCCCGGACCCCGTACTCCCGGAGGACCCCCCAAAGGACACCCCGGGGAACGCGGTCGAACGCCTTCTCCAAATCCACAAAGCACATGTGGACAGGTTGGGCGAACTCCCATGAACCCTCGAGTATCCGATGGAGAGTATAGAGCTGGTCCAGTGTTCCGCGACCGGGACGAAAACCACACTGCTCCTCCTGAATCCGAGATTCGACCATCGGACGAAGCCTCCTCTCCAGTACCTTGGAGTAGACCTTACCGGGGAGGCTGAGGAGTGTGATCCCACGATAATTGGAACACACCCTCCGGTCCCCCTTCTTGTAGAGAGGGACCACCACCCCAACATTAGTCTATACATAATAAAATAAAATAAAAATCTCTATTTCTAGCATGAATAAGAAACAAGTATAAAATCTCTATCTTTAGCATAATAAATAAGTTTAACATCTCTACCTTTGGGTGGCGTGGTGGCTGAGTGGATAGCACTCTCGCTTCTCAGCAAGAAGGTCCTGGGTTCAAATCCCGGTTGGAACAGGGCCTTTCTGAGTGGAGATTGGTCGTTCTCCCCGTGTCTGCGTAGGCTTCCTCCGGGTGCTCTGGTTTCCCATACCACTAAAAACATGCACAATAGGTATGAATGTAAATGAGAGAGTTAATGGATGGTGTCGATTGGGAGCTGATGCGCCAGTGTGTTCGGCGACTCGCTTCTGTCATTGTGATTGGAACAATATATGAATTATGAACATTGTAAAGTGCTTTGGGTGAACTTGGTCTGTAAAATGCACCGTATAAATAAACAACATTACTTTCTTACTACTTACTAATAAAGTATGAAATCTCTACCTTTGGCGCAATAAGAAGCAAGTATAACATATTGTCTATTGTAGTGCAAGTAATGTATAGTTTGTTCATCTGTACATGTTAGCAGCACAAGGGTCTGGGACAAAGTGACTAAGTTGAGCAACAGTGACACATGTGGTTCTATATTGCACATTCTGACATAGTCTATCATTTATATATATACAACACATGACATAATACCCTAAATGTTGTAGGTGAAGAAACTGGTCCCTCAAAGAGACAGTGCCCTTCAGGAGGAGATGGCCCAACAGCACTCCCATGAAAGACTGAGACGTCAGTTTGCTGCCCAGGCTAATCTCATCGCCCCTTGGATACAGGCCAGGATGGAGGTTAGTGATGAATTAAACCATAGGGATTCCACAATTACACATTTAATTACATTTCATAATTATGCTTACAGTGATATTGGAATCCATCCAAATATGCAACAGTGCTTAAGAAATACCTATATTTTATGTTTTGTAATAACAGGAAATTGGACGCTGCTCCTTGGAGATCACTGGTGCCCTTGAGGACCAGATGACCCATCTGAAACAGTGTGAGCATGTCATAGTGGCCTACAAACCCAACATCGACAAACTGGAAGGAGACCACCAGCTCATCCAAGAGTCCCTGGTGTTTGATAACAAGCACACGAACTACACTATGGAGGTATGCAACAGAAATGCTATCAGACTTTTTTCCTCAGGTTATGTTTGAAATGACTTTTTCTTGGTTGTGTTTGGACAGCATATCCGTGTTGGCTGGGAACTGCTCCTCACCACAATCGCTCGTACCATTAATGAAATTGAGACCCAGATTTTGACTCGTGATGCAAAGGGAATCAGTCAGCAGCAGATGAATGAGTTCAGGTCTTCTTTTAATCACTTTGATCGGGTAACTTGACTATTCTTTATGCTATATAATTTTATGTACCTTCGTCATCTATTAATTCTCATTTAACTGACAAATTTCAGAAAAAAAATGGAGCGATGGAGACTGATGACTTCCGAGCTTGTTTGATCTCAATGGGATACGATTTGGTAAGTCTGCAGACAAATATGACTTGACGTTACATAAGAACTTGAGTTGGCTTGATTCTTCTTTCATCAGGGAGAGGCGGAATTTGCTCGGATCATGCTGCTTGTTGACCCCAGTGCCACCGGAATTGTGTCCTTCCAGTCGTTCATTGACTTCATGACCCGAGAGACTGCGGACACTGACACCGCTGAGCAGGTGGTGGCATCCTTCCGCATCCTGGCATCTGATAAGGCACGTGTACTATTGTCTACTATTGTGTACTATTGTGTACTATTGTGTACTATTGTGTGGTTTGTGATCTTTGGATAGATGTATCTCTATTATCTGACTTGTGCTTTGACATTGCAGCCCTACATACTTGTAGAGGAGCTGAGGAGAGAGCTTCCCCCAGAGCAGGCAGAGTACTGCATTATGAGAATGCCACCGTACAAAGGCCACGGAGCACCGGCCGGCTCACTCGACTACACCGCCTTCTCCACTGCCCTCTATGGAGAGAGCGACCTTTAACTTCCCTGTCCCCTACATTACCCCGGCCCCCAGGACATGACATAATGCAATTGTATCTGCACCATTACAGACTTCTGTTGAAAATGTACCATTGTTTGTCCACATTCATGCTGTGCATTGTTGTAAGTGTACTACGCATTTTCTGTGATTATTGGTGTAAAAAGAAACCCCATAATTCCAAGGATTCTAAAATGAGTTTAGTAAATAAAGAATATCAACTTCTGATGTAATTACTGTAATCATTACTGTAATGCATGTAATTACTACAAGCAAATCATGATTCCCCATTTATCTGACCGGACTTCAAACAAACTGCAAGTTCAGTTTTTGTATCCATTGAAGTTTAAGTATGAAGCATTGGTTAATGTCATTGGTTATTTCAAACGAAATGTCAATAAACAATTTTCAACACAATTACGTAATGTGTAATGGTCTATTATAGTAATAAACACTAAAATACACATCCTGGGTTTTAATTAAAGCATCATATATATTCATATTTAAATATTATAACATCAAATGTTATAGAGGCAATATTCATCGAGATGTTTTTTTACTGCCATCCCAAATCATTTTCAATTTAAATATTGAGAAATCACATCTGGAGGATGGAACTAGTGCAGAGGTTGTTGTCCCTCTGCTTTCCTGATGACATTTCCAAATTGATCAATATAAAACATTTTAGGAATCCAGATAATGTCCTTACATTAAAAGTAGGTGACATTTACATCACTCAAATCAATTGACCAGTGGTCACATGACCCCAAAGGGGGAGAGCCGCCCCCACAGGAGGCCGCACTCGGGCTGAGGACTGGACACACGGACACAGAGACAGAGACAGAGACAGAGGAAGCTTCAGGCTCTTGTTCATCACAAGTTTCTCTGCGTTTATCAATAATGAAAAGATGGCGGACACTGATGCGGATGAAGAGTTCCAGTTTCTCCGACTGGTAAGTCACACACAACTGTTAGCATCACCACCTGTGTATCCAAAGAAATATAACATGTGATTGATGATTTTTCAATGGGCACAAATATGCAAGAACATCAGCTCCTTTTAAAGAGCAGTTAAGTTAAACTAATATCTATCATATTTGGTGTCAAGGAGTTCGTCATTTCTAATATACGCTTCAGAAATTGTAATGTAATATCTTGCTATTACATTACCATTATTATTACTATATTTGATAATTAAATAGGTTGTTTATGAGGATCAATGTCATATTTGAGAAAAACTCTTTGAAACCAATTCTGGTAAAAAAAAAAAAAAGATAGACCATACATTTGCGGGTTTTAGTTAAATTTTGTGGTGTATCAATAGTGTTTTCAATAAATACATGAACATTTATATCTACGTAATGAAGTTACATTTTAAAGGGGACATCTACATGACTGATGCTAATGACGTGAATAAAAGTCTTCTTCCATCTTTGTTCTTCAGTAATGTTTGGTCCTTTCCCTGAACATTTACAGTAGCTGTAAGTCATCCTTCCACTGCTCATTATCTCAGGGGGTGATAAGGGCATGTCACAGTGAACAGTGTCTGTGACGCTGGCCACATGGGCCCTGGACCGTGCTCAGAAAGGTCCCGCTGGTCTGTGAGGCCGCTCAATATGAAGCTCATACGAAACTATGTGAGGAGAACTGGATCTGCAAAGTGATAATAATGGTATCATGAAAATACTTAGATATTACAGACAAATAAACTTCAGCAGTGGTCTCTAACCGTGAGAAAACAGGCTTGATCCTTGTTCTGGTGTCAGTGCCTGGGAGTGTGGCAGAGTCTATGCAGAGTTTTGCTGATATGAAGAGTGGACTGGAGGTTGAATTCCCGGTCTGATAGTCCTGTGAATCCCCAATATGGAAGTATACAGTAACTATTACATAATACAGATCAATCAATCAATCTTTTATTTGTAAAGTGCAACACAAAGCACGTCACGATGCAAATCTGCCATAAATCATACACATTAAAATCTACATAAGTATAAAAAATACACACAGAGGACCAAGGAAAGTCTGATCTGACATATTTGTTCTTTCTTTCTGAAATAAGCACTGTCTAATTGTACATTTCTGGATCCAAATTATTTCATAGAATTTGAATTGAAGTTGTAATGTGTTAGTGCCTGAATGGACTCTTCACTAAAAGAACGATGTTTCTGTTGTTTTCAGGGTGATGAAGTAGTATTGCAGAGTACTTTTACCTGTAACTCAGAACCTGTGAAGCTGTGTCTTTCAGCTGAAGGCTTTGGGAGCAGACGTTGTTCTCTTGAGCCAACTTCTAACTCTAAAGTGTGTAGGCTATAAAACAGTACATTTCACATGTTTTATTCAAAATGGGATTTGATTCAGTGTGATTTGTTATTTCCAAGAATGTTCATCCAGACATGTCCCTGTGTGGCTTTGTGCTGGCTCAGTGTCTCTCGGTCCGGGCTCTACAGGAGATTCTGTCCCACAAAGAGCAAATATCAGAGAACGTGAGTTACTTATCTCAACATCATCTCAAACTTAAATCCTTTCATATCCTAGGGAAGATTTTTTATTATTATTTTGCGTTTGGTCTGTTATGATCATTCTCTGTCATTTCAGATGGGAGGTGATAGCAGCCATCGCACACTTCTTTATGGGCAGGCAGTATTATTCCTTCATTCATACAGTGGCATGGTAAATGTAAAAACTATTCTGTATCCTAGATGTACATTTATATCTGAACAATGGATTGCTTTTTCAGTATCTGAGCTGCATGTTCTCATCTCAATCTTCTACTGATAAGCTGGCATTTGATGTCGGTCTACAATATAACAAAACGGGTACTTTTATTCTATGTCTAATTTGAACTTCAGAAGCATTTATTGTATGTACTGTGATTCTAACTGTATTTTTAGATGAAACTTGTTGGTGGATCGTGCATCCTGCTTCTAGACAGAGATCCGACGGTGAGAAGGTCCGTGTTGGAGATGATGTCATACTAGTCAACATATCGTCCGAACGCTACTTGGTAAGTGTCCGTTTTTATACCATTTGTGATGAATGTTACAAATATTACCATGTTACAGTATTAAAACATAGCAACCATCTTAAAATTACTGTATCGTCGACTGCTTTCCTATGGCTCAGAGAATAGACTTTAAATCAGCTCTGTGTGTGCCAAAGTCTCTCCATAATCTCACGAGCCTCCTAATGGTGCCCAGAGTCAGAAGTAAACATGGAGAGGTAGTATTTCAGATTTATGCTGAACAAATCCAAAAAACCCAGTCTTCCTAAAAATGTGAGACAGGCTTCTTCTCTGACACTGTTCAAATCCACTTTGAAAACAGTTATTTTTAGCTGTGCATACAACTGAGCGACTGTATCTTTTTAATGTGATTATTCATGATTTATGGTAATCATGTTTTGTTAATAGATTTTAGCTGCCTTGTGTATGAACTGTGCTATACAGATAAAATTGCTTTCAACATTTTTTTTCATTTGTTCTCTCTAAACTTCCATTTTCAGCATCTGTCCACTGGGGCTGTCTCTAATAACAAAATCGACAACATCGTGGTTTCTGTAGCTTTCCGGCAGAGTCTCTGGCGTCTGGGTCCTATTTGCTCTGTTGGAGGCATTACTCAAGGCAAGTGTAACTACTGAATCATTTTGGTCAACTTTTGAACAGGAATATTTCAGATTGTGTGCGTTTCTTTCACAGGATTCTTACGAGGCGGAGACACACTACGTCTGCTGCATAGACACAGTGATGCATGTTTGACCGTTATGTCTGGAAAAGTAGAGGAGGACTTTCCGAGGTCGGTGTGAATACAAATCAGTGAAATATCTAGTTTATCATCGAAGTCTTTACTCTTTCTATTCACAGGGATTTGATTTATGACACTGGTCCAGCCACAAATCGTGCTTGCTCTCTTTGGAGAATAGAGATCCTTCAAGTCGTGTAGGTGGACTTAATTATGAATATGTTTTATGTAAGTCCTCTTGAGTCCTTTAAATTAAACAAAAATTAACAATATATTTTTTATCTGCATTTATATACCCTAGTTGGAGTGGTAGTCACATACAATGGGCACAACCTTTCCGACTCTGCCACCTGACCACTGGACAATACCTGGGTTTTACAAGTGAGAATGGTCTTCATCTTGTCAATCGAGACAATGCTGACATCAAAACAGCAGCTTTTGGCTTCAGACCTACAAAGGTAAAAACAAATATTTGGGAATTTTTTGGAAACATATTGCGTTGTACTGGCTATGCTTTGTTTCAATTTGTGAAGGATAAACTTGAGCCATGCCCAAACACAACTGTCCAAGGCATGGGAACAGCAGAGATCAAATATGGGGACTCCACTTGCTTCATTCAGCATTTGTATTCTGGACTCTGGCTAACGTATAGCTCCGATGCAAAATCAACTGGGTCACTGACTGGTCACCGTAAGGTACATGTTGGCAATACTATGTCAAACTAATGCAAAAAGTTTATTATGTTTATAATGCTTTGAAGGTTCTTTTAAAAGACAAAAGTTTAACTAAGCTGTCTCTTATCTGCTGTTGTTACCGGATGTAGACTGACAGTTTGACAGACCAGGGTAGATTGACCATGCCCCCCACTACACTGTGCTCTCTGGAGAAGTGAGTCCCATGTGTGAGCAACTTTTGGATAAAGATGGATACGAGAGGCAATCGAAATAGGAACCATCAACAGAGACAGATAAGATAAGATAAGAAAAAATATTCTTTATTTATCTCACAAGGAGGAGAAATTTACATGTCACATTTGGCATGGCTTTCACCTTGGCTCACATTTGGGACTCACTTCTCTAGAGACAAAAGGGCCTGGTCATCCCAATACCCGCATCTGGTGATTAAGCAGTACAGTTTCTTTACACTTTTGCCTTATTAGAGGGACCTTCAAAGCCTTAACTATTTAAAACTCTCGACAATCGCATGTTTCAAGTCGATCTGTTTTCAGGCCATCCTACACAGCGAGGGCCACATGGACGATGGGTTAACACTGTCCCGATCTCAGAACGAGGACTCTCACACGGCGAGACTGATTCGCAGCGCTGCTCTCCTCTTTACCGGCCTCAATAGGTACAATACATCTGTTTGCATTATTCACTGAAATGTATATATGTATTTATTTATTTTTCTCAGGACACTGGATGGTCAACAGGGAAACCCAACTTCTGATCTGCTTTTCATAAAGACCGTAATGTGTAGTGTTCTGGATCTAATTGAGTTTTTTAAGCCGCCGCATGACAACTTAGACTTTGAAGCTGAACAGAAATTCTTGGGCGAGTTAAGAAAACGTCAGAAGATGTTTCAAGAAGAGGTGAATAAAAAGTGCAAGATCGCATTGGCATGTTTTATACTCTCAATCTCTTTCCTCAGGGGATCCTAGACCTTGTGGTTGAATGTATCGATCAGCTGCATCAGTACAGTGATGTCTACTGCAATGCCGAGTCTCTGCAGAGTGAGGGCATCAAACAGTGGGAGGAAATCATTAGTTACTTTTATAAAATACTCGGTGAGGCACAACATACATTCAGAGACATAACATTTATCCTTTATGTCAACTTTTGATGTATTTTCTCAGGTACATTGATCAGAGGAAATCGTGCCAACTGTGCAACATTTTCAGTCTTTCTCGAATGGCTTGTGAGCAAATTAGAACGCCATAAAGCCTCCTCTGGTAGGAAAAGCACACACAAAGTAAAACATATAGTAGACATTTGTTATTCCTTATAGGAGCAAAATGTAATGTGTAATGTGGCCAAAAGTGGAACTGCAACCTCTCCCACTCTTCCTGACTCAGGTTGCCAGATATTCAGACGAATCCAGCTGGGGCCATAATAGCTGAATAGACAAGATTTTTGTCAACAACAAATCTATAACAAACACAAAGGCCCCGATAGAAATCCTCGTTTTATTCCTTGTTTTGTCATTAATGATTTGAGAATCATAACAAGAGCTTTTTAGTTCTGTGGCCACATGTTACTTTACCAGTGAGATTAGCAAGCCGTGGGGAGTTCTGGCAACCCGGATCACAGACTTTCTGGTAACAAGATTTAGGGGCTGTAAAACTAATTTTGATATTCGAATATCTCGGCTGTTATCAATTAAAGAAGTATTGGAAAAGACCATGGTTTATTAATGCCTTTTGACAGATCAGGGCTATTGAATGACGACTTGACATGAAAATCTTACATATTGCTACTTTAAGTAGAGTAAATAAGAAAGTAAGTAATCTTTAATTATATAGCAACAATCACAGATCAGAGTCAAAATGCGCTTACCAATTGTTGTGGGCATTTGTCTCTCACTCCAAACATTCATAACATGTTTTATTTTGTAGGAGCCTTGGAGGTTCTTCACTTCATTCTTCTTGAAAGCCCTGAAGCTGTCAATATGTTCAAGGAGAAACACATTCAGTCCATTGTTTGTTTTCTCGACAGACATGGATACAACTACAAGGTAAAGCATGACACAGACTCAGAGATGATCACAGTGGTTTGGGGAAGATTGAGGTTATTGTCCATTTTGTTGAATCTTCTTATTAAATAATGTTTTTTTAATAACTCAAAGAATAATGAGGAGAGAGGAATATGTCTTCTGGGTAATTGCAAGTAACCGCTCTCAAACAAATGACCAAAAAAAAAAACAACCAATCTCCCCAAAATCAATAACTGGATGGAAGCAATCCAAGACGTCCAGCAAATGGAGAGATATAAGAAAAATAATGAAGACGAATTTAGGAAAAAGGCACACCACTTTTGATAATATATTTATTTAAACGACTAAAAAGTTCCCTTTTACTTGTAATGAAAACGAATAATGCATTTATAATATTGATGTTAAAATCAAAACGAGATAGAAAGGAGCGTATTATGAAAGCAAGTGGGTAAAAAAAGTGGAAACCAACCCAAATAATGACAGTAGATGTAGTGGAGGATGACTGAATAAGCCAATTTATCACATCCATCACATTTTATTATCATTCCATCAAATATGTGTGATTTCTGACTCGAGACATTAGTAGAAAGTCATCATCTATTGATCTTGGTGTATTTTTTTTTTCCTTCCTAATTTGTAAGCATCTTTTATGATTTTGTGTTTTTTTGTGTGTGTTTTTTTACTATTGTTTTAAACCATATACTTAATTCATGATTTGCTTTTTATTTTTTCAACTCTAGCAGAGGATAGTCGGGGCAAAAAAGGATACAAAATGAAATGTGTCTGACTATGTTGAGTATGAAACGTGGAAATAATATGAACTAATGAAAACGACAACTGTTTTTAACAATTAATCAATCAAGCTTTATTTGTAGAGCGCATTTCCCACACAGAGCAACACAAAGGGCCATATTACCGTATGAGATGTGTGCGATGCTGTCTTCCAGGTGTTGGAGGTGCTATGTTCCCTGTGTGTGTGCCACGGTACAGCTGTGCGCTCCAATCAGAACCTTATCGCCGTCAGTGTTCTTCCATTCAGAGACATGCTGCTCCAAACCCGCCTTGTTAACCAGGTCATCAGGTAAAGTTTGTGTTTTTTACTGTAAGACGCTGTAAATCCTCTGCGGGTGACAACACATCTTCTCTCGCTCCAGTATAAGACCAAACATCTTCCTCTCAATGGAAGAGAATTCTGCCCAGCACCGAAAGTGGTACTACGAGGTCGTGGTTGATCAGGTGGTGCCCTTCGTCACCCCAGAACCCACCCACCTGCGAGTGGGCTGGGCTTCCACTGGGAGTTACCAGCCCAGGCCTTCAGGAGGGGATGGCTGGGGGTGCAATGGGGTTGGAGATGACCTTACGTCCTTTGGTTTTGATGGGCTTCACTTATGGTCAGGTTTGTAGCCAGAGAGGACTCATACACTGCAGCAAGTGGTAAAAAAAGTAAAAAATGGGTATCTTATTATGAACACATGTTGACATTCTTAAAGCAAGATTGGCCAATGGGACAAGCTAAATTATCTTGTTTTCAAAAGATATACAGTAAGAAATGTCTCCCCTGGAATGAGAAAATAAAGCAACAGTTCTTGAAATGAGACTAAAGGGCTTTGTCCCACTGGCAAATCTTGTTTTAATACAGTCAGGATGTATTCAAATTAGGATAAAAAAAAAAAAAAAAAACTAAGTTCAAGCAATTAATACCTTATATTTTGTCATTTTTGGCAGTGTATTGTATGTAATAGAAGAAACAACAGTCTACGATTTCTTCCTCTCAGATAAATTTTATTTTATTTGCAGTAAAACCACATTGGAATATTTCAGAAGACAATTACATAAATAAAACAAGCTAAAAAGTACAGGAATATAACAGGCTAAAAATAGTACAGAAACAACTGTCACTGTGAAATCAATCAACAAAAACAGGCGCAAGACCCTCAAGCACTTTAATGTTCTTGCACCTGTTCTTGTTGGCCTTCTTTTATTCCTTTGCTTTTAGCTTGTTTTAATCTCTCGTTCATCTAGGTTCATCTGGGCGCAGGGTAAAGTCCCCGTTTCCCCATTTGCTCAAAGACAATGATGTGGTCAGCTGTTGTCTGGACCTGAGTGCCCCGTGTGTCTCTTTTCGACTCAATGGGCTGCCTGTCCAGGGGATGATGGAGAACTTTCATTCCGACGGCTTTCTCTTCCCTGTGGTCAGTCTCTCTGCAGGAGTTAGGTGAGTAATACTTTATTCTCTGTTTTGTATTAACTCTTCACACATATTTTCGTTTAGGATTCGTTTTTTGTTTGGGGGAGCGCATGGAGAGTTCAGGTTCCTACCTCCTCAAGGGTTTGGAGCGTGTTGTGAAGCTCTCCTTCCAAAAACCAAGCTGAGGATAGAACCTTGTCACACATCTATCTTTGAGCATGAGGATGGCAAAGAGCTCATGGGGCCAGCTGCATTTTCTAAACCAGTTGTTTTTATTCCAAATCCCATTGACATCAGTAAGGTAATGCCTTGATTTAATGATTGTCTTGTAATTATTGAAAATAGAATAAATCATATGTTTTAAATATTTCAAATGTCACTTTCGTAGACCGTATTGCCGCTTCAACTTGAAAACATCAGACGAAAAATGGCAGAAAATGTACATGAACTTTGGGCCATGGATCAAATTGAACTTGGATGGACTTTTGGAACTGTGAGTTGTGTGTGCGTTTGTGTGTGTGTGTGTGTGTGTGTGTGTGTGTGTGTGTGTGTGCGCGCGTGTGTGCGTTACAGGACATATGATAATCATGTTTTCAACAGGTAAAAGATGAAGAGAAAAAGATAGATCCTTGTCTGATTGAGTTTTCAAATCTCACAGATTCTGAAATAAACCAAAATATTCAAACAGCAGAAGACACTCTGAAGTTAGTAACATCCAAATACAAATGTTTGAACATTAAAAGTACCTTACACTGTATGTGTTCAAAGTCAAAGACCAGATCTTTGCTGAAAATCAGTTTCTAATGAATGATTGTGTGGTTTCATTTAGAACTATCCTCGCCCTTGGTTTTCACATGGGATTGTCGGACGAGCAGGCGGAGGAAAGACTCCAGTACATTTCTCTTTCATCCAAGTAATGAGATATGATATACATCATGTTAAACACCAACTGATGCAAAGTATCATCATGTTCTTTTACTTTTTCTTTACAGATTTGAATTACCAAGTGGTTATAAACCCGCTCCTCTGGTCCTGAGTGGTGTTGTTCTCAGTCCACCTCTTGAGAAACTGGTGAATTTGCTGGCGGAAAATGATCACAACGTATGGGCCAAGGAACACATCAGGCAGGGCTGGGCCTATGGAGCTCAACAGGTAAAAATATTTTAGTTCAAACATTTAATGGAGTCATTGATGATCCTCTAATTAAGAAGGGATATAAACAAAGACCACTGTATGTAGGATGTGAAAGCCAAACGAAGCCCGTACCTCGTGCCCTACAGCCAGCTGGATGGGAGACGGAGGAGAGAGGGGAGGGAGAGGGCCAGAGAGGCAGTGTGTATCCTGCGTGTTTATGGATACCACCTCGAGTCCTTTAAAATGGAACATGGTTAGTGCCATACTTGTTCTGTTATCATGTTATTGTTAAGTATCCTGTTTATTTCATTTTGCTTGGTCCTCTTTGCATCAAGTTAGGTAAGATAGTTTAATTTCACATTTCTGTTTGCAGCCTCATTATCTCCGCCATGTCTCGTTTCTGATGAGAATTGCCGGATGTTCAGACCAGATAAGTCTTATGCTGTGACTGAGGGAAAGTGGTACTTTGAATTTGAAACAGTGACTGCTGGAAATATGAGAGTGGGCTGGGCCAGGCCCGGCTGCGTTCCAGACAGAGAGCTTGGCTCAGATGACCGAGCTTTTGTGTTCAGTGGAGATGAGGTACGCTCAAGTCAGATTTGAAAGTATTATCATTCAATCCCTGGGTTTCATCATATTTGTGATGTGTGAGTCGTGGATGATCTGTGCTTGTCCCCTGTGCAGGCACAATGGTATCACCAGGGTGGGGTCCCACTCGGGACGTTACCGTGGCAAGAAGGTGATGTGGTGAGCTGCATGTTGGACACAGCTGAACGCACGATCAAGGTCGCTCTTAATGGAGACCTGCTGTTTAATGAAAAGGGAACTGAGATGGTTGCCAAAGACTTTCGACTCAATGATGGTTTGTTTATTTCTTATTTACTGTTTATGTAATTCAATACTCAATACTAATTCAATGCTATGTATTCAAATAGAGAGGTACTCACTTGAATGAATTGTTTATTAGTATGTGTTAATAGTTGATATCACAAAAGTTATGTTGTGGTTGTAATGGCCAGGAATTCACTTTTGCAAGTTAGCCCTAACCCAGTTTCTCGTTAAGAACGGTCTCTAATTGAATATACAATCTCACTAAAACAATGCATTCTGTTTTTGTTTTTAATGTAACAGCAGTCATTCTTTTGTGTTTGTTATAGGCTTGTTACCAATTGTTGGTCTTGGAGTGAACCAGATGGGGAAGCTGAACTTAGGGTCTAAGCCAGAGTCTCTGCAGTATTTCTCAGTGTGTGGATTACAGGAGGGTTATCAGCCGTTTGCAGATCACATGGCTCACGCTCCTTCTTTTTGGTTGACTTGGTGGCAGCCTCAGTTCACTTCTATAAAGCCTGATGACCCCAATGTACTTGTAAGTATGTTATTATATTGTAATTTAAGAGCCACTGTGTCCAAGTTATTTCTCTTGTGGATGTATAAAGTGTAGTCTGAATTGATGTATATATTACATGTACAATACAGTTATTGTGGCTTATTATTATGCAGATTACCAAAAACTTGAAGGATTCGGTACCGAGCTTCAGGGTCTCTCAGCGGTTGTATCAGAGTGCCAGAAAGGAGATGTGTTTTTACCGTCTAAACATGTCCGTGGAGTGTGCCTCGGTCCTCAGCAGTCCAGGTCGAACACTTCCCACTGCGGCCCCCAGCCCTTTGCCATCAGGTATTCAAGTAACATCTATTTGTTTACTTTATACAAATTAAAAATTATTTTTAATACATAATCACCATTAAAACACTCTCCTGGGAGTTAGGGTTGTTAATTAATGTGTGCCTTCTATTTTACTTTAGAAAATCCTGTGTTTTCCCTGATCAGCTTCTATTCATAACGTAACTATTGCAGAGCTGTCAGGAAAAGCTAAACCAATGGAAAAGCCATTAAAACCTGAGTGTGGGACTCGGGTTTGAATGGCCTTTCTGATGATAAACAGCGAGCCAGAGCTTTTTCCCATGTAACTGAGTGAATATGCATAACATTGGTAGTTTCATAAATTGAAATTGGATTGATAAATGGTATTTGCAATCTCAGTGTTGTATGTACAGTATATCTCTTGTGATGCACCACAGCACGAAAGGAGCAGGAGGAGTTGGATTCAGACTATGAAATGCTGATGAAGTCAGCTCACAACTTCACTGGTTCAAAAGATGAGCTCAATCACCACAAGGATCACAGCCACGACAAAACATCAAAGCTGAAACAAAAGTTTGTGTCTTCTCTGTTCATTCTTTATACAATACAAGAAGTACTCATTAAATATTATTGACACATAACCTGGTCCTTCTAAGGTTCATGTTGAGGAGGACTAAACCAGGATTAGTCAGCAGTAACTCATCAGCAAGACTTTTGGAAGATGTGCTGGCAGATAAAGACAACATGAATCATCTTGTTCAGACCTCTAAAGTAAACTGCAGCCATCTTGGTTTTTAGTCTAACCCCTTGTAATACAATCAAACTGTGTTTCTTTTTAGTATTATTATTCAGTAAGGGTTCTTCCGGGCCAAAGCCCGTCCACTGTGTGGGCCGGCTGGGTGACAGCTGACTTTCATCAAATGAATCCAGCGTTCGATATTGACAAGGTGCACACTGTTACGGTAACTCTTGGGGATGACACGGGGAAGGTCCAGGAAAGGTATTGAGTATAAACGTATTATTCACTGCTCTGTATTCTAAGTGCAGAGTTTACATCCCACATAATTGCATTTCCCCAGTGCCAAGCGCTGTAACTGTTACATGATTTGTGCTGGAGAAGCCACTGGTCTGTCTCAAAGTCGCAGAAGCACTGGTTTGGAAATTGGCTGTTTAGTAGATACAGAAACTGGGTTTCTCACATTTACCTCCAGTGGAATTGAAATGACAACCTTCTATCAGGTTTGTACTACATTGTCAGGATTTTGTTTTATGTGTGCTTCATGTAAATGAATGTTGACACATATTGGTCAGGTAGAGGCAGGTACAAGACTTTTCCCTGCTGTATTTGTCAAGCCAACAACAAGCAACGTGTTTCAGTTTGAATTGGGAAATATCAAGGTAAAAAACATACAAAAGTACAAATCAGACATCCATTTTTATTTTAGAAGACAAATCATAATTCATGTTTTACAGAATGTTATGCCGCTATCGGCTGGTTTGTTTCGCAGCCTGGGGAGGAATACAGTCCCTCAATGGCCTGACCGGCTACAGGTGCAGTATCTGTGTCCTGTGTCCTGGACTCGAGTTCCAGACGATGCTCTGAGAGTGTGGATGGATCAGACAGAAGACTGTCGGGGCTGGACTGTGCAGTGCACCGAGCCCAGACAAATCATGTCACTGCAGATACCTGATGAAAACAGGTAAGATTTTTAGATACGTTCTTTTAAATGTATCAAATTATACAAGGCCAAGTAAGTTTATTTGCATAGTGACAGAAAAAATCATACCAAAGTACTGTATGTGAAAGCATTTTACGTCATAAAAAGATTCAAGAATGTAACATAACAAGGCAACATATTTGCATGCTAAATAGAATAGTGTTTCTAAAATGCATTTTGACTTTCTTATTATGTAGGAGTCTCTCATGTCATTTCTATGTACAATATTCGACCTGAACTCTTTAGTTTATTACAAGTTCAATTGTGTTTCTGAAATTGGGTGTTGGGGAGCGCAGTGATGGAGAAAGCAGCAGCTTGTTTCCACTGATTAGAGTAAAGCAGACGGCAGAGGCAAACTGTCAAACAACAGAGAGCGTCTCACGGAGTTTACACATTTGTTTGTGTTCCAAAAGTGCAGAAACATTCGGTAAATTGTGGAAATATTAGACAAAGAACGAATTATGGCTTGACTGAACAACAGCAGAAGGCCTGTCTCTGGAGTAACTATTGAGTAACTATTGAGTAACTATTGAGAATTCATAACTTTTGCTGTTGGTTATAATCAGAATACTTTGTTTTTGTATTTCATCAAGCAAACTATGGCAGGGTATTACAAAAATTACATTGCTTTGAGTGATGTATGCCCGGGAGTTTGAACCTTAACAATAACATGCATGACATTAAAATATTTTGTATAGTACATATTTAGTAACTTAATAAAAGGTAAAATATCCATCCTAACACTGTACATAACATACAGCGATGATGGAGCCATGAAGAAACTTATCATGTGTTTTATTCTCTCTGGACATAAAGGAGCATTGACATTTTGGAGCTCTCTGAACACGATGAGCTGCTGATGTTTCACTACCACACGCTGCTCCTCTACTCCTCTCTCTGTGCTCTGGGGAACACCAGAATATGCCATGCCATCTGCAGTCAAATGGATCAGTCCCAGATGTTTTATTCTCTACAGAACCCCAACCTCCCGGGATTTCTCCGCTCTTCCTTGTATCAGCTGCTTATTGAAGTAGGTGACCGATAATGGGCTAAATTGTGCTAAAATACATTATAAAAACAACTATCTTTCAGGTTCATCTCAGTTGCCATAGCTCAGCGTGTCTTATGATGAACCAAGAATACATTGTCCCTAAGATGGATCCGGCTGGGGCCATCTCTCTGACCCCCAGCTCTGCCGGTGGCATCTATATTCCAACAACAGTGGGTTCGACGCTGAAACCCATGTTGTGTTTTTCCACTCCGTGCTTTGTTAGGCCTTCTGAGGAACACAGAGCTGAAAGTGAAGCAGGGACATCATTTATTGACTCCCCTGAATTTCCATTGGATCGACTAAAAGAATTAACAGTGGAAATGCTGAGAGCGGCTGTGAGAGTTGTGGATGAGGGTCTGAGAGATCCTGCAGGGGGCAGCGTGGAGCTTCTGCTGGTTCCACTGCTTCAGTTGTTTTATGCTCAGCTTGTGATGGGAGTATTTCAGGATGCAGACTTGAGGAAAGTTCTCACTCTCTTTTTACCGCAAGCTTTTTCTGACGAAGACGACCTTTCAGAGCAAAATGACAGAGAACCAATAATGGGAAATGTTTCTCATTTGGGGTTGCTTCAAATGAAACTTCCAGAAGCTGTTAAATTTGAGGTAGAAGAACTATTTGGTTTGTTTAAAAAAATAGTTTAACATGTTCCTCCTTAATGAATTCTTATATATTTGTTATTTTCCAAGCTTTGCCAGGTTCTATCATTCCTCTGTGATTGTCAAGTGCGCCATAGGGTGGAAGCAATAGCTGCATTTTCTTGTAATTTTGTCGGGCATCTGCAAGAAAACCAAAGATTTCGATACAATGAAGTGATGCAAGCCCTTCACATGTCGGCTGCTCTCACTGCTCGCAAAACAAAGGAGTTCCGATCCCCTCCACAAGAACAAGTAAATACTCAAATATGAAAGTGACATTTATTCGTTAACCAATGATTCATTTGTGTTCTACATCTTTTCAGATAAATATTCTTGTAGGATTTAAGGAGAAGAAGGACTGTGAGGACTGCCCATGCCCACCGGAAGTGCAGCAGCTTCTGAAAGACTTCCATCATCGTCTAAAACAGCACTGCGGTTAGAATCTACTCTCTCTGATTTCAGGAAACATGACTTATTTAAAAACAACATCTGAGTCTGTGGTGTATGTTGCAGGCCCTGAAGTAGACAGAGAATCTGAAGATGATGAAGATGAAGAGTTATCCATAAAAGATCAACTTAGTAGTTTGATATTTCAAGCTTGTGCAGAGAAAAAGTCGTCTACGAGTGAAAAGCAGAGTGTGGCGTCAATCCAAAGTCCCGGTAAGAGCCGTTTTGTGTTTGCATTGTTTGTCGAGGGTTTTTGCCTTGACTGGTGCAAACGTTATTATTCATAAACAGCCACTTAGCCAGTAGCCCTTTGAAATTTCCCTTGTGCCTTTGTGGATTGTTAAAGACTGATCCTTTATGCGACGACAGACCAACTATTGAGCAGAAACAGACCGAGTCAGGACTGAGATTCAGATCTCCAGAGGCACATGGAAAGAAATCTATTTGAGAGGATTGTATGTTAATTTTTGATTTTGTTAGTTGCTGCCTTGAGTCCAGACTCCAGACATCAATATTTTCTCCAGACCAGGCTATGAACCATCTTCCAAATAGAAAATATACATATCATTTCTTGAACCTGTTTTATTGTAGCATGGGTTGGTTATTCTTTTTCAACAATATAGTATAATACTGTTAACCAATCATTATTAAAACAGCGTGATTGTTGGTTGCACTAATAGTGGGGTTGTCATGAACATTTCTGGCATTTTACCACACAATCATAAACAAATAACACGCACACTATACAGTATTTAAACACATAGATTTCAGAGGTTCTGAGCTATAGAATGAGGTACAGCATACCTATATTGGAGGAGTTGAAGATGGCAGGATGACACTGTGAACGTGTGTTTATGATCTCAAAGACTATTTCAGGTTAGTAAGGCAGAGGACCACATAGCATACCACAGAGGGCCGCAATTGACCCGCAGGCCTTCGTCTTTTACATGCCTGACCTATAATGAAAGACTTTAGTGTACTTTCTAAAGGCACGTTTCCCAGACAGCTCGACTTGGTATCTCACTGACACTAAACGGATGTAATGATTGGGTACAAAGGACCTTTGACTAAAATCTGGAATATTTTATTCATGTTTTTAATATGTCTTTTAATTAACATGCACCTTCCCATTCAAATAAAGATTTGCTTTTAATATTCTGTGTAGCGTCCTTTTCCGACCTTATCTCCAAGATAATGATGCTTTGGTCGTCTGAAGCTAAAATCGAAGACCCTGGATTGGTGAAGGCTATTTTTTCCTTGTTGCATCGACAGTACCAAGGTCTTGGTGGCCAAATGGGAAAAGCCATTTGTAAAGCTTACACAATAAACCAAACATCAACAGAGGACACGACAGCTCTCCTCACCTCTCTGTGTCAAATACGTTCTCTCCTGAGAGTGCGAATGGGCAAACAGGAGGAGAAACTCATGACGGATAAACTGGGGTAGGTGATGAGAGTGTTACATGTATATTGTATGGACAGTCTTTATCTTATTGTGTATCACAGGGAAATCATCAACAACAAAGTGTTCTACCAACATCCACATTTAATGAGGGCTTTGGGAATGCATGAGACTGTGATGGAGGTGATGGTGAATGTATTAGGAGAAGACAATACAAAGGTAATTCAGTTTTATCATACATATTTTTATATTGTAATATGAAGTGCCTTAAGTCAATTTTGTGTAATTGTAAATAGGAGATCATGTTTCCCAAAATGGTGGCCAGCTGCTGCCGCTTCCTGTGCTATTTTTGCCGCATCAGTCGTCAGAATCAGGGGGCGTTGTTTGACCATCTGAGCTATCTGCTCCGACACAGTCAGGTTGGACTAGGTAAGTCCTTGATGTTCACACACACATTGATGTTGATTTGAATATTTTACATCTTTTTATTGTAATCAAAGCAGAAACTATTGTGGTAGTTGTGAATGGGGATGATAAAGCTTCCTATTCTTAATTCCTAAGCTGCACATGTGATATCTCCACAGAGTGATTGAAAGGTCTTTTATTTTGAAAGGAGAAAACTTGTTTATTATAAAACACAACGCGTCGTGTCATCACCATGTGTGGTGAATAAGAAAATCCATATTTCAAAATACAGCGGCATTTGTCTTGTTTTGCAGCTTCTCCATCGATGCGAGGCTCGACTCCGTTGGATGTGGCCGCGGCTTCTGTGATGGACAACTATGAGCTGGCATTGTCATTACAAGAACATGAACTACAGAAGGTAAAGTGCTTGTGTGGGTTTGTGTGTCGTTCTACACACAGACAGATAGATGGTAGATTTAATTCATATTCAGTGATTCTATTTCATGTTTCAGGTTGTGGATTATCTTGCAAACTGTGGTGTCCAGAGCTGTGCTATGCTTGTTTCTTATGGATATCCTGATATAGCATGGAACCCAGTGGAGGGAGAACGATACTTGGATTTCCTCCGTTTCACTGTGTTTTGTAACGGTAATCAGCCACTTTGAGTTGGATATAGTGTCTGGCGTTTTGGTCAGGGGCCGAATAAAGAAAAGAGGAACTAGTCGGGGGGCCGAAATAATAGAGGGGATTTCCTTTTATTATTTGTTTTTACAATATGGAGGTATTTTGACATGACTTTTATGTAGCATGAGTTTCACTTTTATAATCTGGTTGATTTTTCTGAAAACAAAATGTTTTTATTGTTTAGATTTAACTAAAACTGGACAAAATATAGTTAAACACATTGTTATATATGTATCCATTTAACTTCTGAGGATGTGTTTGATTACAGTTTTAGAATTCAATTAAATGTGGTTGTTTTCCTGAGAAAATAGGTGATTTATAACATGCCTTGGTAGCCCTTTTACCATCAATGCTGCAATTTTATAATAATAATAATTCAAGAAGATTCAATAATATATTTGCCATTTGCAGTAAAACCACATTGGAAAAACTGTGCAAGACTACCCCAGTGTACACACCAAAGTGCTCTTGCCATTTTTACCTCCGCCAAAGTATAATTAAAAATTCTATACAAATAATACAATAGTATAATAAAAAAAATATAGGGACAACTAATAATTGTCTTGCGAGAAGGATTTTGTCTGAATTTGACATGCCTGATGCCCTGATACCCCTGCTCAATCTGCAGTGTCTTATGTTTACATGTGTGGTCAAAGTAATTATATTAAGTGTGTTTTTGTAATGTATAGGTGAAAGTGTGGAGGAAAATGCATACGTTGTGTTGAAGCTTCTCATCCACCAGCCTGAATGTTTTGGGCCTGCTCTGCGTGGGGAAGGAGGACAGGGCCTGCTCTCCGCCATGAGGGAGGCCATCAGGGTGTCCCAGGACGTATCCATGGATGGGCCTTTTGACGGCCATCTGAGCAACAAAAAATAGTCTGTCTTATGCTTTTTCACGTCACACTTTTAGACTGACCAGTTATGTATATAGTTTTAATTGAGGTGTTTTGATCTTTCTCAAACAGTGATAATCCAGACACAGAGGACGACTTTATTCACATGGGTCACGCAATCATGACTTTCTACTCGTCCCTTATCGACCTCTTGGGGCGATGTGCTCCTGAGATACATGCAAGTTTCTGTACTTTCAGCTGATAATATGTTTTATGTCAACGTGTTCTGACTTTTGTATTTATTTTTAGCTGATTAAAGCTGGAAAAGGAGAAGCCGTTCGTGTCAGGGCAATATTAAGATCACTTATTCCTGTACAGGATCTTGAGGGTGTAATTAGTTTGCCCTTTCAAATGCCTTCGATATGTAAAGGTCCCTTGTCTTTTCCAGACACAGCTTTATACGAATCATATCTGCATATCTTTTAGCATTTGCCTTTTCTTTCCAGACGGAGTGGTGGAGGAGCCTGACTTGTCTGCGGTATTTTGTCCAGATCACAAGGCCTCCATGGTTCTCTTCATGGACCGTGTTTATGGTGTTGAGAGTCAAGTGTTTCTCCTTCAATTATTAGAGTATGGATTTCTGCCTGATCTGAAAGCTGCTGTTTCACTTGACACTGTGAGTATTTACTTTATTTTATTTTATTTTATTTTAGTTTATGTATTTTTATTTAATTTGATGTTTTTTTATTTAATTTGATGTTTTTTTTTATTTAATTTGATGTTTTATTTATTTATGTTATTTATTCTATTTATTATCAGTTTTTAATTTTTATGTTTTTTTATTTTATTTTTGTATTTTATTTTATTATTATATTCATTTTAATGTATATTTATGTTTTTTGCTTCATAAATTAAAACATGTCTTTGATTTTTCTCAGAATGACTTTGGGTCCACGGACATGGCCCTCGCACTGAACAGATACATCACCACGGCGATGCTTCCTATGCTCACCAAATGTTCAGCTTTGCTTTGTGATTTAGAGGAACACGCCCCACTGCTAAACTCCTTTATTCTTGCCTTATACAACTTTTCCAAATCTGCGAGCTTGACCAAAGCACAAGGAGACACAACGGAGCAGTGTTTGCTGGCTATTTGCAAGTAAATACATCTAAGTAGCTCTCACATACAGTATATTGATTTTTTAACCTGTCATATAAAATAGTTACAATATACGTGTTTGTTTACAGTGAGCTCACACCAGTTTTAATGCAGCCCCTTCTGCAGCAGCTCATCATTGACATCTCTCATCTCTCAGAACACAGTAAACTTGAGCTGAAGGTACGTTTTACCCCAGCAACATTTAAACTGAATGAGTTTCTTGGACTGAAGTTTGTTATTGTTGTTCCAGCTGCTGACTGGACACTATGATCAGCAGTGGAAGTATTACTTGCAGGCAGGTGGTTTGGGGAAAGACAAGTTTTGTGAAGGAGACGGGCACATGTCCAGGAAGTTGTTCTGGACCGTCTTTACAGTCTTGGAGAAAATGGTAATAAGCTCACATAATTACTTCACTTTCACTTTGTGTTATAGATATTGTTGCATATTACAATATTTTCATAGATCTATGTTCTTACTGTTTTAAAACTAGTTTGCACCATATGCCAAAGCAAATTTCAGTTTGTTACTTACAATGACGATACAAATAATTCTGATTCTGGATTGGTAAATTACAGGAACATATCTTTTTGTCTTTGCAGTCTTTTGAGCCGCACCTGTATAAGCTTGGTGCTCAGTGCCTTGCCACTGTTGCCAGGAGCTTGCCTCCACACTTTCTGAATCCCAGCTCTGTGACAGACATAAACACCATAATGGACACAGATGAGACCTTTGACCCTCAGCCTCAAGAAACCTCAAAGTAAGATGTAGACTTACGTATCTTATTTATAGATCACTTTTCCAACACAGGGCAACACAAAGCGCTTCACAGTCCACATTGCACAAGGCACAAATTATCACATAAAACAAACACCAAAATCAAAATTAAAAACACAATTCAAATCACACAGATAATTAAAATAATTAAAACATTAAAATCACACAAAGGATTAAAATAATAAATACAAATGCATTAAAGATAGATAAAAACCCTTCAGTTGTATGCACAAGCAAAACAGAACCGTCTTTAAGTTGGATTTGAACATTGCCAGAGAAAAAAACCTGTCTTACAATTTTCTGAAGATTATTCCAAATTGTAGCAACATGAAAAAATAGTAATAATAAAAAAGGGGGCGACCGTGGCCTTTGAGCCTGAAGGTTGTGGGTCCCAGCGCACCTTAAGACCTTCTCCATTGACTCCCACTGCTGTCAGCTGTCATTGTGTCCTTGGGCAAGACACTTTACCCTGCTTTGCCTTAAGGAGCCTTGATGTGATGTATATGTCTGTATATGATTCATCAAACAGAATTTCTCTATTGTGAGATCAATAAAGTCTATCTTCTTCTTCTAAATCTGAATCGCTGCCTTCCCATGTTTAGTTCTAGCAGGCAACACATTATCCACTGTCAGCTCCCACTCACCTGCATACAGCGCTTACTGAAGTGTGCCATGTCTGCTCTAGTGTGACTGTTCCGGAACGCCTGGAGCTCGTGCTCAACAAGTTCGCCGAACACACCCATGAGAAGTGGTCGCTGGAGATGGTAACGTGTTGCTTGTTTATATGGTTCACTTATTGATTTTGGTTAAACATGTCAAGCTTTTCTTCTGTAATGACCCGATGGCTGTAGTTGATGTATTGCATATTGATAGTTCACCGCAGGCTGGGTGCACGGGGAGCAGCTGTGTGAAAATGCCAAAGTCCATCCTCTCCTGAAGCCGTACAGGACTCTCGCTGAAAAGGTGAAACTCTTATTCTCAAAGCACGGGCTACGTTTAATTCGTCCCACAGTGGGGGAAATTTGTATATGTCATTGTTGCGCACATTACAGCAGAATGGAGGAAATAGGAGTATACTCAGATTGCACACATCAAACAAGGTCTATTATTAGGTATACAGGAGGATTTTTCACCAGAATGACTGTTCGGAGGACCAATAGTCTTCATGATCCACCCGGAAGTAGAAAATCCTCCTGTATACCTAGAAAATAATATCAATAGAATACAATACAACTCTGGAACTATAATTGCACTTGGTTCTGATGTATTTACAGATGTGTATATTGTACTTAAGCAACAGAGAAAATGACCAGAATAAACAATAGTAATAATTGTGTTTATTGTTTGCATTATTCCAGGATAAAGAAGCATATCGCTGCTCCATAAAGGAAACCATAAAGGCGATGCTGGCTTTTGGCTGGACTATTGACAGAACTAAAGCAGGAGATGTGTTCGGTAAGCGGACGTGCACTCGAAGGATTTCTCAGTCTCAGGTATGTTTTTTTTATACATCAAAAGAATATTTATTTTCTCTTTCGTAACGTGTGAAAATATAATCAATGTTGGTTCCTAGTTGTCCTTCGAAGGGGCCTCGACCTTTAGCCCAAAGCCCATGGATATGAGTAGCATCACGTTGTCATGGGATCAGTGTGTACGTTTTACACAATTGCAATGTGATATGTTTTTTCTGGAATGTTAAACTTGTGTGTATTTAAGGCAATGGCAGAACAGCTGGCAGAAAACCACTACAATATCTGGGCCAAGAAAAAGAAATTGCAGATTGAAGGCAAAGGTATGACACAATATTTTTCATTTTTTTTCCCGGAAACATGTGATTTATGATTTTTATGTAATTTTCTAAAGGGGGCCACTCAACACTTGTCCCTTACAATATTCTGGCGACAAAAGAGAAGACGAGATTCAGAGAACGAGCTCAGGATGTGCTGAAGTTCTTGTTGTTGAACGGTTACACTGTGTGGAGGTTGGTTTTTACGGCAGCTAATAATGATATAGTAATACATCAAGATAACGCGTGTCTTTAACCGATGCAGGGAGAAAAGGACACCAGACACACTGTTTCCAGCCTCAGCCAACTCCTTCGGGCTTTCCCTTCTCCAACACTTTATTTATCTCATAGATGTTGCTCAAGAAAACATTCTGGAGCTCGGTAATATTTTACTTACGACTTAAACTGAATATTTTATTAGTTTGTTTTTGTGTAGCAGTTTGTTCTTTCTTCTCAGAGCTCTTGCATGTTCGAGGACACAAGGGAGACAAAGCGTCACATCTGCAAACTATACATTTTTTCCCCAAGGTGAGCTCCTTTAAACATAAGTGAACGATAAGTTAGAGAATAGGCCTCATGTGTCCAGCGTTTGCTCATGTGTGAGAAGTGATTAGCACCCTTTAAATTGGAGCAAACTCAATTATCAATCACAGGTCTGATAGACCTGTGATTATCAATCACAGGTTGATAATCACTCGGGGGCGGTGCCAGTGGAGTGGCAGACCGGGGTGGTGGTCCCTCTCTACATGAAGGGGGACCGGAGGGTGTGTTCCAATTATTGTGGGATCACACTCCTCAGCCTCCCCGGTAAGGTTTACTCCAAGGTACTGGAGAGGAGGCAACGGCCGATGGTCGAATCTCGGATTCAGGAGGAGCAGTGTGGTTTTCGTCCCGGTCATGGAACACTGGACCAGCTCTATACTCTCCATCGGATACTCGAGGGTTCATGGGAGTTCTCCCAACCTGTCCACATGTGCTTTGTGGATTTGGAGAAGGCGTTCGACCGTGTTCCCCAGGGTGTCCTTTGGGGGGGACCCCGAAGCTCTCGATTTACCGGTCAATCTTTGTTCCCTCCCTCACCTATGGTCATTAGCTTTGGGTAATGACCGAAAGAACAAGATCACGGATACAAGCGGTCGAAATGAGGTTCCTCCGCAGAGTGGCTGGGCGCTCCCTTAGAGATAGGGTGAGGAGCTCAGTCACACGGGAGGAGCTCGGAGTAGAGCCGCTGCTACTCCACGTCGAGAGGAACCAGTTGAGGTGGCTCGGGCATCTATGCCTCCTGGACGCCTCCCTGGAGAGGTGTTCTGGGCACGTCCCAACGGGAGGAGGCCCCAGGGAAGAGGAGGGACTATGTCTCTCAGCTGGCCTGGGAACGCCTTGGGGTCCCCCCGGACGAGCTGGAGGAAGTGTGTGTGGATATGGAAGTCTGGGCGTCTCTGCTTAGACTGCTACCTCCGCGACCCGGCAACGGATGAAGCGTAAGAAAATGGATGGATGGATGGAGGTCTGATAGAACGAACAATACCTTGCACCTGCACTTTAGCTCCTGGATGGATAAATGAGGCTTATTGGTATAATTATCTCCACCATCTTCATCCACCTTATTCCAATGCCCATGTGAGCTTTTGTCAGTGAAATATACAGGTGAAACTTGTGAAATTCTCATTCAAAAATCCATTTACTTGTGTAATTAAACTTACAATGTGAAACTAAAATCTCATTACATGCGGAGATACATTACATTTATCAATCCTTTGTGTGTTTTAATCTCTGCTGCTGTGACTTGAAGGGCTGTTGCTGATTATTATTATTATCTTTTTAGAATGATCAATTTCATTTTTTATTTTTGCTGCTACTGGACACCTGAATTTCTCCTACAGGGATCAATAAAGTATCTATCTATCTATCTATCTATAAAGTTGATAATTACTGCTCACATTTTGAATCTCAGAAAATGTGAATATTTTGAAAATGGGCCGAAAGCCATAACCATCATCATTATAACAAACAAAAGCTTGGTATATGTCACTTTACATGAAATGAGGCGCTATCATGTTTTAGTTTCACATTTTCAGTTGAATTACAGAAATAAATGAACGATATTCTAATTTCACTTGTACAATATGGCGTAATCAAAATATGTAAATATGTAATCTAAAATCAGACTAATTGACATCAAAGACAAGATGAAAATTCCACGCAATAGAATTTTTATTATTTGTAACGTAAACAGTAAAACACTGTCTTCATCTTGTTAGAAAACAGGAAGCAGAAAGGTTCCTGAGATTGGCCGAGTGAGGGCGGTCCTCTCTTTTTCACTTTTCTGTCTGAAAAAGTGGATCTAAAGATGTGACAGAGGCTGAAAATACATGCATCTGAAAACTCGTCCTAGAAACCGACTGTTTTGAGAGATTTGATCACACACCGACCTTAAAGTCAATTATTTCCTTATTGTCATTGCTCAAACATTGTCTGTTAAAATCATTACAACTGCTGTTTAATAATTTTCAAATGGAATATCAAATTAATTTCTCTGTAATAGGTTGTTCTTCCGCTTTTGGAAGAATATCTGAAGGATCATCACCTGTACTTCATCTCAAGCTCTGTCTGTTCAACAAAAGAAAAAGAGATAATCCTCAGGTGTGAAAATGCATTCTTTTATAATTAAATATCAATAATTAAAAGAATCTTCTTACACATTTTTAAGCTACAGTTTTTTTAGTCATATTTAGTTTGGTGTTTTATTTTTGAATCTTACAGTTCCTTCTGTAAGCTTGCTGCCCTAATAAGGCATAGGATCTCACTTTTTGGTAAGAATGATTATTTTATTGAGTGTGCACTTGCCTAATTGTTTTTTATTTTTTATTCTATCTTTAATAACATATGTATATACTATTCTTTCCCAGGGACTGATGCATTTTCATTTACCAGCTGCCTGCAAGTCTTAGCTCAATCTCTGGATGCAAGGTAGATGGCACTATAGTCACACATAGACACACACAGACATATAAACAGTATTGTACAAAGCACGCACTAGTGTCAAGAGCTCATAATGTACTAACTATTCCTCTAAAGCAGATTTAGTTTTTTGGTTTTGTTATGTTTATGAAGATCCCATTAGCCACTGAGGTGAAGTGGCTGTTCTCCCCGGGGTCTCCTCAAAATCAATACATGCTTTTATACGTACATTTTTATACATGCATCATCACTCTCTCATACACACACACGCACACACACGCACACACACATGCACACACACACACACACATACTGTACACGCACACACATTAAACACACGGACAAAGAAATGAAAGCTCAATGGGAAATTAATTACAAACTATATGGAAATATTAACATGGGGTTAGACCTTACAAAAAGACATACATAAATTTACTGTACATCTATATACAGATTTTCATAGAAAATAATCAAATTGTGAACATTTGTAGAAAATAAAATAAAAAGCTCCCAGAATGTTCTCCAATAGCTTCAGTCCTTTTTAGTTGGGTTTTAACAAAAATATACACACATACACACATTCATGTACACATACATATATACACACACATTAAACATATGTACAATGTATGTATGCATATATATATTTACACGCACATCCATACGAATATCATATTTCTTGAGATTTTGTAAATTATAATTATTGTTGAACAGTTAATAATGTATCCCTTTCTTTCTGTGTAGGACTCTAATGCATGAATCCAAAGATGTTATCTATGGATCCTTGCATTCCTTTTTGGACGCAGCTGCAGAAGACCTGGAGATGACCATGGAGAACCTACATGTGGCCGTGGCCCCTCTCTCTCAGAGCCGGAGCCAGACAAACAGAGGAGTGGTGGGGATCCTCAGCCACACTACCTCTGTGCTGCTTCCTACGCTCACCTCCCTCCTCAAGCACATTGGCCACAGTCAGCTTGGCTCACATATTTTAGGTGAGTGACAAACTGTAAGTGGGAAGACAAGAATGTAAATAAATGCCAAAAACTCTCTGTCGTCGTCCCCATTTCAACTTCTGTATTTAACTGTTTCTTTTTCGTTCCCTTTGTATCTGTGCTAAATTTGTTGAATGAATTGTGTTTTTGCAGTGGGGACTATCCAGGTGTCATGTTACAGGATTCTCAACTCTCTTTACTCTCTTGGTAACAGCAGCTTAATTCAGAAAGACGGGTATCTGTATATATTTTTTAAAGAATTTGCGAGGGAATGAAAGCTTAATGGTTTCTTGTAATGTCATTGTCCATTTTCATTTAGGCCACAGTCATCAGCTGGTGCATGCCTCGCGGCCCTCTCCCAAGCTTTTCCTGTTTCCTTTCTTGAGCCTGAATTACTTCAAAAAAACCCTTTTTCTGTCTACAGTACAATGAGTGAGTCTGAGACACAAGGTACTGGCACCAACACCAAAACCCTTGCTATTTACTCCAGACTGCTTTGTAATATGCTGGTTCTTTGTCAGAGCTCGGGCTGCCGGAGCAGGTGGCCGAGGTGTGTCCTGACCTCCCCTCTCTGCAGACAGCTCTGGCAGAAGTAGAAAAAGTGGTGAGGGCAGGAGCAGCGGCCCCCCAGGCTCACTACACACATGTCACAGAGGTCCTGCTGCCCATGTTGTGTAGCTACATGTCCCACTGGAGCCAGCCAAACATGTCACAGCTTTCCTCTGTGACTCCTGAGCTGGTCAGCGATCTCCTCGGTCACATCCTTTGCATTATCCAAAACCACGTGGGGGGAAATCGGGGCGACTGGATAAAACAACTGGCAGGTACTGAACGTGACATTTACTGTTTTCTTTGGCTCTTTCTGGGTGCTGATTTTAAAACAGATGATTGTGTTACAGTTTTTTCACAGCCAATCATATGTCAAGCTAGTTCACAGCTTTTGAAAAACAACTTTGTTCCTCTAATGGACAAGTTAAGGAAAAAGGCCGAAGCTATACTTGCTGAAGAGGAGAGGGTGAAATCCAGAGATACAGGTGTTTCTGAAGACCAGCTCCAGATACAGGAGAAACTGTGTGCACTTGTACAGGACCTCTATGCCTTCTATCCCATACTGATTCCATATGTAGATTCTCATCGGTAAGACATGACATACACAGAATGTAACTGACGTGCATTGAAATTCACCCACTGTGTCAAACTGGTATACAACACAAAATATGTCTTTTTGTTGTCAACAGAGCCAGCTGGCTGACGGAAATGAATCCTGATGCTGTGCAGCTGTTCAGCATGGTGGCAGAGGTCTTTATATTCTGGGCCAAATCTCACGTGAGAATGAATAATGTTGATGAGCCATTTTCTTTCCTCAGTAAATTTGACCACGCCTTTTATGTCGTTCTTAGAATTTCAAGTGGGAAGAACAAAACTATGTGGTCCAAAATGAAATCAACAATTTGTCATTTTTGGTACAGAACATGTCAAAGGTAAAAGTTAAACATGCAGACTGTTGAATTGATCACATTTTAAAGTTCCATATTTTTCATACAGTTTGATCACAAGAACAAGAGTGTGAAGCGAAAGGGGGAGCGCTACTGCACCCAGACTTCACTCATTGTGGCCTCTGTGAAGAGACTGCTCCCTGTCGGCCTCAACGTCTGTTTTCAAAATGACAACGACCTTATTCATCTGGCTAAGAATGACTTCTCACAGGTCGGCTCAACTTTTAATGAGTTTTTTAAAAATATCCTTTTGATCGCATTAATGTAATTCAGTTTATATATCTGCTTTTGGCAGAAGAGCACCAAGGATGAGATTCACAAGCGAATTTTTCAATGCTTGTCAAGTCAGAAAAGGAAGGTCTGTAAATACAAAAATATACATTATAAAAAACAATGTATGTACATCAAGTATTTGTGTTTATAGATCTCAGGGGAGACAGAAAGTCTAATCACTCAAGGATCTACAGAGCTACAAGAAAACACACATACAATTGTTAGATTAGCTCAAGTTTTGTATCATTTGGAGCAGGTAAGTCGATACATAACATTATTGTGTTTAAAACAGTGTTATCTTGGTATACGTTTATGTGGATTAAGAATGCTTAGTGCTTACCGCATTTTTTGGATTGACTCCAGATCGAAAATCCTCAACGAACCAAAAAATCCACATGGACCAAAGTCTTGTCCAAACAAAGAAAGCGAGCGGTAGTGGCCTGTCTGAGAATGACGCCTCTGTACAATCTGCCACGGTACGACCCGACGACACTTGAACATGTTTGATCATCACATATGTAATTATTGTGACACGATTTTTCTTGTTTTCTAGGCACAAAGTTGTGAACTTTTTCCTTCAAGGATACAATAAGGCCTGGGTTTTAACGGAACAAAACAGCAGTGAGGAGAAGCTTGTGGAAGACTTGGCTGTGAGTGTATTCAAGATTGTTAAGAGTGATTTCTTCTACATTATTTGAAACGTTACTTGATTTTTAGCTCTTTAACTAAGATTAGATAAAATAACCTATAGAGCCTTAATGGTAATTGTAGTTTTTTTTGTGTTGGATTTCACCTGGATCTGTACTACTGTATAAGGTAAACTAAGTACAGCCTTTTATGTACTGCACTAGTCCCTCCCCTCTTTGGCAGTACCACATCAGTCCAATATGCTGGAGGACAATTGCTTGACCAATGGGGAGAGAGCTCGTTTGTCAACCAAGCATTTGATGTAATTAAGAAGGATGGGGGTCTGTGCTTTTAAGTACCTAGAATACACTTTTGTTTTTTGTTTTTCAAATTAGAATTTGCGACAGTAGCTCAGTTGGTAGAGCATTGGCCTTCGGGCTTGAAGGTCGTGGGTTCAAGCCCACCATAAAACCTGCTTCACGACTCCCACTGATGACTGCTGCCGTTGTGTCCTTGGGCAAGACACTTAACCCCACTTAGCCTGAAGCTCCCACTGAAAGATCTCAGCTCCTGTGGACTCACCACCTGCAGGAGGATCAGTGAGGGGCTGGTGCTCTGTGTACTGGGTGCAGCTCTGACTGCCACCCCCCCGCCCCAGAAATGGATTAAGGGGAAGAAAATGGATGGATGGATGGAAATTAGAATTTCACCAGAAACATACTTGTTTTAATTTCTTTGAGCTTTTAGGGTACATCAAAAAGAAAGTACATTTTATTTTGAATTTAATTTGAATCTGTATCAAATGTGTATCATAGCAATTTGAGGTTTCAGGAAAATGTAAGGTGCATTAGGAATAAAAATTTAGTGTTTTTTTTGTCCTGCTGTATGAAAATGTAAGTTTGAAATAAACACTGACTTACTTGTCTATCTCCTTAGAGAATGCAGTATTACGCAGGTGTTATGCCACATCCAGAAAGTAGCTGTACTGCTTTTCAATATTTTATTTCCACAACAACTAGACAAGATCAGACCGTGGGATATTGAAAACACAAAACACATCTCTTTTTGGACATATGTATTTTGCAATATGTATGAACACAGCAGAGTGCAGCAGAGTCTGGAGGCGACTGGGAGGAGAATAAGTGTGAGGAGCGGAGCACAGCGGCGGACCCCCTGCAGCAGCTGATTACACTCTTCAGTCAGAGTGCGCTGACGGACAGGTCTGTGCTTCATTCAAGACTATCTTTATCCAACACCTTTACATTCCACTGTACGGCACCATAGTAACACGAAGCATTCTGTGTTTACTATACCCAGTAATGACTCCATCTGCAAGTCGTATTTTTCTATAATGGCGGAGGTAAGGTGACCGTTAACCTTTGCTCCATCGTTGCTTGAGTGACCTCCTGCTTTTTGACTCATCAGAGCTGTCACACCGCCCCAGACGACGATGGAGAGCAATCAATACAGAGTTTTGAGGCATGCTGGTTTTAAATGATATAAATTCAGATTCAAATAAGTGGTTTATGACTCCTCTCACATAAATGTATTTGTGGCAGGAAAAAGAGCTGGAAAAGCAGACGTTGCTTCATCAGCAGGCACAGTTGCATCGCCGTGGGGCGTCAGAGATGGTCTTGCAAACAGTCAGTGCCAGTAAAGGTAAACATGAATACAAAAGTTAAAACATCTTCTTTGGATCTTGTACAACTGACTTTTATGTGTCTTCTGTGGAACTCCGATGATGCAATTGTCCAAACTCTGGTCAGTCGTGAGTTCTGTTCACTGCTGTTCACCTCCAAATGATGGACTTACTGGAGGTCATGCCTTTATACTGTACAGCAGCTGCTATGGTCCCTTTTTAATGTACACTTATAATTTCTATATACTGTATGTATATTTCCTTTCACCTATGGTCCGTATTGTATTGTGTCCTTTAAAAAGATTAATAATAATGATAGTAATAATGTACTTCTGCATAGGTTTTGTTACATGAAGTCTCCTTGTCTCCAGGTCAGGTCAGCTCAATCATCGGCCTCACGCTGAAGCTGGGAATTGCTCTTCTGAATGGAGGAAATGCTGATGTGCAACAGGTGCTGCCAAATCAACATTATACATATTTACACATGTTGGGATTATTTTTATATTTAAAATTGTTTTCTGCATGAATTAAACATGTGACCTCCAGGTAATTGGCATTTAATAAGTTTGCTTCTTGTTCAACAGAGAATGCTTCAATATTTGAAAGTGAAGCAAGATGTGGATTTTTTCCAAAGTATGGCTCGGCTCATGGGAAAATGCAGGTTTGGAAACATTATAAAGAATGAAAAGGTTTTTCTGTGTTGCTTTTCCCACCGTTTTGACTTTAAAATCGATTATTATTGTGATTTCCAGTGTTCTGGATCTGAACGTCTTTGAGAGGCAGAACAAGGCAGAAGGATTGGGAATGGCCATGGACGAACGCTCAGGTAGTGTTTTGTCTTCAAATTATCCAATATTTTTCATTTGTTTGAAAACTGTGTCACACTTTATCGCTTCTAACTGTAACTCGGTATTGCACCTTTTACCAGTCATTTGCACACTCTCCATTTGCTGCTAAATGTTAATTACATGGTATTGTGACTTCGGAATTTTACTTTGTATTGTAGTAACTTACACTTTTATTAAACTGCATTTTAATATGTATTGTAGTAACTTACACTTTTATTGAACTGCATTTTAATATGTATTGTAGTAACTTACACTTTTATTAAACTGGATTTTAATATCTAAGTTAGAAAGCTGCACCTTTTTATTTTGTATGCTAATATTCAAGTGATTTGATTGTATTGTCAAGGACTAAAGATGGACAGTAGCATGGTGCTAAATCTGGTGCAGCCATCTTTTCAATGACCGCACATTAAACTTACACATTATTTATCCATAAACTCTGATAATGTAAAGGGACTATATACAGTAGCTCAAGCTTTTTTCTCTTTTATCTCAAATCTGTCATTTTGTTATCCTCCCACTGCCAGTGGGGATCGCCATGCCTGACAACAAGCTGACATGTGACCTCTTCCGCTTCCTCCAGCTGTTATGTGAAGGACATAACTCTGGTATTTCAGATTTCCAGTCGGTGACAATTTGAAGACATTGAATGAAACTAATAACTACTGTGTGGAATGCATTCAGACTTTCAGAATTACCTCAGAACACAAACAGGAAATAACACAACGGTCAACATCATTATATCCACTGTGGATTATTTACTAAGAGTACAGGTAATTAAACACGTTGATTCTTTTAATTGTGTTGATAAATTAATTCTGCAGTGAGGGATAGAGACCTGATCAATGCCGGTTATAGAGATCATTTCAATAACAAAATACGTTCATTGTTTGTTCCTCAGGAGTCAATCAGTGACTTTTATTGGCTCTACTCTGGAAAGGATGTGATTGATGCTCAAGGCCAGTACTACTTCTCCAATGCCATAAAGGTGGCCAAGCAGGTTTTTAACACGCTCACTGAATACATACAGGTCAGACGTCTTTTTAAATGAATCTGTTTATTGTCTGAAGCTGCTGTTTGACATTGTTTACCTTCAGGGCCCATGCTCTGGCAACCAGCAGAGCCTGGCACACAGTCGCCTGTGGGACGCTGTCGTCGGCTTTCTCCATGTTTTTGCTCATATGCAAATGAAACTATCGCAGGTACAACAGCTGAAATAAAGGAACACCTTTGTATAATATATTAAAGCATAAATATGTTAAAACAGGATTCAAGGCAAATTCAACTTTTAACTGAGTTTATGGATTTACAAAAGGACATGGTTGTGTTTTTGCTTTCCATGCTGGAAGGTAAGTTTTGATCTATTTCTTTCAAATCAGCACGATACATATTTTTACACATGTCAATATAACAAAAAAACTTACCTGGTTCGAGAAGGGGTGGGGTTTTTTCCAACCTCCATCACATGCACTGTTTTAACAGTATCACGCTGTAGAATTCTCAAACACGTACATACAGTAATACAATACACTACCACCAATGGTAGACAGACAAAACTCACACACACACACTGACAATGAACACACAGGTCCAAACACTCTCCGGCCCTACACCTCTCTCCCTCTACTTGCTCTGTGCTTAAGACATCACTCTCTTTCTTCCACACATTTTTTTTCAGTTCATCCTTTTGATTTTCTTCAGGTTTGAGCATGTGTACAAGTTCAGGGGTTCATTCTTATATTATTTTTGTTTTTGCAGGTAATGTGGTGAATGGAACCACTGGGAAGCAAATGGTAGATATGCTGGTGGAGTCTTCAACCAATGTGGAAATGATCCTCAAGTTCTTTGCTATGTTCCTCAAACTGAAAGACTTCACCACCTCAGTGGGCTTCAGAGAGTATGATCCCAGCAGCTCAGGCTGCATCTCCAGGAAGGACTTTCAGAGGGCCATGGAATCCTGCATCCGCTTCTCTGCTGGTGAAATCCTCTCTCTGCTAGCGTGTATTGAAACAGATGAGAACGAAATCCTGGATTATGAGGTTTTTGTGGACCGTTTTCATGAACCAGCTCAAGACATTGGGTTTAGCATTTCTGTTCTCCTCACCAATTTGTCGGAGCACATGCCTTACGATGCGAGACTTGGGACGTTTTTGGAGCTGGCAGAGTGCGTCCTGGGGTACTTTCAGCCCTATCTAGGACGCATTGAGATCGTGGGCAGTGGGAAGCGTGTTGAGCGCGTGTACTTTGAGATTAGCGAATCCAGCCGCTTACAATGGGACAAGCCACAGGTCAAGGAGTCCAAGAGGCAGTTCATTTTTGATGTGGTCAACGAAATCAGAGACAAAGAGAAGATGGAGATGTTTGTGAATTTCTGCGAAGACACCATCTTTGAAATGCAACTCGCGTCCAATATTTCTTCTGAGGCCGAGGAGAGAAATCTGGACAAAAACGCAACGGAAAATGAGTCAGAAAACAAGCAGGACAATAAGTTTTTTGTTTTTCAGTGGCTTTTTCTGCTCCTGTCTTTGTTATCAGTGAAAAAACTCAAGATGCTAATGAAGATGTCCCCCAGAGATATCTTTAAGACCGTGGTGAATATTTTACACGTCATTTTCATAACTTTGTTGCAGTGTGCGTGTGCGTCACTCCGCAGTGTAACGCACGTGCTCTATGTGGTGTTCTTCAGCGGCGGACTCATAGAAGTGGCCAAAAACACCAGTCTGTCTGATTTGCTCAAAGGTATGGTGGAGCCAACTCTGGACGAGGTTATGGATGTTTCACAGACTGTACACAAACAAACGCTGTCGCACGCCTCCTCTCGACAGAAAGAGCAAGTGGAAACCGGTCACGGGACTGGACTCAAACCGCAGCATGCCGTGTCGGACATATTTGGATTACAAGTGAAGAAGGAAGGCTCTCAATACAGACTCATGACACCAGAGCGCACTGATCTATGCACTTCATCCACAGGCGCATCAGGCTCCAGTGCTTTTCCAAAGACGTGTCAGGTAATATGTGTACTGCTTGGGAAATTGTATATATTTACTAGATTCCATTGAACGTTATGGTGAAAAACTGTTTTTTTGTCAGCAGCGACAGGAAGATACTGATGTTAGTAAATCACCGGATGTCGAAAGGTGATCTTTGTTTTGCTAACTACCTGTAGCCCACAGTGCCTTGAAGTAGGATTCATAACTACTACACACAGGGGAAGACTTGAGTTTAAAGTTAAAGCAAAAAGACACAGGATTTATTCATTTTTGTTTTAAATAAAGTGCTCTTTCAAGAAAAATAAAAGAATAATATCATTGTTCATCATGATAACAGGACAAAATACAAATTTATGGTACTGTAATTAGTAAGTAGTACGTTTGAGACAGCAAATTAACAACATATTGACATTTCTCTCTCAAAAATGTTTGGTTCTATTTCTAGTTTTCACATGCATGTATATTCGGCCACTGTCCCTGTTCGATAAATCAAATGTATGTATAAAGTCCAATTCATGCAGTGCAACCCAAAATGCTTTAGACATCATACATATTTTCAAACATGAAGTAGAATCAGGATTAAATCAATAATATGAGTTTAAATAAATCAGCTTTTTCAGTGAAAAAGAATACCAGCCCTCTCTCAGCCAATCAGCCGTCAGTATATACATATGTTTCCTAATAAGATGGAAGACAGGATCTTGTGGTCTGATTTGTTCACAAAATGTTACTTGTACTTGTAAACAATGTATTTATTAAACAAACACAAACGTTAGGTAAAGCCAGCTTTACTGTTGGGGAATATGAAGTGGATTTGGTTTATTGGGTTTCAATGATCAGTTGAATTTTTGACTTTACAACAAGTAAATAAAAAACACACATACAGATGAGGAAAACAATTCAAAGAAACAGCAAGAATACATTACAGCAGAGCAACAAACAGCACGCACAATTTTACAAGCCATCGAGGGAAAAGCTTTAGCACACAGCAGCTCCCACTAGAAAAGTCTATACTGGAACTTTAAATAACAAAAGTTGCATATGGGAGCGCACACATCTCATTTCTCTTTATTAATGTAAATCCACAGAGTCAAGGATTTGAATGTAACATCTCAGCGCTGTTCTACCAAGACAGAGGAGGGAGTGCGGCAGGCTTCTTCTCTCTGGGAAACAATAAACACTTACAACAAGAGTGTGCTGGTAATATGCACTAGAAATGTCTTGGCTTATTTTAAAACTCACCACAAATCCACCTCAATCTACAGACACATTCTTCTTCTTTTCAGAACTACTTTGCCCGGAATTATTACAATATACGGCTACTTGCTTTGTTCATTACCTTCGCAATAAACTTCATCCTCCTCTTCTATAAGGTAATATACTTATGCAAATGTGTGTACGCAGAAATCAAAGAAATGAGTTCGCCGTACATAATTTTAGGTGGTGTTACGTAGTCGTTAAAAGTATCTTTACGCGAACTGTTTTTTTGAAGGTAACGCCACAAGACCAAGAGCGAAACTCCTCTGCTCAAAGTGACAGAGAGGGTTTTGTTTTGGAGGAGAGCAGTGGATACATGGAGCCGTGTCTCGGTTTCCTGGCGGTGGCTCATACGTTCATCTCCTTCTGTTGCATTATTGGATATTATTGTCTTAAGGTATTCACCAGAAATGACAAACATGATGCAAAACAACAGTGTATTTTAATGAACATGTGTAAGAGGAGAGAAACGTGAGAGTTGAATTAAATATTTAATTGCAAGGTGCCTTTGGTGATCTTCAAGCGAGAGAAGGAAGTGGCCCGGAGCCTGGAGTTCGATGGGCTGTATGTGACAGTGCAGCCACCTGACGAGGACATCAAAGGACAGTGGGACCGGCTGGTCATTAATACTCCGTATGTTCAGAGACACATACTGTACACATGCCTGCATTCCATCAACACGGGTTTGTCTTTCAGATCATATCCAAGCAACTACTGGGATAAGTTTGTGAAGAGGAAGGTGAGGGTTACAGAATGCAGCTAGTTATTAAACGTGACATTAATGTGTAATAATGTCTTGTACACATATTTTTACGAGTGGCTCCAATTTTGGAAGGAGATTATAATTCCCGGAAGTATAATTCCCCACTCAAAACCCTCGCAGGGATTTCACCAAATCATTCTTATAACAAACGTGCCTTCAAACTCCTGATATTTGGAATGGAGATTTTAACTAAATAATTGGCTATAAAAAAATTATAGTTAGAAGCATTTTTTATATCTATTCCAATACTTTTGACACCTCTAAGTCTGAGGCTCACATAAGGACTGCAGTTCCTACACCATTTACTTGACTTGGGTCGGGTGTAAATACCAGTGCAAGCACATGTACTTGTTGTAATCATGTCTCAATACTCATGAACTGACTGTATTTGATTTAACACCTTTGATATCACATGTTCTATATTTCAGTCCTCTGCCACTACTTTTGATCTTTTGACTTTTTTAGGTAGTGGAAAAATATGGAGTGTTATATGGGTGTGAAAAGATCAGTGAACTTCTAGGTATGGACAAGACTTCTTCAGACTTCAGCTCCCACGGGAAAAAAAAGAAACTCAAAAGAGCAGCTTTGGGATTTTTGTAAGTAAGCTTTGCAAAAACACTATCATGTGATTTGTTAAACATGTATGTCATTTTTCCGCACCCGAAAACAAATCAAATCATGTAACATTTCATTCCTCATGCACCTTCCCACTTTGCTCTAATCTAAACAACGCTGTTTCTGACATAATTCACCAAAAAGAGTGAGAGAACATGAAAGTGCTTGAGGCAGGACAGGACGTTCTGTGTCCCGGTCACGTAACTCTGGTTCACAGAAAAACACATTGTTGCCACAGTAATATCATTTTAGCCATTCAACAATTTACCCTGATTTTCTGTGTTTGATTTTTGTATCTTTTTTTCTTTTCTTTTTCAACTTCAGATTTACCTCCTTCGACATAAAGTATCAAATCTGGAAGCTTGGGGTCATTCTAACAGACAAAGTAAGCATTTTCCCCTCAGTTTGCTTTATAACAGTGACATCATGACTAAAATATAATCTCTCTCAGTTTTCCTCAACCTTTATGAGCCGTGACGCACCTTTGTCTTTTTAAAAATAATCATTACTGGAAGCATCAAGAACAAAAATGACAAATTGCATTATATAGAAACAATGCAAATGAATATTTACATGAAATTCATACAGATAAGGAATAAAAGGAAGTAGTTAGGGGAGGGGAGGGGGTCTAATCAGATTTAATCTATTATGTCATTGCAAACAATCACATGGCACACCACCAGCTGAAACCGATACAGAATTGAAACCGATACAGAATCTCAACAATCTCACTTTGAGATTTCCTGGAAATGTAAGGTGCACAATAAAAAAAAGTATTATTATTATCATTATTATTATTGTTATGTGTATTATATAGAAAATCAAACATGCACAAAAAAGTCTTTCTAATCATCTCACATTATTAGAATTTTGACCAAGCAGGTGACATTAGATCATTTCCAAGGCACACTAATAAACACGCCAACATGCCGGTTGAAAAAACACTGATCCATCTATAAAGAATTAGGCTTGATGTTGTTCGGAGCTGTCATAACGCCTTGTTTACCGGAGATCTGACGTGCGGCATTTGAGCTGTTAATATCCTGTAGCCTCTCTTATCTAAACTAGACATTTGTGTGTATCTGCTCCGCTCATCTATCTCGCTCGTCTTCTTTTGTGTGCACAGTCCTTTTTGTACCTGGCCTGGTACATGGTCTTGTCTGTTCTGGGTCACTACAACAACTTCTTCTTCGCGGCTCACCTTTTGGACGTCGCTATGGGCTTTAAGACCCTGCGCACCATCCTGTCCTCTGTCACTCACAATGGAAAGCAGGTCTGTCGGTCTACTCTCGCAGCGGGGGTCTTACTGTGGCCCCCTTTCCAGCTCTAATTGCGTGTGTTTTTCAGTTGGTTCTGACCGTGGGTCTGCTGGCCGTGGTGGTCTATCTCTACACCGTGGTGGCCTTCAATTTCTTTAGAAAGTTTTATAACAAGAGTGAGGACGAGGAGCAGCAGGACATGAAGTGCAACGACATGCTACATGTAAGCTCTCGCAGTCCCTGTTCCCTTCTCTCCCTGCTGCTCTCTCTCAGGGCTCTCTTTGTCACATAAACATCAACACTCCCAGTTGTGGAGGTTGGAAGATTTCCCTCTGATTCTGTGGAATTCATATTTGTCTGTAAAATAAACATTTAGAGCGTGCACGACTGTTCTAGTTTATTCCACAGGTCTCCAGCCTATAGCTCAGGAGCCACTCCAGCAGCTCACAATCTGCTTCCAAGAAGCTCCTCAAAGGAATTATAATCATATGATGAATAGTTTCAATTATATAATTATACTCCCTTGCCTACAACTATTGTAAATGCAGACTTTTACTCTGTGCACTAACACATGAATAATAGATTAATTTATTAAAAAACCACACACAGACACACGCACACACACACACACACACACACGCACACACACACACACACACACACAAGTGGCACCAATCTGTATCAAAAACAATCAGGTTGAACATGGATCTATGACTCAATAAATGAACCCGATCTAAGTCCACCATTATATCGTCTCAATTGATTTGATTGCCTAAAAGGAGCGGCTCATTTCCATTTTTCACATCAGAAAAACTGCTCACCTTGGGGGAAACTAGGTTGGAGGTCCCATTTCTATCTTAATACAGAATGCCTGATTTTCCCCACCAGTAAAAACCGTGTTTTATGAAGTCAAAAGGAAACAAAGTTGTTTTTTTCACATTTGAAGATAACGTTTCTGTTTGGTAAATTCTGAAATAAGATATTTTGTCCCTGAGAGTGGTGTCTATTCCAGTGCTACATGTTCCACATGTATGTGGGAGTGCGGGCAGGAGGAGGCATCGGGGACGAGATCGAGGACCCGGCTGGAGATGAATTTGAGGTGGAACGCATCATCTTCGACATCACTTTCTTCTTCTTTGTCATTGTGATTCTCCTCGCCATTATCCAGGGTGAGCTACAACACGCACACATGCACCACTGCTTCATTACACACACACTGCTCACAAAGAAACTATGTTTAATCTTTTTTAGGTTTAATCATTGATGCCTTTGGTGAACTTCGTGACCAACAGGAGCAAGTGAAAGAGGATATGGAGGTATAACTGTTTTAACATTATGCCATCTCATTAGAATCTGAATCAGAATTCTATCATTGCCATGTGAGTAACAAACTCGGAAAATGTTAAAAAGAATAGAATAGAACAAGACATGTATGAAATAAAAATCTACATACAATTTCTGCAATGAATTATACACTGTCCCAGATTCATTGGGCCTCATGTATGAAACTTGCGTACAGCCAAATCAGGGTGTAAATGAGGTGTACGCAAAATATTTACACTTTTCCGCATTTATCAATCTGCACGTACAACTGAGGGATTTTATATTTTTAGCTTTCTTTTTAATGTTCTGTGATTATTTATGATTTTAATGCTTTCTTGTTTTGTTCAGCACTTTGAATTGCCTTGTGTATGAATCGTGCTATATAAATAAACTTGCCTTGCCCTGCCACGTGAGCGAACGGTACGCACAGCATTTACACCAAGTCAGGAGGTGTTGTAAATGTGTACGCTCATTTCAACCTTCATTACAACACCCCAAAACACGCATGAAAATCAAGATTTTGACAAAAATAAATATATTCCCACTCTGGCAATATTATAGGCACACCTCTCACATTACAAATATGCAATTTTATGAAGTTATGTTAGGGCTAGTTTGTGTTATTAAATAACGTGCAAGATGTAAGTAATCTTTATTTATATACCGCCTTTCACAGACCAGAGTCACAAAGCGGTTTACAGTTGTTATTATTTTTGGGCATTTGTCGGGGTCGGCAGTACAGGAGGCGCATGCCAGACCTATTTCTAGTGGTAGGGGAAACTGGAGTACCCGGAGGAAACCTACGCAGACACGGGGAGAACATGCAAACTCCACTCAGAAAGGCCCTGGTCCGGCCGGGATTCAAACCCAGGACCTTCTTGCTGAGAGGCGAGAGTGCTATCCACTCAGCCACCGTGCCGCCCAAGATGTCAAACTCTAAAGTCTCCCACAAATGTGTGGATTGTTATATGCACCTACAGTGCGTAATGGCATTTGGTTCATGCGGGTCCAAGCAAAGACGCGCGCCACCGTGGAGCGCTGCGTGGGTCTGATCAGAGGAACATGGCTCTGGGACATGCAGGGGGTACGCTCTGGTACCTCCCGGTACAAGTGTATCACATGATCCTGGCTCGGTTCTCCACAACAGGCACAGGACCACGGTGTGCCACTGGTGGAGCAGCCCATGGATGAGAGACTATGGCCAGCACCGCCTTCGGCCTGTACAGCTCAGACAGGCTCTCATTCAACCATTTTAAAATAATAATCACATACATAATTTGAAGATAATTTGATTTCTTAATATTTTCTTTTGGATGCTTTGGTCTGGCTGTTCTCCCCCTGGGCTGCTGCGCACTTCCTCTAGGAGCTGCTAAACGCCTTTTGGTTACCATTTTAAAGTCACTCCATTATTTTTCAATTGTAGCATAAATTAATGAATTCTTACTATTGGCGCATTATATCTGTCAACTGTTTGATATAATATGTGTATTTGAACATGAGTAAACTCACCTCTTCAGGAGTGCGTGTTGCAGGCCCCACGCTGTTTACAGATGCCGACATCTCTGTCCATATTTTCTTTTTTGATGCCACTTTTGAGAATTCCAAATAAGTTAGACTTTATTCTTTTTCCCACTTCGTTCACAATGGTCTCAATCTCCTGCTCCGTGAAGTTATTTTTCCTTAGCCGTTTACTCACTAACCTGTGGCAGACCCTGCGCCGTATACGTATTTACGCATATGTTTTGCCTCATTCACCTCTGGCAAGGCAATGTGGGTTTTCCTTAGGAAAACCCACATTGCCTTAGGCTTAGGAGGAGTTTTATGGACGACTTTAATGAATGTGTTTGATTCACCATACTTTTTGAGTAGTAAGCGTTTCTTTTGTGTATATAATATTTATAATTTTGTGTTATGTAAATGTAACTCAGGATTATGTATGCACAATTTTGATATTTTACTTTTGTTTCTTGTACACTTATTTGCTCGAAACAAACATGAATGATGATGAATCATTGTGCTCCATCTATCTCCACAGACAAAGTGCTTCATATGTGGAATTGGAAATGAGTATTTTGATACAGTCCCACATGGTTTTGAGACCCACACTCTACAGGATCATAATTTGGCCAACTATCTGTGAGTAGTGTTATACTTTATTATGGTGAGAGAGTAAAAAAGTGAAATGCGCCTCACCTTGAAATGTTGAGTTTCTGTAAGTCCAGTGGTGTAATGTATGGATCATGAATACTGTACATGAGCTGAGAAAGATGCCGGTAATACAACAAACCCAGAGCTCACCTAAAAGATTCCATGGGCTTGTGAGTAATGCTTCTTCTAAAAGGCAACACTCTCTTTGTTGTTACATCAATGATGGCCGTCAGCGGGAGCTTAGCAAGTCACATTAGTATGGATCTCCAGAGATTACCGCTGTGTTCTCCTCGGTGCGATCGACTGTTAGAGAATAATTCACAATTTCTTATTTTGTCTGCAGATTTTTCCTGATGTACCTCATAAACAAAGACGAAACGGAGTACACTGGACAGGTACGAGCCTTTAGTGTATTTAAGCCGCACCAGCTAAAGTTTTCATGTCGTAATGTAGCAGATAGATGACGGTTTAACTGGTCACAACATGTTTTATTGATGTTTGTATCAGCTTAACGTAAGCTTCCAAGTCTGTACTCATTCGCCAGTCTATTTTGATAATAAAGTGTCCTATAGATACTTCAACTTGATGAAGTCAAAATAGTAAATCCATAAACTCTGCTCTGACAACTCTACCACAATAACTAATGAACAAATGTCAGAATGTGTCACTGTTGCTCTACTTAAGTAGCCTGGCTAACGCCAGACTGCTGTGTGCGCTCGAATCCTTTCGAACTTCACAACAGAATTGATGTGATATTTCGTCTGGCGTTAGCCAGGCTACTACTTAAGTCACTTTGTCCCAGACCCTTATGCTGCCCTTATGTACAGATGTAAACATACAACTATATATATTACTTGCTCTAGAACATTTTATACCAAAGAACTTTATACTTTCTTGTTATTATGCCAAAGGTAGAGATTTTATACTTATGCTAAATTCAGAGTTGTATGTACTCATCAAGCTAAAGATAGAGATTATATACTTGTTTCTTTTGATGCTAGAGCTAAACATTTTATTTTATTTTATTTAGTATAGAGTTTTTGTTGTGTGCTTCTCATTCTTACTTTTTTTCTATCTGGTGATGCAACACTGAAATTTCCCCCTCTGTGGGACAAATAAAAGATCTCTTAATGTCAAGAATATACATATTAGCCGTGTCGCTATATGAGCCACAGGGTTTAAAGAAAAAAGGTAGTGCCTTGTAATCCGGAAATTACGGTACATCATAATTAACATATTATCTGGAGGTTACTAAGACTGTCACACACCTACCTGACTCTTATTTACACCTACGGATTTGCCCCAGTTTCACTTTACATGCTTGGTATCCACTTTGCCAGGAATCCTATGTCTGGAAGATGTACCAGGAGCGGAGCTGGGAATTCTTCCCTGTGGGAGACTGTTTCCGTAAGCAATATGAGGATCAGCTGACATGAAAGAAATCGGAGAGACCTTGGGACGGCTAGATAAGGTCCTGGAGTCGATAGATGGAGACGGTGGATGACTCTTTCACACACGGCCGCTATTTATCTGTATGAAGTGAAAGTATAGGATTTGCACATTTGCTCGACAAGATGCTCACGTTGTTTTTTTATACAGGTGAAACTCAGAAAATTAGAATATTGTTCAAAAGTCCATTTAGTTCTGTAGTTCAGTTTACAAGGTTGAGGATTCATTACATGCAAAATGAGATATTTATTTATTATATTGTTAATAGCTTGTAAAAACCCCAGGGACAACTATAGGGGACATTTATGGACATTGGTCATCCCGCCCCCTATGGACAAATGGCTCCTATGTGTTTATTATCCAGGACTCCCTTGAAAAAGAGGTTCTTAATCTCCGTGGGACTTACCTGGTTAGATAAAGGTTAAATAAAAATACATATTATTTCTGTTTGACTCTCTAATCTGTTGTTTATGAATTGACAACTTTGTAAAGTCTTCCGTGACGACTGCTGTTGTGATTTAGGGCTGTACAAAACTAGATTGAATTGAAAACATCTCCGAAAATGGTCTGTGAGTCATAATCGTCAAACTTATAAACACTGAAGGACTAACATACTGCATTCACTTTGCACGTGTGAGTCTTATGTTAGTTTCACATTTTAGGTCAAACTTGTGAACGCTATTCTAATTTTCAGAGTCTCAGCTGGTTTTTTTTGTTGCTTTTTGTACACTTAATTCACTCAAATATTCTTTATATTGTTTTTATGAGCTGTTATGTCTCTGTGGGCGTCGTATGTGTCAACTATTAAAAAGTTCAATGTAAAAATGATTCTGGAATGTTCAGTTTTCTGTCTCTTACAAGGGAACGCTCAGAAATGACAACGTTCACAGATATTTGGGAGTGAGTGCTTATTTTGTTTTGAATCCTCTACATGTTTTGAATATCTCACCATCCCATAATCACTTATAATTACACCACATAGATACGATTCCCAGAAGAGAAACATTTACTATACATAAACGATCCAAGTTCATTATTTTACACCCATTTTGTCAAAGAAAAGTCACTTGGGAAACAGACAGTAATCTCTGATCTCCTTTTTATGATGACACACTAAGTACAGAAAAGCGTGTTTGTTGTGCATAAGTTTCTCTCACATCTTATCTGTTTATTTTTTATATCTGTGGTGTCTGGTATGTACAGAACATACAGTGCCAAAAATGATAATAATGAGGACATGTGGCCGCCATCTTCTGCAACCCCAAAGAGGGCGTCTAATTTGACCACAATCACTGCGAAAAGGACTGAGTCTAAACACTTTTATGAGATTTATTTCCTAAATGCTAAAAGGAATGTGGGATGTTTTGATCAGAATTCCTCCACAATCCAAGCGAGGAAACATACATATTCCATCAACAACAAATCATATAATTATACAGTATATACATACACATATACATTTATATTCATACACATATTATTTCATGGTTTTACCTAATTTATCTTATCTGAAGTGCCTGTACATGTGTGTCTATGTAAGCAGGTAAGCAATCATTATTTATATAGCGCATTTAATGATCAACGTCATACAGTACGTTGCGCTTTACCGGAGAACCTGGAGGAAACCTATGTAGACACTGGGAGAACATGCAAACTCCACACAGAAAGGCCTGGAGATGGAATCGAACCCAGGACATTCTTGCTGTGAAACAAAAGCTCTCTCACCGCTGCGCCTGTGTGTGTGTATGTACAATTGTTGTTTGAGGGGGGCATATTTGAATGTATGAAAAGCGCTTTATAAATAACATTTGATTAGTGTGCACAATGTATATGATCAAACTGTATACAAACTATTATTTACAACAATAAAAGAAACTCACTTTGTGCATTCTATTTTTTAGAGAGGACCGCTGCGTGATTACATTATAGTATAGATGACGAAAAAACATACTTGTGCATCTGTTTCCCATCTGTGTCCAGCAGAGATGTTTAAATGTGAGTAATGTGATCCCCATTTTCACTTTGCTGTTGCACCGAGACATGTACATTTCGGGATTTCTTTATTGTCCGTTCCTCTTTCTCATTGCCCATATACGGTAGCTGACTTTGGAAGCAGCGTTTGGTCATACTTGTGCTATGTCAGACTCTCCTCACCTTTCCAAAGCAACTCTAATTTTTCCTCCTGTCTCCAGTAGGAAAGCCAGCACCAGTGTGGAGAGAAGTCCCCTCTGAATTACCATTTAGATTGGACAGCAGGCCAAGAGAAAGCCAATTACTCAATGAGGCGGTCATAAAGAAACAGGGGAGACACCGAACAAGAACCTGCCCAGACCCCATCACCATGTTGGGACAAAGTTTACTTCCATTTTGTATCGCCAAAACCAGTGGATTTTCACTTAAGAATTTTATTTTTCATATTGTACGGAGGAATGCTTTCCTGGCAGAGAAGACTATCTGTATTTGCACACACTATTTGTTGTTTGAACTAGGAGTGTGCTAAAAAAATGTAAAAAAAATTGATTTAAAAAAAACAACTAGACACAGTGAGGCAAACAAGTATTTAGTCAACCACCAATTGTGCATGTCCTCCCAAATAAAAAGATGTGAAATGCCTCTAATTTTCATCATGGGTTTACCTCAATATGAGAGACAAAATTTGAAACAAAAAAAATAATCTAGAGAATCTCACTTTTTAGTAATATATATTTTCCCCCATGATTTTTTATCTATTTTTATTTCATTTCATACGTACATTTAAAAAAAAAAAATATAACAATCTATCTTCATCAAAATTGTTTCATGTTTAAAGGAATAGGCCACCGTTTTTACACACTGACATATGTTCTTACCTTACCTTAGACTAGTTAATATGTACCTGTCTGGTCTTTGTCTGTGCGCTCTGTCATGCAAACGGAGCCCAAACGCAGCCTCTTCCACAGACTGTATAGTTCCAAATCAGCTTCCGTTAGAAGCTACCAAACTCTTCCACATGTTTTCTATTTAAATACAGTTACGTGACGTGTTACACTACAAAGTATAGTAACACAGAAATGTAAAATGTCGATTTTCTCAGGGGATAAAAAGGCTTACAGGATTACAATTTGAAGATTTGAAATGTAGAGTTAATATATAGTGTTCTACCATGTCCACAATTGAAACAAAATAGCACCATATCGGATCATTTACTGTAGATTTGTATTGAATTGAAGTCCCCTGTATCTCTGATCTGAAAGACACCTCGACTTAGTTTGAACCAAGACCATGTTTTTCCTCATCATCCAATGCTCTCAACTGAGCAATGAGGTTGGCGTTGCACAAAAGCGGATCTGATTAAATGGGTTTGAATGTGTTTTTGTGGCTGCCTGGACGACTGCCTGCTCAGCTGTAGCTTTAGCGGCTTAAGTGTGTGTGAGTTTGCCGAACGAATGCCATTGGTTGGGAATTGAGATCTAGGTTTACGTCCCACAAAGGTCAACTTCCTGATGTCCCTGTGTTTCCATTTCTTGAACATCAATGTTGTTCCCGGCCCCAAATCAACCCATCCTCGAAAGGCCATCGTGTCCTCTTCAATCATTCAAATTCAATTATTGTCACAGTCCATAATCTTTACTCCAATGCTCTACAGCGTTTTGCAAGACTAAAACATGCATACAAATGTTGAGCATATGAAATAACACGTTTTACAAACAGATATTGTTTTAGCCATAGCCAAACACAACTGCAGTTTTCGTGACAACAACACTCTAGGTCCCAGTGGTATAGGGCTCAATCTGTCAAGAGTGATGGGACCAGATTACATGACTATCGCCAAAACCCTTTCAAGTGCAATAAAACAGAGTGTAGGAGAAATGGAGCCGTTGTGGGTGTGAATACAGAATTTGATAGTGATCGGAGGTAAATTCATGTTGCATAACGAAACATATGGTCACTCTGTTTCTATACCTCCCCATCACGTTCAATCTTAAGCTATTACCTTATGTGTCATTGCATATAAAAGATATGTTTGGATTTACTTCTCCAACTGCACAATGCACATTTGAGAAGCAGAAATTTCCTCTGTCTGGGGTGCACGATAAGCACTCACCTGGACAGGGCCAATGGCACAGCAGATGCTTTGGCTGGCTCTGGTGAGAAGCAGTCTGACGGCTTCAATGGACTCCTGCTTAGAGAAATAGCCTCAGCGTCAACACCTGCAATGCACAAATGAAGCTACGATTACAACAGCCAAAATATATTTTTATTGACTTGGAAATTACAAAGAGAATGGGGAAAAATGTGGGTTTCATTTCTAACTTTAGCGCTGGCTTTGTAAGGCAATATGACACAATTGAATTAACATACTTTTGATCCTCCATACTAATCCAGTTTATGCCATAGTTGCAAAAACAGTGTGTTTTTAGCCATACTCATCATAGATAAAAAAAAACATGTTTCTAAAACGTATGCAAAGATTTCTCAGTTTTAATAATGAAAATAAATGAATTTTAAAATAATACATCTAGTGAAAGACAGTTATTGTGTCATCTGTGCTTGAATATGAATATTTTCAGAGTTCTGTGGTCTTTGATGAGCCTTTACAAACTACAGTGTGAAGTGAAATCATGACTGGGCTCTGATTGTGATGTGGGATTTTTTTCAACTTCTTGCGCAAAAGGCTTAAGGCTTTGTTGCTGTAGTAAACCACAGACAATTTCTCACTCAATAAATTCTTCTTTTTCAATATCAAGATAATTTTCCTGTGTTGTGAATGAGATAAAAACCCTCAGATTGCCATGAATCATAGAGACTGACTCACACTTAGCCGCAGATTGAATAAAATGAAAGTGGAGCTGTTAGACTTTAGTTTCAAGGTCAATGCGCAATATTATCCACACTTTTATTCACATTTATCCATCTCAATACCTAAGGAATCAGCTTACATTGGCCTGTAACATGACGCATATTTACTATCAGCAGACAGAAGGCCAGACAATGTGTAACTGCAATT